CCGCCGTCAGTGTGCTGTTGTCACTGGTGATGACTGCAGAAAGAGGGACAGAGCCATCCTCTGCCACAAACCCAGACCTCCCGTCCCCATCCGTCCTCCAAAATGGCCTGGCCCAAAAGACAAAAAGACAAAAGACATACACCACCGGGGTTTTCGCCGGCCGTCACCAATCCGACTACTAACCTGGCCCTCACTGGCTTATCTAGGTAGGGGAGAGCAGACGGGATCCCGAGTTTTTCCCAGTGCGTATGGTCGTTTGTGAAGTCTCAGTTGCTTGTTGCGCTTTGCCCGTCGTGACCGATGATGGGAATCTCAAAGAGTTTATGGTTGGGGTTTATGAAGGGCGACTGACATTTGACATAACGTGTTTTGGGAATTGGGAATGTCCTTGAGATTGACTAGGTATCGTCGACAGGGGGTCCGACTTTGAACGTTTGTCGCAAAACTGGCACTAAAATTGATCAACGATTATCACGTCTTCCAAAGACAGAACTTCAACACACCTCATCAAAACAGAAATAGTCACAACGACGAAGAGGCGTGTAGTCAAACCAAGCCTTTCTTACCTCATCATCCCAGACTCCATCCCAGACTCTCCTCCATCCCAGACTCCCCTCCATCCCAGACCCGGTCCCAGAAGATTACCTCCCTCCCTATCGATTCCAATCCCAAAGCACCGGGCAACCTTGGAGCCCTGTGCCACAACGGCCAGGCCCAAGCGGCATCACCAGTGCACCAAAAGGGCACCAACGGGATATATAAGCAGTCAGCCCACACCTCTTCCTCCCATCCACTCCACGATTTCCTCTTGTCCGCTCCACGTTTCTCTCCACACACTATGATTCTCCGTCGGGACCGAACTTTACTGACGAAGATGTAGACGTATGATGTAGATGTACGATGTACCAGATGTACCATACACAATCAAAGTTCGGTACAATCACCATATTCAGACACACTGTTCGTTTCTGTTCGTTACAAAGTGTCAGATGTGATCGCTGGTACGATTTGTTCGGGATCATGGGATGGAATGTGATGACTGCTTATCTCCCATAGTATCGTTAGTGAGCCGTTAATGACTTGTACGGACCGGACAACCCCAACTCGAGTCCTACCGAGTACCGAGTACCGTCGAGCTGTCGAGCTGTAAGCCGGCGATCCGTGCCTGCCCTATTGACCCTTTGAGGCATTGACGCATTGAGGCTGAAGCTGAAGTTGCGACTGCGACTGCGACTGCGACTGTAACTGTGACTGCGAGATACCGGCACTGCGGCGCAGAAGCTTGAGTTTAGCCGTCGTATGATCCGATGCAGTTGGTTCCCGGTACCATGCTAGCGGTAGTGCCGAGAGGTTTTTATGGGTGTTCTGGGTGTAGGTGTCGATGTATCAAAATGATGGGGTTTGTGGTTAGGTAGGTATTGATGGTAAGTGTCGTTGGCTGTCAGCAGTCAGCACGGGATGCCGTGTTTCGGGACCGGGATTCGGGCTTCTGGGTCGGTTGTTACTGCACTAACAAATGCAGGTGCATATGGTGACATATGCTGTTAGTACACGATGCAAGCCATGAATTCTACGATGGCACTAAGGTTACGACATGGTACCGTAAAAATGTGATATTGTGAGCAGTTCGCTAGTGGTACACTACATGAGAAGGTGAAAACTTTTGCTATGAATGGTGACTTCTCCAAACAACCATAAAAATAAACATTGTAATCTCAACCGGTAACTAGGTAACTGTGAATACCTTCCTTCCTGTCCAGTGTCGTGTCCGCTGTCCTCCTGTGGATGCCCGATCTATCCTAATCCAACCCATATCCGTTTCTATCCCAGTCCAGCCAGCGCATCATCGTCATTAGAAGGTGTGTGTACTGTTGTTAATCGAACGAACTTTCCTTTCCCTCAGTCTCAATACTCTCGGCAGACAGGCTTACTCTGTCGTATCAGGTAACCAAACAAGCTCCACCACACCATCAAACTTACTCATGGCCGTCGCGCCATCATTCAACTTCCACCTCCAGTCGTCATGCTTGCGGACATAAATCTGTCTGACTTCCTTCACCTTTCTCCTCTCTCCTTGACTCATCTGCACCTTTGAGGGCACATCCTCTCCCTCCTCATCCTGATCTCTCTTCTGAGCACCCTCGGCATCCTCCGCCACATCCTCCCAGATAATCTCCGCCTCCTGCAAATCCCAGCTCAACTTCCTCCCCGTCTTCGCCAGGCCCTGACGCTGCGGTCCAAACTTGAAATCCAGATTCCAGCCCTTGTCATCTGGCGCTGAGCGGAACGTCCTCTCCAGCTGATCGAAATCCAGATCTTCCGTTCCCTCGGGGTAATAAGCCACCGAGAACCCGTTGCTGATGACAAAATCATCAGCGGTCTGGAAACGCTGCATCATGCACTCCTCTCCGCAAAGGTGAGAGACCTTGGTGTAGTGGAAGGGCAGAGCGGAATGCCAGCCTCCGCCGCGGTAGTGGTGCAGAGAAAGGGGTTGGATGCCGGACTCGTAGAAGCCTGATGGGTCACCGATCATGTCTAGCTGCCAGAGCGAGTCGAGAAGGGTGAGGCGGACAGGCGAGTGTTCGTAGATGCACTTCCTGAGGAGAACATCGCCTTGGGGGCCCCAGCCTGTGTTGGCTTCCTTGATCTTCTCGGCACTCTTGCACGAGTTGAAGTTCTCAGTCACCAAAGCGGCGAGAGGGACAGACAGGAAGACACCGGCGCCGCCAAAGGCTTGCTCTCCATGTCGCATGACGTTGTTAGAGTCTTCGGAGAAGGTGCCAATGTACTTGGGCTTGGTGTGGTCGTAGTTTTCGAACTGAGCGATCAGAGCGTGCAGCGAGGGGAAGAAGGTGTCGTCGTCGCAGGTCACGAGCCACTTCTTCTGGGGGCGGAGGTGGTGGTTGTACAGCGTGGGGACGAGAGTCAGGTAGCGCACAGCCATTTCGTCCGAGGGCGAAGAGCGGTAGACGTCGACGTCGATGCCGACGGATGTGAGTTGCTCGTATACGTCGGCCATTTCCGTGTCGGAGGCGCCCATCAGCATCAGGAGGAGCTTTCCGCCGTTGGAGCCGCCGTTGTTGTCAGTTAGCCAGTACTTCCACTCGTTGGTCGGGTTGGTCTTCGGGTCAACGAAGCGCTTGTAGGTGGTGGAGACGCCGAACATGAAGTCGGAGGCGTTGGCGGTCGAGGGATAGGGCGAGCGGGGGACGGGCACGACGAGAGGGGCCGGGCAGGCCTCGGGCTGGTAGTGCTTGTTGACATCGACAACCTTGACATGGTCAAAGAGGAAGTCTTGGTCGAGCGTGGTGAGCGACTTGCGGGCGACGGGTTGGCGGGAGACTTGGATGTAGCGGCGAGTGTACTCGAAGCGATCCTGAAGGTTGTATTTCTTCTTCCACTCCTTCAAACGGTCCATGTCGTAGTCGCAGTGCATGTTTCCATGGGTGGTGGAAATGTTTGCCAGGTTGTTAGGATGATCTGGCTGGTGGTTCCCAGTCACCTCGACAGGAGTATGGACACTGTCTCCTCCCCATCCTGATTGTTGGTGATAGCCACCGAGTGGTCGTTGAGATGAAACGGCTTCCTTGGCAGTATTGGCCGTCTTAAGGAGTGCTGTCCGGACGTCGATGTCTCCGCCATGTTGTAGTAGCAGAGTGCCGAATAGAGTTATTGTGATGCAAAGAACGAGGGCTTTTGCGAGAGGGTTCCGCATATTGAAGCAGCGGTGGGGTGGTGGTAATGTTGCGCCCATCTTGGACATCTGTGTCTTGTGTAGGTATGTACGATATGTGGTCGGAGGTCGACCGCGTGTTGCGGCAGACAGTTGAAAAGGGTTCCCTGAGTCGTGTCTTGTCTCGAGGAGGAAAAGCGACGGAAAAGGTCTGTCTGGTTTGAGACTGTCTGGTTCTCGTGGCGACGGCGACGGTCACGTATATCTCGGTGGCCTTGAAACGAGTGTAAAAGTGTGTAATCGAGTACGAGTGACGAGTGTTTTGTTTCCCGTGGCACGAATCCGGCGTGCTGCTTCCGTTGGTGGTAGTGTAGCTGCACGATGAAGGAAGCACAGAAGGGAAAACGAAGGACAGAAAGAGAGAAGTGGGAAGGACTGGTAGGACTTGGGGGGGGCAAGCGAGTGTAAGTGGGAAGACTGACAGACAAAAAAGGAGTCGAGTGGTCGGGGAAGAGGAAGAAGATGAGAAGAGGAAACCCTTTCCCTTTTGTCACAGAAATGTCAGTCAATGCCCGTTATGTTTGGGATATTTCCCGAAACAGTTTAGGTTTGCGCTAGGAGGCAAGACATTCTGATGCAATTGTCGACAGGTGGGGGAAATGGGAGGAAAGAACGGGGACGCCCTGGATATCAAGGTTGATGGAAATGGAAGGAGTGGGGGAGGTACCTGGGCCGGGTGGAGGAGGTGGAGAATGGAGACGGGACTGCCAGGAACCAGCCTGAGCTTGATTGACCTTGGCTTTCAGTCCGTTTGTTTTGTTTTCCTTTTCTGATTCATTGTTGGTGGATGGCAAGGTGCTTGATTTACCGAGTCAATGCCCGCCGGCATCTGGTACCACATCGTGCACTGCAGATGTTATGTCCGAGCGGCAGTCTTTTCCTTGGGACACACATATCTCTGCATCTGCCGTGCCTGAGCTGGTTGACCTTTGGGTCTGGCCATAGGTATTCCTCGAGCAAGGCCAAAATCCAGAAACTGCTTGAACTTGATGCGCAGTAGTAAAATGGCAAAGCAGGTCGTGGCCATGTCCCACGGTTCACCTGCGTCTGTTCATCTGACCGTGCTTGGTTTGTGTTCCCTGTCAAAACACCAACTCCTCCTGCTGTGGGATGAACTCGTAGTTTTCTGCCCCCTTGCATCGTCTGAAGTGCTCAAGTACAATGCAGGCACTGCGGACTCGAGATAACCCAGACCGATCCGATCTCACGTGGGACAGACATGGACACAGAAGCTGTGAACGCAAGCAAGCAAGCACTGGTTGGTATTGCTCTGCAGTATGTCGTCCAAGTCCTGGGTCAGAGTGTCTTTGTGAATTCCACCCGTGACCAATCCAGTCGCTGGAGTTCCTCACGTTCTTCGTCGCGCTGAGCATCCAGATATCGGTATCCTGGCAGATAGCGTCCAGGTATAAGATCAGGGGGGAAGTTGAGCACCGATACTCAATGTTGGTTCTCATCCAGACACAATCCACGTGTTTCTCTCTCTATTCCAATTCCGTAACAAACCGACAGATTGGATCGCCAATTTGGGAATTCCATGTTCTTCAGTTCTGGTAAGGAAAAGTTGAGAGACAAAAACCACCAAGAATGTCAACGGCGAACAGAAACAAAAAGAGAAAGAACGGTGATTCAGGACGACATGGAACGCAGTGACGTTCGTGAACGGAGCCTCATCGACGCGCTAATTGGCCCGAGTGGTAGCAGAGGTGGATACTGCCCCTGCGCCACCGCTTCCATTGTGGAACCCCACTGCCACTGAACCCCCACTGCCGCTCACGCCGCTGCAGTGCAGTGCCGATGGCGCGCCAGGGCTCCTGCCACCACGAACATTCTCGAGTGCAGATCGACATCGCCCGTTCCTTTTCCCACGGAAGGAACGTGCAAGTGTCGCGCACATTGTTTCGCGGTTGTTGCTTTGTTCGTGGCTTTTGGGGAGATTGGGGACGAAATTATTACTTCGAGGTGGAAGTTTTTACTCGTTCAACCACACACATGCAGCGCCATCAAGCGACAGTGCCGCACAGCATCGTTCGTATCTCCATCCCGACAATGTTTGGACTCGACACCGCCGACCGCACATCTTTTTTCTCCCCTATCCTGATCCGCAATGATCAGTTGATTTGCCCTGGAAACGCTGCCACTGCCAACCTCTCACAATCCATCCTCCAAGGCATTTGCCGCTGATCCCACGAGTCGGGCCCTTTCTGTCTGAACTTAACCCGTTACGTCCTTGCTTTCCAAATATTTCTCGACGTCGAAACGACGACAGGATTCATCGACCATGTTGAGTTCATATTCCTGCTCGAGAACACACTAGAACGCAATCAATGAGTCGCTGACATGTGCTAACATCGCCAAGACCATCAAGCTTCCCCAGTCCCGATTGCCTTCCCGCGGCTCCTCTCCCAATCCTCCCCGTTCCCGTTGCCCCCGAACAAACAACGTCCCTGGTCACCCAACGGCTTCCTCCGTTATCAGAGAGCAAGAAACCAACACCAATTTCCGTTTACCAGCGCATCCTCTCCGAGAAACAAAAGTCACACGGAAAGAGTCCAGGCCCAAAGTCAATCGGCCTGCCCGCCTACCGTCGCACGCCTCCAAGTCACCTTGTGTCTTGTTACGTCCGAAGAGTCTGACGACCATGACCATTGCACTCGGCACATACCTCTACCCATCTTTCCATCTTAATAACCCAGATCGCAGGGCCAACTCTCTGTGCTATTATTGGAATACCACCCTGCAATTCCCTGATACGGGATTCCTACCCAGGCGAGCCAGGCGAGCCAGGCCAGGGAAGCCCCTGGATCGACACGCACATCACCATCAATAATACCGCACAGTGGAGGACCCTCTGTTTCAAGATGGTTATCATTGCCCTCCGTTACCAGTCGCCTCCCGTTCCCAGACTCCGTTTCAGTCAAGCGGAGAATTCATCCAGACAAGATCACGAATAAGGCACTGGAGGTATAAAAGGAGAACGACCCCTTTTCACAATCCATGTCGAATCCCTGCGGAACCGACGCGTGTTATACCCTCCAAGGCGTGGTTCATTTCAAGATATTCTCTTCAATGAGGGTTACCGTAAGAGTTATCACAGATGCCGCCTGCGATTCCATCCTTTTCGGACTATATGCGCTTTGATGCACTTTTGGCACCTCTCAGTCTGCTGTAAGCTGTCGACAGACTGCCTCCCAGTCATAAGCTCATCTCCGAATCACACAAACTCAAGAGCTTCCGGGATAGCGACATATCCAACACCATTGTGCAGCCAAGCCACTGAGATGACTGTTTCGGACGTGGATCTTGATGCCTGCTCCCGACGGCGTCCGGCATTGTCACACGGCGGAAGTCATGTATGTCTCGGGTACCTGCATCGTTTATGATGGGAGCTCTCACGTCCATGTCACGACTTGGAGGTGTTTTGGACTGTCTTTGATACGCGACATCAAGATAATGGCAAATGCCTTGGTGGGATATCAACAGTGAGCAAGTGCTCGTAATTCGCCGTCCGATACCGATCCTCTATACTATGTATGGTAAAGAGAAGAACACCTCACCTGCATTGGCATATCTACATATCTCAATCCGGGGTCTACATTCTACAGCCTGCCCCTCGCCCCATACATGCACATGCCGTTGGATCTCCATCACATCTACACTACAATTGCATATCCAACCCAGGCCTAACATCCAGGAAGACGATCCTGGTTTCCGCCTCGTTAGTGCCGCCAGGGTGGTGCACCACGAACTCCCACCCAGACTTCTTCACATGGGCCGTTTTCCCACTCCGGCTGATAAAGTCCAACAAGTTATTCAGCGTCAACTTGGCCGCTTCAGACTCGCCAATGTCGAGAGCCCATTGCAGTGTCTTTACCCATGGTCTACTGCCCATCGCCTTGCAGTTATTCCCTCGTGAAGAAGCGTAACTGTTGTAGTTGACAGTGTGGAACCGGGAGCACGAATGGCAAGGGATCATCCTCGGGTTCATGTTATCTTCTGGTATCCATGGTTGAGATGGCACCGCCTCTTGGCTTTGCGGTTTAAACAAATCGATGGGTGTGGTGAGTTTGCATTTCTTGCTTGGAGGTCCAATGTGGTCCCAACCCAGGAAGCTGTAGTCATCCTCATCTCGCGATCGTTTCTTCCCTTCCTTTTCACCCAAGCTCAGCATGCCAATATCTCGTCCTTGTTCCTTCTGTCTCTCGGCTCTCTCTTTCTCTTCTTGGCTCGCATTTGCCGCAAAGGCAATCGGGAATTTCTTTTCTAGGTCGGCCAAACCCTCCAACGCATGCATAACATCTTGATCAGTGTCGTTGTTCCCCATTCCCGCCTTTATATCCCAATTTTTCCCCTCGGCCCCGGGGAACTCCATTTTGACCTGACGCCCGTTCTGGAATCTCGCATGGGATTTCTGGACAAGCGAGTCCACCTTCGCTAGGTCCCAGATGCGCGAGCCTCCATATCGGTTCCATAGTCGACGAGCCTGCCAAGTGGAAACACCGAGCGCGTCGTGAAGGACGTTCATGGCGTTGTCCAGTGGACCTGGAGACGGACAGGGAAGGTGGGATCCTGCGGAAAGATGGTGCTTGCTGGAGAAGTAAGACATGTTCATGCCGATGCTAGTCCCCGTACGATTCTGAGCCTCGCCCTTTGACACCAGGGCGAGATGAGAAGGGAGCGGGGAGGAGTAGCGGCTCGGGCCGGTCAGCTCTTGCTGTTGGGAGCAAGACTTCGGCAAGACAGCGTCGGTGGTTGATGGGAAGTTTATCGAAGGCGTCTTTGTATGGGGTGTGTTGGAGATGGAAGGACGTTCTGTGGACTCCGTGGACGTTCTCGCGGAGTTGACAAGATCGGTAAGGCGCCTCAGCACCAAGAAAGTCTGGACATCTTCGGGCAATTCGCGAAGGGATGACCGTGTTGAGTGCATGGGCTTGGCGTCAGCTTGAGTGTCTTTTCCCCGTCTAACCCTTTCCTGTCTCTTGACCTTTTCCTCCTGGTCCTGACCATAATCTTCTACCCGTGTCCTCCTCATTTGCTCGGTCTCAACATCATCCAAAATTTCCTCAAGGGCTACATTCAGTTCTTTCCCGAAGTCAGACCCTCCACCCAACAACACCTTCAAGAGCCTCAAGGTTTCACTGATCCCGCGTCGAATCAGCAACCCTCGAATTACCACCTGCTCCCGGAAGCAAGGTTGGCAGTAGACTGTCCCAGGGGCTGGCGGCCAAGGTGTGTAACGACCATGGCATAGCGGGTAGAAGGCAGTTTTGACATTGTCAGGGTCCTGGGAGACGATCTGGATCTGCGGGGCTTCAACTCCCAAACTCACAGGTGAAGCAGCTACCTCTCCTTCTTGCTGCAAAAGGAGCTCGGACTTTTCGATGTCGTTGCTAACTTGAGGGGTGGCGGTCGGAACGGGGTGGTCTAGGTTTGAGGTGAATCCGGACCCAGACTCTGATTCGGAAGAGTAGGAGTCCGAAGATGGTCTGTATGTGCTGTCGAGGTCGAGTGGGTCGCGTCTTCGTTTTGTCTTTGTATTTGTCACCGGGACTGTTACTGACTGGTTCACTGCCCGTGGTTTCACGTTTCCTTGCGGTGCTTCGTGTGCTTGAGTCGGATTCCCATTTTGCAGGTCTTCCTTCCCAGTCATTGCCGCTAATACTTGGACAGTTTCCTCACCATTGGCCTTTGCTTTCTTGGTCTTTCCTCGACCCTTCTTCTTCGTCTTCCTCTGTTTTTTCCCCTTCACGCCCACCTCACCGAACTCAGACGACTCCTCGGAACTATCCCAGTCATCACTATACTCGTCACTAGTGGTTTCTGATGGGCGAAAGCATTGGTCACTCGTCTGTCGCCTTTCAACCCGCGGGCGTTTCCGCTTCAAGTTTCCGGCCAAGGTCATTGCAGGGTCAGCGGGGGATCTTGCGGTCATCGCTGGAGCTGCTCCAAATCCATGTCTAGGCCTTCCCAGCATTCGTCGTATGACCTCTTCCTTCATGTCGGTCATCGGTAGGAACCTTCGTCTTCTTGGTTGGGCCCTTCTCCGTCTCCGTTCCTTTTTGCCCTCATCCGAGCTCCCACTGGAGTCAAAGCTATTGCTGTCATCGTCGGACGGTGTGTTTCCTGGCTTGTAGGAGGGATCATATACGCGGGGAGGCTTATGTCGGTCCCTCTGCTTGATCTTCCGCCTGCCGAACTTGGGAGGGAGACATCTTGATGGGGGTGCTTGGCATAAGGGGATTTCCTCCTCGACCTTCACACCGTCTTGAGCTTTGGGTTCCTCAGGTGAGACTTTGTCACCGTCGTTGACTTCGGTACCATCCTCTTTACCATTCGGTCCAGGATCACCCTTTGGCACGCGAGCTCTCTTTCTCCTTCGTCTGGTTCCGCCATCGCTCGAGGACCACTCGTCGCTGTACTCGTCACTGTCATCTTTCTTATCTCCTGATGGCCTATAGGAACGATCGAAGACGGACTTCCCCTTCTTCTTTGTGTTCTGCTTTCGCCTTTCATCGCCACCCCCTTTTGGCAGCCTCTCATTCTTTTCTCCATCTTGCAATGTTTTCGGGTGCTTCTCCGTCACTGTCGCGTTGGCCTTTTTGGCTTTTGTCACGGTATTGTCATTGATCAGCCCTTTCACTGCCTTGATTGCTTCGTCAAGCTTGTTGTCTTCCTCACTGTTGTCTTCGTCGTCCTTTGGGGGTTTATAAGAGGGATCCCAGAATGACACCCCCTTCTTCTTTGCATTTCGCTTCCCAGCCCCATTTTCTTTTGCCAAGCCGTCATTCCCATCTTCCTCCAGCGGTTGCTCAGGTGCCTTCGCATTGTTTTTCTTGCCCTTCTTACGCCTCTTAACTCTCTTGGCCTTGACATCATCCACTACTAAGCCTTTCAGCCTTTTTATCCCTTCATCAGACTCGGATTCCTCTCCATCTCCGTCTTCTTCGAAACTCGATTCCTCGCTGTCCTCCGAAGGCCGATAAGTCGGATCGTCTATGCGTTTGCGCTTGAGTCGGCTTGGGATCGGTTGTGGCGGCGGAGGGGGCCATAATGGTCGCGGTGGTCGTGCTGGTTGTGCTCGCGGTGGTGATATGGACACACTCGTCACAGTGACACTGGTATCAGGTGAGAACTGCACCTGTTCTTGCCCCTGGTGTTGACCAAAAATGGGTAGATCACCAGGGACGAACCTCATATTCAAGTCCTCATCGGACTCACTGTCCGATTTGGGGGGACGAAACGAGAGATCTTGCATCGCTTGTGGTGCTTTAGGTCGTTGCTTATCTGCGGTGGGCTTGCTTGGAGTTGGACGCGGCGGCGGTGGTCGCGTTGCCGTTGCTGTTGTGAGTGATGGCATACTTGTACGCGCAACGGTTGGAGGCAACGTTTGGTTGACCGCTGGGACTGGAACTGGGACTGAAACTGGGAGATCCCCCGGCAGATCACCTGGTACAAATCCTACATCCGAGTCCTCATCGGATTCACCACTGTCCGCTTTCGGGGGACGATACGAGGGATCTTGCATTACTCCCTTTGCTCTCTTTTTGTTCGCGGTGGCCTTTCTTGCCGGGGGCGGCCGTCGCGTTGCCGGTGTGAGTGATGGTACACTCGCAATCGAAAAAGGTGGAGGCGAGGTATAGTTGCCCGCTGAGACAGGGGGATCACCAGGCACGAATCTCATATCCAAGTCCTCGTCGGATTCACTGTCGACCTTGGGGGGACGATAAGAGGGATCCAAGATATTTACTCCTTTGGCTTTCGGTCCTTTGACGAATCTCCCCTCGTCATTGTCGGCTTTGTTTACTTTGACTGCTGACCTTTTCACCACGGCGAAAACGTTGAGCCTTGATCTTGGAGGCCGAGGATCTTCAAGTTCGTCATCTGCGACTAACAGCTTCCGTACCCTGGCTTGAAGTGCTGCCCTGTCAAGCGGCTCTTCTTTGCGAATCTGGTCCCCGGCCGCTCTGTATTGGACTCTAAGACCTTTCATAGGGGCGGTAGTCGTGCTGCTTCTGGCCACGCTCGTAGTGGTAGTCGGTTTTGGAATTGGAGCAGCATTAAGTGCGACGGTCGTGGTAGTTGGTTTCGGTGCAGCCACTGTCGCTTCCTTGACTGTAACTATCCCAGGCTCTTCTGTTGAAAACCGTTCATCTGCTAAAAGTCTCTCCTTCCCCTTTCTTCGACGTCGTCCGATTGGATTTGGGATCGGCGGCGGTGGTGGTGGACGCGGAGGGACACCGGGAAGGTTGGAACCGGACATCGCCTTTGATGTTAGGTGGCTATTGGTCGTTGTATGTGACGTTGAATGAGATGCTTTCAGGTAGTGGTTTGGTCGTCTTGTTGCATCTCGATACCCAATCAATGTCAAAAGACTTTATATGCGCAAATATGGATACGGCATCAATAAAATGGCACACCTCGTACGGAATTGCGAAGTTTAAAATGCGAAGGAGTTGTCAAGGAAAAACAACATTTCTGCGAGAATCCTGTCGATTCGATCTCAGCATGCCTCTATGGTACAATGCGTTCTTTGTTTCCATGAGGCTTCTTTGATGTTGGCTATGGCCGGTATAGACCTAGCTTGTCCTTGAGCATTTTCGGCATCCGGCCTTTGTCTGCTTACCACATCGGAAATCCCAACGGGGGGCAGTCTGTGGCTGAAATTTTCAACGCGGCAAACAAAGAACATTGAATGAATGCCGCAGCCACTACCTACTTTGGACACCACAAAGGGTAAGATCGAAGAAGTGTGGGATACTGGCAGTATGACGGCGCCTGACTTCACGTTACCGTAGGCATATACCTCTCATTCCTGGTTCAAACACGCACTGTTGAAAAGAGATGGCGATGTCTCATAACTCACAAGTGGAAGTAAACAAATGACATTTGGACCAAAATGCGTATCTGCAATTCACATTACAATACGATCTACAATACGCACTGACGATGAGTCACGACCCTTAACAAAGGGTTCGAGTCTGAGTACAAAATGAAAAGTCGGGAAGTTCAAGTTGAAACAACTGGATACTTTGTTTGGAAACAGTATCAGAAATACCTACATGTCACTGTGTGAAAGATCCCAATGCAGCAGAGAAATTGAACTAGTACGAAATGAAGGGTATCAAAAACTGGCATTAACACAAAACGATCAAACTAACTAGGTAAGGTAATCATAAGAAACGATAGATGGCCTGGTTCCATCCCTAAGAAAGTAACTCAAGAGCTAGGCTGGATTAACTCGTGCCAAACACAGGAAGGAAAACGTCCAAAAAGGCCAAAAGAAACAAGGTCTCTGCTTTACTGCTGACGCTTATGATCACCCACATCCGGCCTATAGACTCCATCCTCTACATACGCAGGCGGCAACTCATCCCCACCAGTTACTCCATCCGTCTGGGAAGGATGGGCCGGATGTCCAGGGTAGCCAGGCACAGCTGGGGCAGTTGACGAAGACGACCCAAACTCCTCATACGAAGGCGGGGGCGGGCCGTCGGACCCATGAGCATGGCCATGAGACTGGGCAGCCGCAGACTCAGCAGCAGCTTCGGCAGCCTTCGCCCGGGCGGCATCTGATGCCTGTGGGCCAGGAGCGGGTGGTACCACTCCGGCGGTTCCTATGGATGGGCCGGCCGAGTTGAGGTCTAGACCGCGGATACCGGAGGTTACGCCACTAACTTCAGCCGGGCCGCCTCCCGTGTTGTATGTAGAGGCAGGAGGAGGAGGGGCGTGGTAGGCGTCTGTTGGGTGTTGGTTCAGGGGGGAGAAATGACGGTGGGCGCCACCGGGGTATTGACCCTGAGGTGGCTGCTCGGAGAGGAGCTGGGGGTCATAGAGGTAACCTCCTGTTCCTGCGGGCGCTGGGGCGGCGGGACCACCAGCTGGGCCTGGGCCACCGGGAGGCTTGCCAGGAGCATAGTATCCCTCGGGACCGGGAGATTGCTCGGAAAGGAGCTGAGGTTGGTATGAGGGCTGCTGTCCCTGGCCGGGGTACGACGGCTGCTGTCCTTGTCCAGGGTACGACGGCTGCTGTCCTTGTCCAGGGTACGGTTGCTGCTGTCCTTGTCCAGGGTACGGTTGCTGCTGTCCTTGGCCGGGGTACGGCTGCTGCTGAACAGGAGTAGGCTGAACATGATGCTGGGGGATGTGTCCCTGAGGCATGTGGACCGTCTGCTGCTGTTGGAACTGCTGGCCCTGCTGACCTCTCCATCCCTCGGCGCCCTTCAGAACCTCAAAGAGACCGTTGACAGCGGGAGGAGGGGGAACCTCGCCATTGAGGATCTGCTGAACGGTGACTTGCCTACCGTAGAACACGGCGTTGGCGTCCTTGCGCTCGGTGATGACGGTGCCGTCGACTTGGACACCAGCATAAAAGCCGCGCGACTTGACGTAGCTGTAGACGGGCTTTTTGACGGCCTCGACGAAGGGACTGGGCTTGCGGTTCTTGTTGGCTTCCTTGCCGGCGTTGTCTGGGTGGTCCGGGTCGTAGTCAGGATCAACGGGCGGGTTGGTGAACTGGGTGTTATCCGGGGACAGGATGGGCTTGCCATCGGCGGTTGTTGGCCTCGACGCAGGCTTTCCATCCTTGCCCTTGCCCTTATCCGTCTTCTGTCCCTGTGGCACGCCCCAGTCCAGAGCACCACCAGCGCCCCATGGGCCCGCGGTAACAGCCAGGTCGCTACCGAGACTGAGACGGGTGCGGGTGAAAGCCTCGAGGGCCTCCTTGGAGTTGATGACGACCACGCAGTCGTAGATATCCAGACCGACGACGAAGCCGGCGCCAATGCTGTGAACGTGGATACCGGATGGAGGAGACCATCTGCCGTCGGGGAGTCGGGCGATCAGAATACCAGAGCCGCTGGCGCCCGTGACCTGGAACCCGGCGCGGACGGTGGTGAAGATGGCCAAGCCTTGGGCCTTGGCAATGACCTTGGAAGGAATGGTGAGGAGAACACGCGACTTTTTCTTGGCAGTGGCAGCATCAACGGGCTTTGTCTCGACGGGGGGGTGGAGGCGGTTTCAGCGGCGGTAGGTTCGACCTTGTTGGCGACGGGGAAGGTGGTTTGAGGAGGGGCAGTCGTTGGAGCTGCGTCGCTGTAGATGCCGTCCTCTGGAAGCGATATGGTTAGCTGTGTGATAATAGTACCTCTAAAAAGGGGGGACATACTGCAGAAGCTCCTCAAGATACGGGCAGCCTTCTCGACCTCCTTATCAATAGGACCTGGCAGGAAAGCCTCGGAGCCCATCTTGTTGGCCAGGGCATTGATGGGAGCGGCGGCCTTGGTTCCCCATCCTGCTAGCTTCTGACCCCATGAGAGCTTGACCTTTTCGTCTCCAGGTCCAGCCTTGCCAGACGAGGTAGGTCTAGGAGGGAATGGAGGTGGGTGTTCGTCGGTCGGGCTAAGGCCGTAGATGTCTTCCCTGGGCGCATATTGGGGATTCGATGGGTTGTAGTCGGGAATGGGAACCTCGTCGGGATGGCGAGGAGGCTGTTGACAACCCAGAGGGGGACCACCAGGAGGAGGAGGAGGGAAGTACTGCGCTTCCAGCTTTCGTTTCTCGTCGTTGCCGCTCATCGTTTGTCTTTGTTCCTGTAGGTTCGAGTGTAGATCTAGGTAGGGAAACGTGAATATGGTTGTCGAGGTCAACGGAAAGGAGGAGAGATGGTGTTGTTCTTGTTATATCGTATGTTGTTGATGGACGGCAGTTGTTGTTGCGGGGTGAGTGTCACTGTAACCGCGATAAGGAATACAGAAGGGGGCTTAGACGCTGTTGTCCACTGGAGTTGTGGAATGGTTCAACATGCACGGCAAACAAACAACGGAACAGACAAGTTGGATTCCTGTTTGCTCTTATCTAAAACTGGATTACTCGAATTCGTAAGCTGTTTGTGGCTTTGTCCTTTTCGTCTTGGCTATGCTACAAGTATGATGGATGGCTTCCGTTGCTGTCCATCAGGGTCCATGGCCACGGCTTCCACTTGTTGGTGAAAATTGTTAGTGCACAGCTCCTCCGATAAAGCTCTGGTGGGGGTTACGTTGGAGGTTGATGTCATTTGTGTGGCTGAGCAGTGGCTGCCTCCCTTGGTCATCCACAACCGGGGCTTGGCAGCCAGTCTCGGCCCGGCACTGCACTCAATTGCCTGCCGGTGCATTTCCTGTGTGTGACCTTCAATCCGTCCTCTCTTCATCTGTTCAACATCACATCTTCAATTCAACAAGCCAACGACTAAACTATGTTTATGCCCAATCCATTTGCCACCGATTCTCGCTATACCCATATTCAACACCTAACATCGAAAATTACCCCGACCGATTGGAGCATTTACCCCTCAGGGGGCCCTCCCGCATTGGTCACCGCCACTGGACGTGAAGAGACAAAGAAAGACTGTCTTGTGGCGGGACATTGACATGATGTTGACTACACAGTTCACGGCATATTAGGCTCACTTTGTCTGTCCAATATTTTCATATCGGATGAAATCATTAGACCAGACGAAAGGCCTCACGAACGCCTTCTCCAACGTTGAATGGACACGGGGATCCCGGAGCCGAGTCTTTCTTACAGTCTTCCCATCTCATGGACTCTGACCTTGACCCGGACACTCGACCACGTTTTCTTCCTGTACCAAGTCAACATGTGATGGACCTTTCAATTTAGATGTGACCTCAATGGACGATATCCCGACCTTATAGGTGGAATTATGACACCTTCCGCTTGCTTTCCCCGCAGATCTCCAGAGTGCCATCCCGGGCCAAAGCGTAAACTGGCAAAATGCGGCATCGTATAACACGGTATAGCGGCTGAGATATAGGCACCGTTTCGGGTTTTCATGTCTACTTATAAACACCAACGAGTCCCGGACATGTTGATGGATGCTCAGATGACAATGAGCCGTCACCACCATCCAACATGAGGCTCATCACCATCCTCGCTGGCCTTGTCAGCTTCTCTCTCGCCGCTCCAACTCTGAAAGATGACCTCGACACTCGCGCGCCATGGCCCAACGGCCCTCTCGTAACCTCCGGACGCTGGATCCGTGATGCCTCCGGTACCAACCTGACCTATGCCGGTGCCAACTGGCCCGGAGCAGCCGATGTCATGATCCCCGAGGGTCTTCAATACCAGTCCATCGCGACCATCGTGTCCAAAATCAAGAGTCTGGGCATGAACGCTATCCGTTTGACCTTCGCCATCCAAATGGTGGACGAGATCTACTCCAACGGCGGGAAGGACATTACCCTGCAAAAGGCTTTCACCCAAGCCCTTGGGTCGACAAACGGCCCCAAGGTGCTTAACCAGGTCCTGACCAAGAATCCCCAGTTCACGGCGAGTACTACGAGGTTGCAAGTTTTCGACGCCGTGGCGGCCGAGTGTGCACACCAGCAGATCTTTGTCCATTTGGATAACCATATCTCCAAGGGCGCGTGGTGCTGCTCGACTGGCGACGGAAACAGTTGGTGGGGGGACACGTACTTCTCGGCATCCAACTGGACAAGAGGTCTCGCTTATATGGCTAACCACGTATGACTTCTATGAGCTCCTTCCCCTTCAACCTTAACTCCAATTAACGCCATTATGACTTACAGGGCAAACAATGGACATCCCTCATGTCCATCGGCCTCCGCAACGAACCACGCGAACCTACCTCCGGAGCAGCCAAATCCACCTACAACTGGCAAACCTGGTACACGTACATGAAACAAGGCGCCGAAGCCGTGCACTTCTCAAACCCGGACCTTCTCATCTTCTTGTCTGGGCTGTCTTTTGATACCTTCTTGACGCCCGTCGTCCGCGGCACCGCCTTGACGCCAGGATCCGGCAAATTCAGCTTCAACGATTTTCCGGGGTACGCCAACAAACTCGTTCTCGAACTCCACAACTACGAGAACAGCGCCAACAACTGCAACAACCTGCAGAACAACTTGTACAACAACGGGTTCCAGGCCTTGACCAGCTCTGCAGTAAACAAGTTCCCCGTGATGTTGACCGAGTTTGGGTTCCAGATGGATGCGAGCACATGGAAGGGAACATACGCTAGCTGTTTGGCGAGCTACTTGCCTGCCCAAAAAGCTGGCTGGTTTATCTGGGTGCTGGCGGGGAGCTATTACATCAGATCCGGAACACAGGACTACGATGAAGGATGGGGGCTGTTGACACGCGATTGGAGTGCGTGGAGAAGTCCGAGTTATGTCAACGGGGCTTTAATTCCCATGGTCAAGAATACCCTCAGCTAGAGGCCGAGCTACGAGCAAATACACTCCGTCCATCTCATTTCCCACAAGTTCACGCCTCCACCTTCTGTTTGGTTGCCACCTCTTCAGCCCTATAAGGCTCCTCCTCCACATACACATCCCAATCATACTTCCTCCCCACATGATCATCCCTCAACTCCTTCTGTCCCCTTCCATAAACCTTCTCTCTCGCCGTCCACGCCTCCTCCTCTACCTCCTCCTTATAAATCCCCCTTTTCCTCAGCTCCGGCACAAGAAGATCCACAACCTCCTCAAAAGTCCCCGGCGTAGTCACATACGCAACATTAAACCCATCAACATCCGCCTCCCTCACCCACCGTTCCATCTCATCCGCCACTTTTTCCGCCGTCCCAACGGCCACCGGCCCCAGACCACCTATGGCAGCGCGCTCCGCTACCACGCGCGGCGTCCATCGGGGTACTTCTTCCGATGGGGTAGTAAAGTTATCCAGAATCGACAAGATCTTGTTTTTTCCTTGGAATCGGACGCAGATATTTCCTGATCTAAATCCTCAAACTGGCTGATATCGATTCCCGTCCACCCCGAGAACAAAACCAAGCCGCCGATTACACTCGCGTTCTTCCTCGCTTCCTGATATTTGGCCTGTGCTTCCTCCTCCGTGCGCCCGATGATGGGCGTGAATGTCGCGAAGACTTTGAGGGAAGATGGGTCGCGGCCTTTCTCCTTTGCTAGTTGTCTGAGTTTTGCGACCTTGGGGGCTAAGACGGAGGGAGAATGGGAAGATACGAAGACTGCTTCGGCGTGCGTGGTGGCGAACTCGGAGCCGGCGGAGGATGTGCCTGCCTGAAAGAGGAAGGGGGTGCGTTGTGGTGAGGGGGGCACGATGTGTGGGGTTGAGAGGGAGAAGTATTTCCCTTGGTGGTTGATTTGCCGGACTTGCGAGGGGTCGGTGTAAGTGTCTGAGGAGGGGTTGAGGCGGATGGCGGAGGGGGTCCAGGATGCGTTCCAGAGTCTGTTTTCGTCGGTCAGTCTGTCTCTTGGGAATCTTGGGGGAGGACAGGGAAAAGGCAGGGACAGGGCAACGCACTTATACAACACCCTCAAGTACTCATCAGCTTGCTCATACCGCTGGTCATGCTCGATGGGGTTATCAAGACCAATAGCCTTGAACGCGCTCTTCTTCCACGACGTGACGATATTCCAACCAATCCGTCCCTTGGTCAAATGATCCAGCGTCGAAAACCGCTTCGCCAGCAAAAAGGGAGGTTCGAACGAGGTGGATGCCGTGATGCCGAAGGCGAGGTTTTTCGTGACAGCGGCCATGGCTGAGATTGGCTGTTTGTTCAATTCAACACCTCGTCAGCATTCTCTTCGTTTATTCAATACAGCCGCCACCTCGGACAAAAAAGAGAAGAAAAAAGAAATTGGTAGTCGGTCAATATCCCTCGTCGGTCACAGCTCGACCTCGTTAGCCTAGCAAGACGCATGTGGAAATCATAGACAACCGGAATATCTGAGCAATAACTGTGTCAAAAGCTGCCATCACAAGGAATCGAGCCCGTGGCTTTGTGAACGGGTATCCATGTGGGTAGACTATATCAACTGCCGCTCGACCAACTACCCGCTGTTTGTTGAGGAATAGGGTTGGGATGGGGGGCTATAAGGGACATCGGACATGGGACGTGGGACGTGGGACAGAGGGTGCTGTTGCTGGTGCTGTTGCTGGTGCTGGTGCTGGTGCCTGTTGGGAGAGAGGACGGGTGCGTGCCTCCCTCTTTAGCAAGACTGGACGGCGGCGGGCTGGCTGTCATCCGATGTTCGGTTGACCGTCCTTCCCGTCCATCATCACGTCCCCATCTCATTGTTCCTTCGCCCTAACTTAACCCCGTTCCCCGAGTTTCCGAGCATTTTATTTCCACCACCTTCTAACCCCCTCAACCCTCCCCTCACCCCATCCCTTCAAAACAAAAACAAAAAAGGAAGAACCGGGTACTCACAACAACAGGATCCCCCACCGGCCATTGCGCCCCCCTTCTCACACACTCATCCAGACTTCCCTCATACGTATCATACCCGCCATAAGTATCCGCCAGAAACAGCGCGTTGATGCCTCCCCTTTCTAACAGTTTGGCGAGGTTGATCCAGTAATCAAGAGAGTCGAATTTGGTTGTTGAGAGGTCGGATGACGAAGAATTCCGCCATTGGCCTGGGGAAAGGTGGCCGGGGGTGAACATGTCAAAGGCGTTGAGGAGGATTTGTTTTTGTTTCTTCTCGGTGGCCGTGGCCGCGGGGGCTGAGTTATCTGCCATGTTGGGTGGTTGTGCAGATATGATTGAGGTGGCCGTGAGTGGTAGTTAGGTAGTGGTGGGCTGGTGGTGAACAGGCGTGGAAGTTCGACAGGTCTGAGGGTTCTGGGTGACTTCTATCGTACGGTATGAACGGATATGGCACAACTTCAACAGTGACTGTCGTATTGATGATGATGGCCTAGCTGTCTGGGTGGTCACAGATTAGAAGGGTTCGAAGGGTTCAGACCCCTCATATACCACGCGGCCGAACCCCTTGCTCAACAGAAGCTCTTATCATTACCTTGCAATGTCACAACGGGATGTCGACATCGCGGCACCAGTCCCAACCCCCCGGATCACAGTCCCCTCGTGCGGGGGTGCATGTTGTCATCAAGGGGTGGATGGTGCCATGCAGATGGTACCATTGCATCAAACCATCAGAATACCACTCCGGACTGGACGTGAAGCTCGCCATATCACCGCGGTTATGGCCCAAACCACCACTTCAACAACTACGGATCTCGTGCTTCATGTCCCGTCGTGTCATGGACAGAGATTGAAGTTCCTGATGAAAACGGGTTGAGACAGGAGTCATCACAAAACACGACATGAATGACTGCCCCTGAGTGACCACCGACGAGTGCAGATTGGAAGGTGCTTTTGCCCTCTAGTCTACTATTCCGGTCTCAGCAGGAACGGTCTGGTTCTGTGGCTGTCCCGAAACTTGCTGTGTGCCGAAGTGGGAATATAGCTCTGCGGATCTGTAATGAGAAGCACGTTGTCATGATCCTGATTTGACTCAACGAGCTTCAAACATTGTTGACGGAGTCGAGTTTCACCCGGACAGATTACAGTCCATCGACATTGATCCAACCATCCGCCACACCAATGGGAGTTTTCACGGCGCTCACGATCAAGGCTCCCCCGATTATCTGACAGTTGATCCTCCAACTCTCCGGATTATATTCTATCTGGTACAGTGCAGGTCACCTACTCTATGAACCTACGACTCCCCCAGCGTATCCTAACCACTCTTCAAATTCTCCGGAGTCACGTTCACGTTCACCTCCTCCTGTCCCTTTTCCGAATTGGACGCCGTCGTAGATCCAGTCTCTGCGTTCTGCTCAGCATCACCCGCCGCTTCAAGTTTACTATTCGAAATCAGTTAGCTCGGCTCTCCCAACTTTCCCTAGCCAAAAAAAAACTTACTTCGATCTCTTCAAAGCCACATTCAAGAACTGCGCAGTAATGATCAAACAAACCGCATTGGCCAAGACAAACGAATACCCCTTCCTAAACTGCGGCGCCTCCTTAGTCGGGAACGTCAAAAGCTGGGTCCAAGCCGTCGTGCTCTGCGCGACCGTGTTCAGCAACACAATAGCAAACGAACGTTCAGCCGAAGACTTGCCCATGACGGTATTAACCCATCCATAGAGGACGGCCGACATGGCGACGGAGCTGTACGTCGTCATGAACGCAAACCACAGCGCGCTCTCGGGCACGTTCCAGATGACCAGGATGACCAGACCAATAATGTTCCATACATGCGCAATGGTAATCGCCCACGCCGGCCCGACCACCAAGTCGGAAATGAAGCAGATGAAAAGCACGTAGAAAATGCCAATGGCCGGACTGATAGTTCCCAGCTCGTTGACTTTGCTCTGGCTGTACTTGCCCAGACTCTTCAGCCAGAGCAGGTACCCGCCCGCGGAGTAGTTGATGCTGCCGTTCCAGAAGAAAATGTCCAGCACGAGCAGGGCCCAGAACTTCCAGTTATTCGCCAGGCTTTTCAAGGTGGAAAGCTTGAACTTGGGATGAACAACCGAATGTCCGACCCGCGCCAATCTTTGTTTCGCAATCTGCACGTCCTCGTCTTTCAGGAACCACTTGTTTGGATGTTCCGGCGTGCCGGGCAGGATGAAATACCCCAGGATCCCGACGGGAATCGTGATCAGTGCGCAAATGATGTACATCCACCGCCAACCCGCCAGGCCATTGACGTCTTCCAGTCTCGCACTCGCTCCGCTCTGAATCAACCCAGCAGTGAGCGTCCCCAGCGTCAGCCCGGTGTAAAACACGCCTCCTCTACGGGATATCTCATCGCCCCGGTACCAGCTGCCGAAGATGTAGTGCATAGCTGGGTAAAACGCCGCTTCGAACCATCCGATCAAGAAGCGGTAGGCGGCCATTTGCCCGAAGGAGTTGGCGCGGTATTGAGCCAGGGTGAAGAAACCCCAGGCGATGTCGAGGAAGGGAATCGTCCAGTGCATTGGTAAGTAAGTGAAGAGAAACATGAAGGGGATTTGGCCGACGACGGCGCCGACGGTGTAGAGTGTTTGTAGCTGGACTAGCTCGTTGCCGTGGAAGTTGAGGTCTTCTTTTAGGCCGGCTACGTATGCGTTGTCTGTTTGAACCAAGGGGTTAGTTGATGGTAAGGAAAGGACGGGGGAGATGGAAAGAATGGATGGAAGGATGGAAGGAGAGAAAGGACGTACTGAGATTGGCCTGGTCAATGTACTTGATCCAATAGGCAAGGAAAGCATAAGGGACGATGAGAAGGTCGAGCTTCATGATGAGACGTCGCTCGCGAGGGGTGTCGCTGTCGGCAAACCATTTGATGTGGTACCATTTCCGCTTGACGGTGTCGAATTGGTGGTGGGGCGCCATTGTGTCTGGTGTCGAAGTTGGACAGGACGGCAAGCACGACTGATCGTTTTCAAAAGCACAACAGGCCACAGAAGGACGTCAACGAGATATATGGAAACCTTCGCTTTTAACACACAAAAGAGAGTTACATCAACATCTATCTACCACCCACGCATCTGGTCTAGACGACAACGCCAAGTTTTTCCTCCACGTAGGTTACCTCTAGGTTGATAACACCATAAAGTCAAATGTGCACCGACGGGACGGACGACCCTGGGAATCACTGATGGTGGTGTGCAGCCTTGACCTGAAACTGCCGTACGCCCAGCGCGACGAGCTGGATTGTGCAAAGAACCAAGCAATTGCGGCATTCAAAGAGCTGGTTACAATAAATTTCCCCTGTAGTCTTCAATCCAGATTACCTCTGGGGAGTGCCAGCCACGTGGATTCCGAGACCCCCGTTCGTGTTCTTCGCTACCTCTAGCCCTACAGAGATGAACCTCCGAAGTCCATCCAGCCTCGAAACTTCATGTTGATGGTATCATAGAACAACTTGTTGTGATCAACTACCAAGATCGCTTAAACCGGCACAAACCCGAACTGCTCATCAGCGCTCGAGTGTCTCTCGCCAAATGGAACCCAAGAAGGAGAGACAGCAAAGTGCCGGATTTGCAAGTTCAGGCGTTGGATGTCGCAAGCGCTAATCACCATCACGTATTATGTTGGAGGAAGCAGGGAGCGCCATCACGTACAGCAGCAGATGAGTGATAGGGCAGTACTTAGCGTTTTCAGCGCCCATTCGGGAGTGGTTGAAGGAACAATGGTCGTCTGTTGACATGTGCAGGGACGTTCATCCAGCCCCTGGAAGAAAGAGTGGAGTGGGGGTCCGGGTTAGGGTTGACATTTGTCTTCGTCACACCTCCCATGGACACTCGCCTTTGTTATCGCCATTGTGACGGTTATCCCAGTGAAAACAACTTGGACCTAACAAAATACCGGCCAATAATATTTCTGCTAATTCTCTTGTCTTTTTGACGCCGAAAAAGCCAAAGAAGCTCCCTAACAAATGACACCTTATCCAGCTTTATCAATCGGGACAAGCCAAGTGGGTCCCCTCCTGCCTGGGGCCCTTCGCTAACAACAACAACACTGCAGCCCAAGCACGTCCAAGGTACAAAAGATGGCGTCATCCAACCTCCATCTCACCTCAGACACGATCAACATCCTTTCAGCCCTAGTTCAGCAGCAACAACCGAAGCCGCCCACTACGACCACCGGTCTTCGGAGGAGCAATCAGTGGGGGTTACACGCATCCAGAAACCCACGGCTTGAAAAGATATTCGACCATCGACCCCGCGAATGGTGGAATGCTTGGAAAGCTTGACGTGCTTTTTGATGAATGGTGAACCTTTGGAATTGCGCGCGGGCGCTCAACAGCCATCACATCCCGGACGGGATCGAATGGAGATACGGGAATGACTGGAGCAATACCGGTACACCTCGGATACGGCATTACCTGTACCGCACGCGATGCATGGCAATAATGTGTCAGCCAGTTTTTGCAGGAGGCTCAGATGGCTCAGATGAGGGGAAGTGATGGCGACGAAGGAGTGTCGATGATGTGATGCCTCCGTCCGTGTGGTGTGGTCTATGGTGTGAGGGCGTGATTTGGGCGTGGTGTCGGGTCAGAACATAACTCACATATACTTGACTTGTTGCGTCTGCGCTGGTGCTCTTCGTGCTTTGTTCGCTTTGATTGCTGTTCGACTTTGCGGAGAATATCCGGATTACTCACATTCACATCCACAATGGCAACAACAACAGAAGCAAACGTAAACGGCGAGGTTATTCCGGTGGTTGAAAAGCTCGGCGATCTCTCAGTATCAGAGCAAGAAGTCGCCACTTCCTCAACACCAAGCAGCGCAAGTGAGCCTAGTACGCCAGGAACACCAGAGACCTCAGTCAGCTCTCAACCCCAGTACAACTTCGTCCCCTTTGAGCCACACCCGGGATACCCCAAGTCTCGCATCGATATCGTCAACAGGTTCATTGACCAGCCACGAGAACTCCGCGTTGCTGTTATCGGTGGTGGTCTCTCTGGCATTCTTGCTGGTGTTCTGCTGCCGGCCAAGGTCCCCAACATCAAGCTCACAATCTATGAGAAGAACCACGACTTTGTAAGTAAACCGTCAGTTCCCCTTCCGTTTACTGAGTTTCACGACTTACATATCACCAGGGAGGTACATGGCTCGAGAATGTCTACCCGGGAGTGAGATGTGACATCCCCTCTCACGTCTACCAGTCCACCTTTGAGCCCAAGGTCGACTGGAGCGACCAGTTTGCTGGCGGTGCTGAGATTCGTGACTACTGGCAAGGCGTAGCAAAGAAGCACAATGTCTACCAATACGCACGCTTCCACACCAAAGTTGAGGGCCTCAACTGGAACGACTCCGAGTCCGTTTGGGAGATAACCATCAAGAATCTTCAGACCGGCGAGACAACCACCGAGAAGGCCGAGAGCGTCATCACTGCCATTGGCCGTTTCAACGCCTGGAAGCTTCCCGATTACCCCGGTATCACCGAATACAAGGGCGTTCTGCGCCATGCTTCACACTGGGACCCGTCCTTCGACCCATCCGGCAAGGCCGTAGCCGTCATCGGCAACGGCGCCAGCGGCATCCAGCTTGTCGCCAACCTCCAGCCTTCTGTCGCGCGTCTGGACCATTATGCCCGCAACCCGACCTGGATCGCTGCCTCCTGGGCGGGGGATGTCCGTCAAGCAGGCCCCCAGCCCTACTCAGACGAGCAAATCGTCCTCTTCAAATCCAACCCCGACGCCTACCTCGCGTTCCGCAAAGATATGGAAGACAAGTACTGGCGGCGCTTCAACGCCTTTTTCCGGGGCAGCAAAGACAGTACCGAGCTGCGGGAGCGTTTCACGCAAATCATGCACGAGCGTTTGGCGAGAAAGCCCGAGCTAATCGAGCACATCGTGCCCGACTTTTCGCCCAATTGCCGCCGTCTTACGCCCGGCCCCGGTTACTTGGAAGCCATCTCGGAGCCTAACGTGGAATACATCCGCACGCGCATCCGTCGCTTCACTGAAACCGGCATCGAAACCGAGGACGGCACCCACAGAGATGTAGACGCAATCTTCTGCGCCACAGGCGCCAACGTGTCGCAGGTTATCCCCTTCCCCGTCGTCAACGGCCAAGGTCAAAACCTCCAGGACGTGTGGAATCCCGAACTCAAAGGCAAGAGCGACGAACACCACGGGTTCCCCTACACCTACCTCGGCGTGGCCACCCCGGGATTTTCGAACCTGTTCTTCCTGCAAGGACCACATGGCACAGGACCAAGCGGGACTGTCCCGCACAGCGCCGAGACGCAACTTACTTTGTTGGCCAAGATCCTGCGCAAGGTGGGACGGGAGGGTATCAAGAGCATTGTTCCGTCGAGAAAAGCAGCGGATGACTTTGTCGAGTACTCGGACGCATTCTTTTCCAGCACGGTGTTGACAGATAACTGCAGTTCTTGGTATAACGGCGGGAGACCGGGCGCCAGGATTCACGGGATTTGGCCCGGGAGTGCGGGGCATTTGACGGTCGTGAGGCAGAATCCTAGGTGGGAGGATTGGGAGTATGAGTATCTTTGTGATAATAGGTTTCAGTGGTATTTGGGTAACGGCTGGACGAGCAGGGAGGCGGACCCGGAGTCGGATATGACGCCGTATTTGAGGAGGCCGAATGAGAAGGTGGAGTTGAGGGATGTGCATGAGAGTTGGTGGAATTTGCCATGATTTGGTTGTACGATTTGTGTTTCTGTATTTTGTTTTGGAAAGAAATAAGCCATTAACTTTCTACGAGGATGGACAACATCGACGCTGGACTGTACGGGATTGTTGGGAGAACCGGATTGGTGTTTACAACTTTGATTCACCGGATACAATGGCAGTCTGGAGATTTGCGGCCGTGAGATCAGCAAAGTGCCAAAGATGGTCAAGCAGGTACGGCCATCTCATCTCCGCTTTCTCTTCCTCGGAGAAATGGCGCCCTGAGAGTGATACCTGAGAGCAGTACCTGCCAGAATTCCAAAACCGGTCTAGTCCTCAAGAGTCAACATGAAATGTGGCAGCCACGGATCTCAGACCGTCACCGATCTAGGAGCGGATCTCACTCCCATTGCTTCCGGAAGTTTTACCATTCGGGATATGCATGCAGTTAGCGCCGCCCGGTCGAAGTGTTCATCATGCCGTCGAAATCCTGAAGGCTCCCGTCCTGTCGACTGGAAGCCAAGAACCAAAACCCAGAAAGAACCCTCTTCCGCGGACGAAAAGCCCTTTGGTCCATTCAGGCACATCTTGACTTCTAGGTCTAGGATCCAAAGTCAAGGCAAACTCATGACCCCCAATAACAACACCATCACACATCACTTTCATACCAAAATGCGGATCCCATTTGCAAATCACATGCAATCCACCATCTTTGAAGCACCCAAAAGCACGTTTTTGACCCAGTCTCTGGTGAACACTGAAAAGGCACAAAAACGGTACTAGTCCTTACCACAAAGTGGAGTCAAGCCGGTATTGCGTGCTCCCCTGGCATCTTTGCAACACACCTACAGAGTAGTTGACCAACCTGTCTAGGGCGGATTCTGAGCCGCCTATCTTGGCAAGCTGACCTCCGATTCTAGGAAGACAGGATATGGTACGGGGACAACACGGACTGGAGATGACTGTCACCTAAGATGAACCAGACTTTCGGCGGTCTGTAAACTCAAGTCCGGCCATGATCCACCATCAGAGTGGGATTGTACCTAGCTCATCATCGTTGGTGATGCAACATGGAGGGAAGGGAGGGGCAAAGGATTTTCCATGCATGCAGTAACCACAGTAGACGGCAGTGGAGGAAGGGAAGTAGGTACATAGGAGATTGCAGTGAAATAAGGAGGAAGGGGATAAATACATCTAGCGGGTTGTTTACTTTTTACTTGCTACTTCTTAGCTCTAGTTGTTGTTTCTAGCATTGTGTTCGATCTTTGGTTCAGTCCTCTTCGTTTGTCCGTCGTCTCTGAAGAACAGACCTCAAACAGCAGGACAACCACAGACACAGACAAAACATCACCATCAAAATGGTGTCGTCCGGTCTTCCGGACGAGTTCCCCTCGGGCTTGCCGCACCGAGATATGAGCGAAGTCGAACCTCCCAAGGACCAGCAACATCCAGGTATGTACTTCCGTCTCTTCAGCATGGAAACGAAACACTGACACCAGAATACAGTAAAATGGTACCGCTCATCAATGTTCAACATCACCATTGTCGGTCTCTGCAGTTTCTCCTGCCCCGGCATCTGGTCCGCCATGAACTCCCTCGGCGCCGGCGGAGCCGCTTCCCCAAACCTCATCAACGCCGCCAACGCCATCACTTTCTGTCTCATGGTTCTTTCGAGTTACCTGTCCAGTGCCTTGATGTACTTTGTTGGTGTGAAGGGTGCTTTGATCTTTGGGTGGTATGTTTCTTTGCATTCCCCATTCCCCTTTTCTCCTTTTCCCCTTTTCTCCTTTTCCCCTTTTCCCCTTTTTCTCCTTTTCCCCATTCCCCTATTCCCCTTTTCAATCATCATAATGGTTCTAACAAAACATGACCTACGGTACAGCATCGGATTCGCCCCCTTCGCCGCGGGCCTCTACACCAATAACCGCTACGGAAACGAATGGCTCGTGCTCCTCGGCGCCGCCCTCTGCGGCATTTCCGCCGGCGTCTTCTGGGCCGCCGAGGCTTCCATCGCCATCGCCTACCCGGAGCCGTGGAACCGCGGCAAAGCCCTTGGGTACTGGCTCTCCTTCAAGCTTTTCGGGCAAATGTTGGGAGGAGCCATCAACCTCGGTCTCAACGCCAATAACGACAAGGCCGGGCAGGTTTCGTATACCGTCTTCCTGGTGTTCATCGCCATCCAAGCTGCTGGCCCGTTTATCGGGTTCTTTCTTAATAGCCCTGATAAAGTCGAAAGAAAGGACGGGAAGAAAGTGGACTTGACAATTACCCAGAATCCGTGGTTGGAGATTAAGGCTACCACGAAGCTTTTTTTTACGAAAAAGTTCCTGTTGTTGCTCCTCTGGATCGGCAACGCCGTATTTTCCGAGTCTGTGTTTTTTACTTACTTGGCGATGTGGTTCTCCGTGCGCTCGCGTGCGCTGGGGTCGCTGATGTCAGGTATTGTTCCCGTTATCGGCGGGAATATTCTGGGCTGGTGGCTAGATCGGAATAGCATCTCGCTGAAGATCAGGAGCAGGGTAGCGTTTTGGACGCTGGTCGTCATCCAGGGCGCGTGGTGGACGTGGGCAACGGTCTTGGTGACGAGGTTCAAGGAGACGAAGCCGACTTTTGATTGGACGACGCCCGGGTTTGGAGCGGCGTTTGGGGTGTTTGTGTTTTTGGCTATGGGGTTTCAGCTTAACTATCTTTTCTTGTGAGTTTTCTTCCGTCACCTTCATATCTTTTGGGAATTGGGCTAACAGCTGACTGGAACAGGTACTTCATTGTTCACAACATTGCGGAAACCGATGAGGAGATCATCCGCTATGCTGCCCTCATCCGCGGCACCGAGTCCGCTTGGGAGGCTCTCAGCTACGGACTTGAGTCTTTGACTCTGTTCACGGAGGCTGGCGGTGTGTACATGAGCTTTGCCATATGGGCGGTCGCTATTTACCCTGCTTGGCATCTTCTCAGACATTTTGGCGTTCATCGACCGTTGGTAGGAGATGAGTCGTATCCAGCGAGCATTGAAAGGGTGGATGAAAAGGGTGTTATCAGTTCTGGGACAAGTTCGGGTGATGAGGGCGGTAATGAGAAGACGGTCAAGGTGTAATGATGGAAAGACAAAGTTACAAAGACAGATACCACGAAGTAATATGAGGTCATTTTCAGCTGCAACATGAATCACTGTTCATTGCCGTACATGTTCGACTTTGCTGTCAAGCCCAAACAGGACTCTTGTACCAGACACAGCTATTGTACATCAATGAGGTGGGTTGCATAAGGTAGCTATGTTATACCCTCAAAGAGGCACACACTTCTAGGTACTTGTCAAATCATTCAGATTCTTGTTCTTGTCCAAGCGTGCGGTTCCGTACACCTTCAGTGACCACCTAGGGGGCGAGATAGTGAAGGACTCGGCACTCAGGAATGACATCCCAATATGAAACAAGAAGACATGAGGATGAAAGCACGTAAATTGAAATTATCAGAATCGGGATGGAAGAAGTTGTATTCATATTTTCTGATGGTTAAAACACACGGTATTGGACCTTCTTCCTCTCTACAACTCCGGAATTTTATGTTCCTCAGCCGACACACCAGCTTTCCACTGGTACTTCGAAGCAACGTGCTCCTCCAAGGGATACTTCTGGCCTTCGGCACCATAGAAGTTCTCACGGTAAGTTCCCCCGGGAACATCATAGTCATCCCAGAAGAGACCACGCTTTCGCAACTCGGGGAGCAGAAGATCGATGATGTCCTGGAAAGATTGGGGGAAGAGGGCATAGGCCTGAACTGGTATTAGTTGTGATACAGGGGCCAATTAATTAACGTGTAAGCGGATCACTTACAAAGTTGAAGCCATCAACATCGGCCTCGTTGATCCATGCCTCAAGACCATCAGCCACCTGCTCTGGTGTGCCCACAATGATGGGACCGTTACCGCCGATGGCAACGTGCTCAGCAACTGTGTGCTTTGTCCACTTGGAGCCAGGGGGAGAGAACCTGGCGTAGGCGTCCACAGTCGACCTGGGTAATCTCAAGTCAGCCAACCATCATCTCCCCATCAAAAGGAAACCGAGAACAACTCACCTAACAGCATTGCTCTCAACCTCTCTTAACTCCTCATCATCCCCATACTTGCTCAAATCCATGCCCGTCCACCCACCAAACAACGCCAACGCACCTTCCGTGCTCGCATACTTTCTGTAATCAGCCAACTTCTCCTTGGCCTCCTCCTCGGTCCTTCCAAGAATCGGCGTCACCAGACTCAACACCTTGATCTTGTTCCCATCCCTTCCATATTTCTCACGGGCTAACTGCCTCACCTCCGCGATATTCTTCGCGCAAACCTGCGGCGCATGCGAGCTCACGAAGATGGCTTCGGCGTGCTGTGCAGCAAACAGCTTGCCAGCTTTCGAAGTTCCAGCTTGCAAAAGTAATGGGACTCTCTGAGGGGTAGGTTGCACGATCGCGGGCCCGGGAACGCTGAAGAACTTGCCCTCGTGGTTAATCTGCCTCACGGCCGCAGGGTCGGTGTACACTCCCTTCTCACGATCCAGCACAACAGCATCGTCTCGCCAGGAGGACGCAAAAAGCTTGTACATAACCCGCAGATACTCCTCCGCCTGCTCATAACGCTCATCATGCGCCACCTGCTTTTCCCTTCCAGCAATATTCCTCGCCGCGCTATCGAGGTAGCTGGTGACGATGTTCCACCCCAATCGGCCATTGGTCAAGTGGTCAACCGTCGCCAGACGACGATGGAGGTGGTAGGGAGCCTCGTAGCTGGTGCTGACGGTGACGCCAAAACCGAGAGATTTCGTCACGGCCGCCATGGCGGGGACGACGGACAAAGGCTCGTTGACGGGCCATTGCGCGCCGGAGACGATGGCGGGCTCGAGAGAGTTGCGGTAGACGTCGTAGCCGCCGAGGACGTCGGCGATGAAGATGCCGTGAAATTTGGCGGATTCGAGAAGCTTGGCCAGCTCGACCCAGTGATGGACGGAGGTGAAGTTGTGGGATTGGTCGGAAGGGTGACGCCAGAGGCCGGGGGATTGGTGGCCGGAGCCTGTTGGAGAGGGGGGGTTGTTAGTGGGTTTGGATTTGATTCATGGTGAAGACAGGGTCATTGATGGCAAAGTGAAGTTGCAAGTCATTGATCCGCATCCAGTTGATGGGTTGGTGGTGTTTGTTTTCTTTCTTGCTCCATGATTGACAGCGGTCGAAAAGGGGTCAAGTGGGCCGGAGTGGGTCAAGGAGTGGATTAGGCGACTTACACATCTCGACGAAGGCGTTGATGATGAGCTTCTTCTTGGGCCTAGCAGTGTGGCCTGACTCGCCTGTTTGGTTCGACATGGCTGCTGATGTGTCTTGGTTCCAGTGGATGGAGTGTGAGGATATGTTTTACTTTGCGCTCAAGTGTTTGTTGATGCACGTCGCTGTTGTTTGTCGCCAAGAATTCCGCAAAAAGGGGTTTGTTGACTTTCTCCCAGATTAATAAACAAAACAACCGATCAATGATGACGACGACGACCAGGGCGGATTTACGATTATAAAGAACAACCCAAACTGCTTTTTTTACCAAGACGCTATATCAATCACTCAACGATATCAAAGAGTGTCGTGATAGTCGATATTGCGACCGCGTTTTTGTGGTGTCCATGTCGTGCTCGAACGGAAACGGTTGCCCGGGAGGGTGGAGGCGATTGCGTGATTGACGCGGGGATGGTGCTCATCAGCACGGCAGCAACCCCGACCTCTCGCCAAGTGCTTCATTGTTCCTGACACTAACTACAACCCGCCCTAACCCATTGTCAGCATCGCTAACCTCACTGCGGAGATAGCATCTTTGTAATGATACCCGAGGGATTGGCGCTGCCGTGGACACATGCACGGGACATTGACAGCCATCAACGCCCCCCCCTTTCCCCCTTGCACAGCATCGCGGAACAGAAGGACACTCTGCAGTCTGCAGTCTACAGCACACTGCATGCGAACTTGTTGCCCCTGCTCCCGATTATCGGTACCCGTCCTACCGTTGGCGATGATGGCACCAACAAGCCGGAGTGAGTGGGGGTCCATTGTCGTTCCTATACCAGAGTGAGACTGGATGAGCTGCAGAGCTGCAATCAAGGTGGGCAACCAGTTGTGGTGGTTGTCCACCGACATCCCTTTGGCTCTTCCCAAGAGATGGTGCACATCAATTGAGTCGAATCCGACCGAGATGGCGCAATTCAACACTAGACCGGATTGTTAGGCACTCGACGGAGATGATCCGGAGTGTCCATGTTCGTGTTGAGTTCGATCCGGTCAACCGGTGGCTAGGTCTCTTCCGGCCAGGACCGTCGATTTCCCCTTCCGTTTCACTCAGAGGGTTTATAAAATCTTGTAACTTTCGACCCTTCACGTTGTTGTTTGCTACTGTACACCAAGTCACAGCAAGCCAGAAACAACGAGACGGAAGTCACTCAGGTACCAGTCTTGTACTCCGACGCACACTACTTGAACACTACTCGATTGCTACACTTCGACCCTGGATGACGCAAGCAGCTTGAGCAGCAACCCGACTCGAGCATTACCTATCATCATGTCTTTCATCAAACGTTTGTCCCTGCAGAAGCTCCGCAAAAACAGCTCGTCGCCTACCAAGAACAGCCAGCAGCCGCAAGCACAGCACGTCGAACAGCAAGAGCAACTACCGGAAGAGGACGTTGTCATCAACGGCACCAGTACCACAGACATGGAGCCTTTACCAACACCAGAGAAGCAGACAGTGCTCCTTCTGCACGCGCCAAAGCAACCATACCAGCTCACAGAGGACTATCCCGTCCCACAATTAGAGGGTGAGCACGATGTGCTTGTGAGGACACAGGCCATTGGGCTTAATCCCATTGATTGGAAGGCACCGTGAGTTTTTTTCATATCGTCCCCATGATTGGGAAATGACCAACGGCTGCTAACACTCCTGAAGTGACTTCAACTTTGCCATTCCTGAACTACCATACATCTCTGGTCGTGAGTGTGCAGGTGAAGTTGTTCAGACTTCTAGGAAAGACTCGAGGTTTAGGCCAAGGGATAGGGTATGTTGCTTTCATCTCATTCATCTTCATCTCTCTCTTCATCGTCCCATCTTCATCCAACTTTCATTTCACCCTCTTCCTTCCCTCCCATCGTCTTCTCCATGTATCCCATGATTCACCACTAACACCTCGCAGGTCCTCGCCATCTCCACCGACTACCGTGACCTCCGCAAAGCTACCTATCAAGAATACGTCATCTCCTTCGACTACAACACCGTCCGCATTCCACCCTCCCTCTCCCCTGAAGAGGGCTCCACTCTTGGCGTAGCCTTCGTCGCCGCCGCCCTTTCCCTCGGCGTGTGCATGGGCGTCGACTTCTCCTCCGTCCTCTCCGGCCCCGATCTCTTCTCCCTGCTGCGCTCCTCCGTGCCCCAAGATTCCCTAGCAGAGGACATCCGCTCCGAATGCCTCGACGGAATCCGTTCCCATGAGCGCGCCAAGGCAGGCGACTGGGTAGCCGTATGGGGCGGAAGCTCAACAAGTGCCAACCTAACGATCCAACTAGCTAGGCTTGCCGGTCTGAAAGTCGTGACGATAGTCGATAAAGCCAAGCATGGCCTGAGACTGTCCAACCACGAGGTACTCAAGGCCGATTTGTTGGTGGATAGCCACGACCCTGAACGGGCAGTACAAATCATCCGCCAGAACTTGAAGGGCAAACTCCGTTTTGGCGTGGACACCCGCGGTCGCGAGAGCGCTACTTCGCTGCTTCATGCGCTTTCGCCGGATAATGTTGACTCGCCTCCTCTATCGGCTGGCGAGGCGCCACCGTCGCCGCCGGGGACACCTAAGGAGGAGACACTCCTGGGCGCACACCTGATTGGGCTTACTGGCTTGCCCAAGCAGACAGCACCGGAGGGAACTTTGTTCCATACGGTACCATTCAAGCTGTTTCACGAAGTGCCAGAGGTGGGAGGAGCGTTGTGCCAGTGGTTGGAGAGGTTATTGGCTGAGGGACTGGTGAAGGCGCCGGAGATTATTGATGTTGAGCAAGGGATGGGGAGTATTAATAAGGGACTGGATAGGATGAGGAGGGGAGAGATCAGTGGTGGGAAATTGGTCGTTAGGGTGGCTGAATAGGCCGGGGTGAAGGCACTGGGATCCGGTTGGTGATAAGAGATCAGTGGACAGATTGACATCGGCTTTGGGCTTAATTGCAGTGGCAGAAGCACCTAGAGGTATCCTTTGGATGAGCTAATTGCATCCGAGTACCAGTGGAATCTCCGTAAGATACTGTAATCAGCTTGCCATTTACCGCCTAGACCTAGATTGGAATATTCCGGTCATTGTCCTCGAGACCTGAGATTTGCAGCTAGGTCTCGACCCTAATAACTTCCCCTGGTCTGGCTGTGGACTTGGTTAGTCTTGAGGTAAGGTAGACTTGACCAGGTCCAGGTCCTGGTGAAAGTTCTCGGGAATATCTGAAGGCCATGTGCATGCTATGCACTCCATCATTTCCAGCCATAAATTACGAGCCTCCTCATCCCATTGTAGCCCCAGGAGCGTTGGAAGTTGGCTGAGAAAGTCAAAGGGACTGAGGCCGTCTGCAGCTTTGCGGAAAGGATTCACCTTCTTCGTAGAAAGAAGCAGGCGGAGAACCCGAAAAAGCCTGTCATTGCCATTGCCATCGCGTTTGAAGCGCCAATTCCCGGGAAATGATAGGATTGATAGAACCGGACGTGAGGTTCTACATGCGTTTAGGCTTGCTCCTTCTATGCTTATAGTTGAATGGTTAAAGATGGATCCATGCATATGTGAAGCCGGGTTTGCGCAGCTGTGTCCCCTTCCATCCTTCTTAACAAACTGGTGAAGATAACTTGAATGTTTGATGGACTCCAGGCGTCCCCGATGTCCTTCGGCTGCCCACCGTAGCGGCGTTTTACCCACAAAGTCCTGCTGGTCCGGGACCACCAAAGGGTTGGTAAGGATGTCCTGTATCATCTTGGGGGAAGGTAAGGCCCGCTAAAAACCATGAGCTGCCTAAGAGAGTGGTGTTCGGCCGTCGATATCCGGCAGGTTGGAATCCAGCCTAGGACAATGCTTGATGAGAAGTTCCACAATAGAGTCGAACCTCAATGCGACTGCATAAGAAAAGGGCGTTAGGCCGTCGGGAATGGTGGCGTTTGGATTTACATTTGGACAACGAGTGATGAGAAGTTTGACAGTCTTGTTCTTATTGGACACAACTGCCCAAGCAAGGGGTGTCATTCCCCGGTCGTCGGGTATATTTGGATCCAGTTCCGGCCATCCATCGAGCAGGAATTCTACCATCGCCACGTTCTTCAGCTGCACCGCACAGCTGAGAGGTGTTAGACCGAGTCCATCTTTGATATTAGAGTCAAACTTTCTCAATCTCTTTTGGCCATGTCCGCGAGATACGTCCGTTTGCCGTGTCGCCTTCTTGTCACGACTGAGCCGCGAATCATGTGCGCGGTCGAGATTGATGGTTTGATATACTGGTGGTGACTTTACTACAAGAAGATGTAGCTCGCGAAGAAATCGTAGAAGATGCATATTGTCGGTTCGCAGAGCAAAATGGAGCGCAGTTTCATCTCTGTACAGCTGTCTTTCCAGCGCCCGCTGATCAGCCCCGTAGGCCAGCAGTAACTCGCCCATTTCATTTGTCGTAACATAAAACAAGGCAGTCCGGCCAAAACAATCGTGTTGTTGACAATTTGGCGAATTGTTTCCAAACACGAGTTGCCCAAGTTGTTTTCGCATCTTTTTGGGATTTCAAGATTCTTGCTGATACCACATCGACATTCATCTTCTCCGATCTGCAGTAGAAAGCTCTCGAGCAACTGGCAATGGCCGAAGGACGAAAGCAGTATTGTTGTATTGCACCAGCCACCAGCCGTCAATTCAAGCTTTTGCGGAGCGTAGTGCTTATATCGTAGCGCCTGCACCCGACTTCGAACTTCTTCCAAGGTAAGCTTGGTTGAAGGATCAGTTGTTGAAGCATTCACAAGTTCTCGGAGTGCTTCGAAGCTGTGGGTAATAATGGCAGTTTCCCAGGGGCTACGTGTGTGTATGTGCCCCCGAGATGACGTGTAAACCCGTCGAAACTGGCGGCCTAGGTTCGGGTGAGCACAAATGAGATGGTGAGTATTGAGCGTCGCGAGAAGATGGAGCAAGTGCGGTGTGTCCTCGAGATCCTCAATAACCGATGTTCCGTGAAGTTTCGTCGTTTCTACCGAGCTTACTTTGAAGATGCGCCATAGGCAATGCCACCTTGCGAGGTGGAGTGGAAACATCTGAAAAAGGTTGTCTTGTGAGACTCCGACTTCACAGGCCCGCTCCGCGTGGGCAAATAGGTTATGTATAGCGTAGGGTACGAAAGGGTATTCTTCCGCCTTGTATTCAACGGGAGAATCGATCACAGAATATGCTGCAAGAACGTGGTCCATGCAGAGATCCTCCAGCATTTCATGGCCTGTACCAAGGGCCCCGAAATTTGAGAGGCCAGTCCATTGATATCTGGTGGCACTTTTGCCTAGTAGAAAATCACGAACAGATTCATGGATAAACTGAACTGTTGGAGTGTAGTTATCGTCCAACCGGACCTTATTTGGACGTGTCGGCCTTTGATACGGTTGTACCCGTCCTTCCTTTAACCATTGTCGAGGGAGTGACTCTACCGCTACGTCATCGGCTGAGTTTGAACCGTAGAGTCGGCGGTTTACAGAGCCCAGGCCGTTTATTCTTGAAGACGTAGCACCTCTTGATGGTCGTGCAAGTGTTGAATGCAGACCCCTGGTATATATCGGAACGCGCCGGGGCAACGGCATAATCGTGTCGGATGCATCTAGTTCGAAGTCAGCTGAGTATTCGGAATATCCAGGTGCTTCATACCACGGACCATCATCTTCAGTTCTTTTAGCCACTGGGTTGTCAGTTTCGGTGATTTCGAACTTATCGTGCTTGTAATAACCATGGTACGACATGTGTTCCATCTTCTTATCGTCGGCGTTTGTGGACTTCCGACTCCTAAAGGTGGTTTGGTGAGAATTTTGATCATCTAGTCTTGAGCTGGGCCGTGTGACTTGTGCCAACCCACGAGAAGCATTGTCCACCCAGCGTTGTAGGTCCTCTGGGGTCATAGGGGGCTCATTGAGATCCCAACGCTGAAGGGGAGATTTGGGTTCCATCGCTCGAGTTGCCGCGACAAAAAGCTCGGGCGGCTTTAGGGGACGTGTAGAATACAAAAGTATTTGGAGGCATCGGATGGTCTCTCCCATGTTCTTGTTGTCTTTTGTCAGAATGCTTTCAAATACTAAATGGAGATCTGCCGGGATCTCGTCGAGTCGTTTTCTTAAGACCCATGACATTTCCTCTGGCGTACTCTCGGTTCAGGATATCGACGACGAGAACAACCCAGAGGAAGATACCGAAGCCTTTCCGTAGTAGCTCGGCCTTTATTCCATCTGCACGATCTTCCCGAACGTGAAGCTTGGCCTCGATATACCGAGCTATATCTTCGTTGTGCTTCTCTTGACGCTCCAAGACCACATCGATTCCCTTCACGGAGGTGACTGACGGATAATGTCGGCTGGCAAAACATATCTTCAGATCGATGGATTGATGATCAGCCAAGTCGACTAAGTCTTCAAAGAAAGATACCATCTTCCGGACTTCATCTTCATCGCACTCATCAAGTGCATCTATCCAAATCTCAATGGGTTGGTGCAACTGAGTCCATGCTAGTTGAACCGCCAGTGCAAATGTCTGAGTGAGTGACTCGACGGTCCAGTCGTTGTTGAGAATGTACCCAGTTCCGGCACTACCAAGATGATCCAGATATGACCAAAGATCCTCTCTGGAATGCAGTAAGGTGAATAGAAGTGCCCTATACCAACCAATAGTCGACTGTTCCAGCTGCGAACCTCTCACGTTGAAGAAAAACGACAACAAAATCCCCGGCGATTCGCCCTGTCGTCGCGTCGAGTGCAAGTATTTCATGAGTGTCGACTTTCCAGTCCCTGGCTTTCCTTTGACCCAAAGAAACCATGAATTAGGGTTGTGCTTTCCCGGCCTTTGCCAGTCGTCATATTCTTGCGTTGACAGAAACCACTGACGCGTGATCCCATGAGTCACCGAGATATTGAGGAATCGTGCGCCAAGCTGATCGAAGCTCAGACTTTCCACCAGTTTTACTTCTGCCTCCTTTTTTCCCTAAGAAAGTCGTCTGAAGGCGAGACAGTGGGTTCTGAATTGGGCGACAGTAGGGGTAATTTGGGCCGGCTGTCCATCTCCAGAGGTCGTGCCGCAGACGCCTGGTGCCTGTCAATTCTCGTTGAGTCACCCTCTGAGATAAGGTCCGGTGCTGAAATCTCAGGCTCCACACGGAAAGCGTGGTCCCGAGAGGTTGGTGGATGGCGTATCTCTTTGAGGATCTCCTGCAAGCAACTCGCCACCTTCTCATACTCAGGGTCGTTCAACCCGTAAAACCGACACATGTCCATGTGGTTGTCACTGATCCGTCTTAGAGTTTCGTTCACTGGCGGTCCTAGGCGAGACGAATGATCCTCAACAATCTGAGCCTGGAATCAGCTACAGCTGCAAAGCGGTAGGGTACATGTACAGTCGCTCACCTTTTTGCTGAAGAGACTTGACACCCCATACTCCTCCTGGAAAGTGTAGACGATTCAACCTCGTTGTGCTGCGAGCGTCTTGAACTCGTCCAGACTGAGTTGTTTCTGCAGGTTGTTCACGTTAGGCATCAAGGCGTCAACGATATGGTCATTGACATCGACGCCAAGTCGAAGAGCAAAGCCAGAAAGGATGCGATGGAAGTCACTTCGCGGGTCCGCGCCACGATGCGGTGTGTCAAAGAAAATGATGGCTACAGTGGAGCGGAAGACATCATCGTAGCGATTGCTACTGGCTTGGTCATTCCGATGCTGACTGGCCAGAGCGAGGGCTTCTCTGACAACTAGCCCACCCAAGCTGTGTGCGATGAAGACCAGCGCGCGAGATGCATTCGCATCCGGCGGTCTCCTGTCTCTCAGTTGCTCCAAGAGTTCCCGAGCATGGTCTTAAACGGTGTTTTTGCTGATTTGGCCTTGAGAGAAATGTCGTATCTTGGTATCGTAACCAAACGTCATAACCCTGGCAGATGGTAGTGTTGTTGGGGCCAGGTCCTTTGGCCAGTAGACATCTGCAGTTTGTCCGCTGCTGGGAACATCGCGACTCAGGGTGTCGTTGTTTGCTTTCCTTCTTTTCTCAGCCTTCTTCTTGTCCAGGGTCCAAGTCAACCTTGGATGACCGCTGAAACCATGGATGAAGATGATGCAGTAAAGCACGTTAACAAATGAACTGCAGCAATTGGTTATGATGGAAGAGATTGGAATGGTGGACTGACTCAAGCTCCGGCTTGACATCGCTCGGTTCAGCCAGCAGCGATATGCCCTGCGCGCGGACCATGGTCCTGAGGGAACGGAGCAATGAATGGTTCAAGCCGGCAATTGAGAACTCGGTGCCTCGACGACCGTTGGTAGTCGTTGTCGTATAAGAGAAACACCATGTTCTAGGTAGGCGTGTCGAGGAGCCCGAAGCGGGGAGACACGATTGACTGCTGACATTGAAATCTCAGCCGCAGAATGTTAGATTCGTCCTCCAATGGTTGGGCGTCAACAGTTAGGCAACAGTGTCGGGGCCAGCCGTTGGTTCGTCATTGCGTGGGGAAGGTGAAGTACGGACTGGGCGAGCTGAAAATGGTACACGCATAGTAGTACCTTATGCTGTAGCATGGAGGTTGATATAAAGAAAGGGAAAGTGTAAACGAAAGAAAGAGGCAAAGAAAGAACTTGAACGAAGGAGACGACGGAACCTGAGAAGAGAAAGCTTTCCCCGTGGAAGAACTTTCCGTTAAGAAGAGCAAGTACCTACCTCAAAGGAAAGCTTGGTGACGAGGCCTTCATGCCAAGAAGACAGAGGAAAGAAAGCAAGGAGCTTGGGAGCATACCTCAACAGTTCCACTTCGTTACCACAGCTTTTGGTGGTAGATCGCAGTTCCCACGACGAGGACCAAGATACCACGAGACCACCGATACAGGTAGTATCAGACACAGTCAGGTCAGCTCTTGCCGTCAATGCGAGGCGAACTTGTCGTGGAAGCGTGGAAGGAAGTAACATACCTCGCCAGATTGCAGAATGCCATGCCGCCGACGGAGTCCAAATGGCGCGCCCATACTCGACTCCCACTCCGACGCACAACGACAGGTGGTATACCAACGACCGCAGAATGCCAAACGCCAAATCCATTACACATAAACCCATAACATGCAATTACTACAAGATCTCCTTACAACTTCTACCTTTCTTCATCCATCATTAAGCCATCCAATCATTCCCAATCTCCCACCCTAACGTCCGACCCATCTAACCAAGATAAAACCAAAGTAATCCTCTCCCCACATTTACTTCCACTCTCACTTGTGAGTTCTACCTCCGCCTCCCCTAGAAATTATAATACCTAGGCTCATCAAAAACGTGATAATGATGCCCCCTAACACCCTCTCCCCTGAACAACGCCGGGAACCTCCACCCCTCCGGCACCTGTTGTTCCTCTACTCTCCTGTCTCTTTCGTCCTTGCTCGCCGCCAAGATCCTGCCCTTCTCACTATTATCCTTGGGCACTACGAACTTGGCCACTTGCAACTCCGTATCCGTAATGGTTGACCTGCTCACGCGGGCGTAACCAGTGCGGCGGAGGTTCTTGTAAAGGATATACTCGCACCACCTGTCCCAATCTGTGTAATCGACGTCGTGCATGCCTGAGATGTCGGAGACGTATGTGTTGTAGTTCCCTTCCAGCGGCTTGGTGACCAGGTACGAGAGCAGGACGGCGGGCCGGTCAGCGGGGATAGAGCCCATGAGTTTAGCGAGGTACTCGGATTGGAGACGGCGGTCTTCAGGATCTTCTTCTTGGCCGGAGTGGAAGACGAAGACGTCCACTGGGGAGCCGTAGACATCGAGGGTAGCGTGGATGGCGGGGGCCAGCTCGCCCACGGGGGAGGGGAGCAAGTGGTGGGTGGAGTTGAGAATGGGGAACTTGGAGAGCAAGGCGGCGCCCCAAGTGTGCTTGTTGGGACCCGGGCCGTAGTCAACGTACATGCCAAGGTCTTCGGCCAGGAACTGGGTGGTGTCGCGGTTACCCATGATGATGCGCTGCAGATCAGATTCCAAAAGGCCAATGACATCGACTTCCAGTTCCTTGATGAGGTCGCGCATGCGGTACTCGGAAGACCACATATCGTTGTCCAACGAGAAGTGAATGGTCCAGATGCCAGCGGTGAAGAGGCGGTCGTCGGCGTGGTAGGGCTTGTAGTCATACGAGGGGAAGCGCAGGAAGTTGGCGACGAGGAAAAGGATGTTAAGGAGGCCGAGGATGCCAACGTGGTACTTGCGGTGGCCAAACGAAGAGCTGCGACGGTCGGTAGTAGCAGCATACTTGCGGTTGGCTTGTCCGGAGATGAGGTCAAACACACCGGCGCCGATAGTGAGCATGGTGGCAATCATGATCCAATCGGTGTGCTCGCGGACATAAGGGCCACCAGGGACGAAAGCGTAGGCAACAACCCAAACGTGGAAGAGGACGAGGAGGTTGTAGAAGAGAAAGCCGACACCGAAAGTAACGGCCGGGCTCTTCTTGGCGGCCTTGCTGATCAAGGGCACGGCGATAGCCATGAGGTAGGTGGTCAGAATCAAGGCGCCATAATAGCCGAACCACTGCTCATACAAAGTAAGCATGGCAGCACCAACGCAAGCAATACCGTAGGCAGTCCAGTTGGTAACCATGCCAGGCCTGAAGATGCCAATGAGTAGACCACCAGTCATGGCAGCAATAGTGTAATAGGCATGGACATTGGAGACGGGGCCACGGACAGGGAAACCACCCCAAACCCAGAGAATCATGGTGCTAGTATCCGAGAGCAGGGAGTGGATAGCGAAGAAGAGACCACCAATGCCAAAGGCGGAAAGGAGCGAAGAGCCATTCTTCTGCTCGTTGATGTCCCAACTGTTAAGAGGAGCCTTACGGGTGAACCTGAGCACAGCCAAGACGGCAAGAACAAGACCGGTACCGTTCCATCCACCGTTCTCGGCATGCATAATGGGCCAGATGGGGTTGTTGGTGTACCAGGCGAACTTGGCAATGGAGGACATGAGAAGACCGGCGAGCCAGGCAATGACGCGGATCTCGAGCCTGGAGGGGTGCACAGAGTCCGAAGACCAAGTAGCAGCCCAGGCAAGGCAGCCCATAAAGACACCAAAACCGACGGTGAAGAGGCGGTAGACGGGGTCGTGGACCTTGTAGGCCACCAATCCAGCAAGCGAGAGGACATGGAAAAGGCGCTGGTTGTTGACAACGAGGGAGCGCAAAGGTCGAATACCGAGGAAGAGGGGGGCAATGGTGGTCATGACGAGGGCTTCATAACCAGAGATGCCCATGTGCCAGAGAGGGAAGTCTTCAAAATGTCAGTATGCTTCGTTGAGTAGAGATACCGAGATTTGGACGCCGACTTACACCAAATGACGAGACCCAAGCTGGTCAAGGTGGACCAGAAGACGAACTAAAACCAAGTCAGACAGAGCTCATCCAAGAGATTGTGTTGCATGGTATTGTACGTACGCCATGGTAAGCATCGGCAGCAATATCGAGAGCATGGCCCAGGTTGAACCCTGCAGAGTAGACGCCAGCGGTGGCTTTCTGCTTCCTGTGTACCAATCTTGTTAGTGTCTTGGTCGCTCTGAAACACGGGAACGGAAGGAGCGGAAAAGAACAAAGGTTTGCTTACTCTTTCTCTAGCACGGCAGTAGGAACGGACGAGGCGTTGGCACTATTCGGAAAGTAGGTTTTAGAATCTGACTTTTCTTTTTTTTTTGATTTTGGGCAATGCACACATGGTGATGTATGTACAGAAGCGCGCAAAACAGAAAAAAAAACAGAGGATTATCGTGGGAGCCATTGGACGTACCCCTTGCTCGCGCCCTTGACATCCTTGATAACCAGCTCGAACGTGTCAAAGTCCAAAGCCGTTACCGCATCGAAGGCAACGTCGAAGAGAATGAGGGCCCATTCGAAGAAGGCATAGATCGTGTAAGCTGTACGGCGCATCGTAGGCGCAAAAGGTTAGCGCATTTTGTTCTGTTTTGTCGCAAGAGTGTCTCCGGAGCTGGGACCTACCTCCGGCCACGCGGTGGACCTTGTGCTGGATAAAGAAGTAGACCAAAGGAACCAGAGTGCCAAAGAAGCTTCCAGCAATCCACTTCCTGTACTTGATCGCCTTTGCGTTCGGAGGGCTAAGCGCAATGCATCCGGTAGTCCATGGGATCGTGAAGACGATGTACGAGATCATGAGGATATCGTGCCAGTCATGGTCGTCGGTTGAAGTGATGTAAGTCCAGCCGCCGCAAGTAAGAGTTCGGATGACACCGGAAAGCGCAATGGCCTTGGGGAGAACACGGCCGGGCTTGGCAGTCAAGAGATACCAGAGTCCAACAAGGGCGAATCTCGGACCTGCCGGAGATTAGCATGGGCGGCGCCAGGCGCATTGGGTAGATTTTGTAGAGCGTACCGGAAGTGATGGCGATGAAGATCATGAATATCGATCGTTCGGGATATCGGTCGCCGATGGTGGCAGAGACGGAGGGAAACCACTCGTCAGGGTAGCCATACCACTCGTTCTTGACGATCTTGTGGTAGTGAAGGGCACATCCGACGATGAGGGCGCTAAGGAAGGCAGCTGGTGTCGCATTCGGGAACTTGTTAGCATATGACATGGTAGCTTTGGCTGCTGGGAATAGCCTCTAGTGCCGGCAAGTAAATATTGACATTGACATATGACGGAACATACCATAGGCAACCACAGTGTGTGTCCAGCTGATCCATTGGCCGTTGAACGAGAGCACCACGCCGGCGTCCTTGTCCTTGTACTTGGACGACACCATGGTGGCTTACTTGAGGGGAGTTGTTGTTTCGCGGAGATATCACGGGCTTGGAGCTTTCAACTTGTTGTCGCGCAGGAACCTGTGGTGACTTTGGGCTCGTTTCTCTAAGAAGAATATATCCGTGGCAGGCGACGGAGGGGTCGGGATCCGGAGTTAGTGGGATTTGGTGGACAACATGTCAGGGCCTCTGATCGCCAAAGGAGGACAGTGTTGAGACAATGAGTGACCAGCAAACAGCAAGAAAAGAGAAATGAAGAGTAGAGAAAAACGAAGAGGTTAGGTGAGACGAAAGAAGAAGCTCAAAAGACTACAGTCAAGGGAAGCTCGGCATGGTCCGATATGACAAAGCCCGCAGAGAGAGACTTCCACTTGGAGAAACAATCATGAAAGACGCCAAAGCGCACGATCGTGATTCAGGTCCCTGTCAATCGCTAACAGCCGGGCGATTACAGGGCCATTGGCGACCTGCCATTGGCGAATTTAATTGTTAGTGTCGCTCATAAGCCCGTCCATGTGCGGGATCCCCCAATGTCACTTCCACACTCGGTTAACGTGGCCGGTGTACCGCCAAGACCACTAGTCCCGGACAGGGCACTCGGACCACTTCAACTTTCCGTGAGCAACAGCGCCAGAGACCACCACGGGCGGCCCAAAAACCGAGGCATGTCAGTGGTGACAGCGGCCGCCCAGCCCACGCCCTTCCTGGAAACGGTGCATCGTATGAAAAAGTCCGGAGTGCCAAGACAAACCCCAACCTTCTCCAAGAAATCCCAAGCCGCTCATGTCAACGAAAAGAGGAAAGAGAAAAGGAAAAAGAGGTCATGAAACCGAGTGCAACATTGATTGTCGTGGTGGGGTAACCTTGCACAACTGAACTTGACGACGAAGCACAGACCACCCGTTTCGGTGAAGGCACGGTGAGCACTCAACTCAACTCAACTCCAATTGATTGAACCACTGCTGTGCAGCACCCCTGTCTGCAGGTCTCCACTAAAAAGTTTCTGTCCCACCCGGCCTGTGCAACTGCAGACAACGAACTGCGAAAGTGCAACTCCATTTGTTTTGTTTGGTGATACCGAGATAACATCGACAACCCATATCAACACAACACCGGGAACAGGCAGTCTCCTGACCACCACTTCAACTATCACGACAGCACTGCTCTGCTACGATCACCGCTACCACATCATCATACCACGATCGATCACATTTAATCCGACATCATGGGTAGCGTCGCGGAAAAGGCACGCTTCTACCTCGAACGGGCAGCTCCCCAGCTCCGCGACTTTGAGGAAAAGGAAATCTTCAACAAGGTTAGTCTGTCCCTACCATCCCTCTGTGTTTTTACCTCTCAGTCTAAACACCTCTAACACCTTCTCCCTTACCAACAGGATGAGATCCGCTCCCTCGTCACCAAGCGCTCCGACTTCGAGCATCTCGTCCTCTCCCCAGGCACCAAACCCTCCGACTTCCTCTCCTACGTCCAGTGGGAGCGTTCCATGGACCGTCTCCGCGCCAAGCGCTGCAAACGTCTCAAGATCCGTGGTTCCAACACCCGCCCCTCCGAAGCCCGCGTCTTCGGCATCTTCGAGCGCGCCGTCATGAAACACCCCGGCTGCATCCCGCTCTGGATCGCCTACCTCGATTTCGCCGCCGAGATCAAGGCCACGAAGCGGTGGCGCCGCGTCATCACCAAGGCTATCCGTATGCACCCCAGGAGCGCAGTGCTGTGGACAATGGCGGGTCGCAACGCGGCGGTGCACGGCGATATGGAGAGGGCTAGAGCTTACTTCCTCAGAGGGTGCAGGTTCTGTACTGGGGAGGTTAGCTTGTGGGTGGAATATGCCAGGTGCGAGATGGAGTGGTTGGCGAGGATAGAGGCCAAGAAGAACGGCAAGGGCGTGCGGAGGGGCGCCAACCCAATGGAAGCCATCAAGGCTACCGAGGGGACTGAGATTGAGGGCGACCATATTGCGCTGGACGACTCAGACGAGGATGACGAAGTCGACGGTGACGAACTCATCTTGCCCGACCCCGACGCCGGCGAGAAGAAGAAGAAGCCCGTTTTCGATGCCGAAGCCACCCGCAAGCTCGAACAATCACCCGCTCTTTCGGGCGCCATCCCAATGGCCATCTTCGACATCGCCAAGAAGCAGCCGTTCTACGCCGCTGTGGCATGCGAAGCCTTCTTCGACATGTTTGCCACTTTCGGCCATGTCGCTTGCCAGTCCAAGATCACCCAGCACGTTTTGTCCGCTATGGAGGAGAGCTTCCCCAAGTCGGCGTGCACGGCGAGCTGCTTCATCAGGCAACCGCTTATTGGCGTGGATATCAACACGCCAGAGTTCCCCAAGGCTTTGCGCGAGTCTTTGGCGAGGCTGCGCAAGGCTTATGCGGAGCAGACGGAGGAGAAGAAGTCGCTTGCTGGAAAGATTGTGGATTGGGCCAGCAAGATTTTGGAGATCGAGAGCGTGGATCCTGCCATCAGGACGGTGTTGGAGGCTACGAAGAAGGGGTTGGAGGCGGAGTTGGCTTAGAGGTAGAATTGGTTGATGATACCCATGATAGAGTAATTGGTTCTTTGTTTATTTTTTGCATTATATGGTTGGCTCATTATTTCGGCCTACTTTATTGCTGCACTTGTTTCGTGACTGTTATATATTTTGATATCCTGATTCTATCCGGTGCCAATATGCCTCGAACACTCATACCAAAGGGGTATCTAATTTCACTCCTCTTCTGCCTCTCCTCACTTTCCCATCTCTTTCCTCCCATCCAGTTACTTCCCCTTCACTTCCCCTCCCTCCCCGTCCTCCCCCCCGCCTTGTCCATCAAAAACTCCCACTCCCCCTCACTAACCTTACTAACACTCAATCGACTCTGCCTAATCAACTGCATATTCTCCAACGCTCCCCCCTTTTCCCCGGCCCACTCCCTCAATTCTTTCAACCCCAACTCCCTCTCAAACTTCTCCCTAAACACCACATGCACCAAACTCCACGGATTCTCCTCCCCCTTATCAACCTTCGCCTGAGCTTTCGCATCAAAATACGCAGCTTTGGGGTCCACCGCCGTCCAATCCTCCTCGGCCTCCTTGACGATTTCCATTACGCCTACGATGCCGGGGGAGGGGCAGTTACTGTGGTAGAAAAAGGCTAGGTCACCGCGCTTCATGGAACGTAGGTTGTTTCGCGCGCTGTAGTTGCGGATTCCGTCCCAGGGTTCGGGGGCGGTGCGGGTGCGCAGGTCGTCGATGGAGAAGCGGACGTCGTGCCCGTTTTCTAGGCGGGGGAGGGGTTCGGCTTTTAGGAGCCAGTACTGTCGGCCGGAGGAGGAGGAGGTGGTGGGCGTGGTGGTAGTAGGAGTGGTGGTGGTGGGCTTGGTGGTGCGGGAGCGCTTGGTTGGTGGTTCCTGTAAGGAGGTTAATCATGGCCATGGGAAGCGTTGAAGAACATGAAGTGATGGATGAAAATAGGGTAGTAGTCAATTTTGTGACGGTGAAACGGCGTTATTCAAAAATGATGTGAACTCAGGGCGCAAGTGAAAGTGAAGTGAAATTCATAACAAATAATCCATCGCGCCGCGACTCATCACCTCTTCCGTTCATGTTCTTACCTCCACTTTCTCTTCTTCCTTCTCGTCTTTCACATCATTCGCCTCTTCGTTAACAGCACTCAGTAATTTCCTAGGAGCCTTTCCTCCCTTGACCGGTTTAGGTTTATCCGCTTCCTTCTTCACAGTCACAGGCGACACCACCCCTTCGGTTGTTGGCTCAACACCCTTGCTCAACCGCGAAGAACGGCGACGCGTAGCCTGCTCAGTTTGAGGCTCAGGCTCGGCGTGGGTGGATTTCCTTTTGGGTGGCATGTTTGCTGAGAATGTTGTTGATGTATGGATTGTTGTGAAATTGGGCGAGAAAGGAGTGGCTTTGAAGAAGGTGGTGGTAAGTCGTGGTGTGGATATGAAGTGGAAGGGTTGACGTTGAGTTTGACGTTGGATGTTGTTGGTGGTGCCAAGACTTTGGGGCCTGGATGCCGATGGACTTCGCAGCAGAAATTTGCTGGGGTGAATGGAACCTGCTTCGTTGCAGAACAAACTTCGGAGGAGCTTATGCCTCATTTTGTATTGGAAGAGTCAAGAATCAAGCACCGATGCAATGCTTTTCTTCTCTGATCTATTTTTTGCGAGGTTGTGATTCTTGAACATCTGAACTCCGGGCTGTTCATCGGTACAAGGTTGCACGGACCATCTAGGAAGTGCATCGTAGGATCATCTGCAAACATCACCATGAACAGCGGAAACCTTGGTGGATGATTCGTTTGATATATGTCTTCCTGCATCAATAATCTGGATAGGGTCTCAACCTGTAACCCTAATAGCGAGTCTTAGAGATGGTGTCTGCCATTGTTCGGGATGCCGGTTGAGTTGGAGGTTACGGCCCCACACCTCCGACCCTGTCCCACTTATCCGGTCCGGCCCTCCGGACTCAAGCCGATAATGTCAACCAGAGCCAAACTAGGGTACGTTAGGACCGTATGTGTGTCTAATTGACGGGTCTTTCATCAGCCTACTTTCTGTCGTCTCCTTACGTCGTGAGTCTGCGACTCATGTTCGGACTTGTACCAACATTTGTTCCAATGTTGCTAAATGTCATTTCTGGCACAAAATCATAGAACCCTCTCTCTGTCACCATGTAAGCAGATTACTTAGCTCCTCCGACCAAAGCTTGTTCAGGGTCCTTCTTTTTCTATCCCCAATGTGAAGGCATCATTATCTCTTTTGCGAACCTGCTCAGATAAAACGAGCATTTGCTTACCACCCATCGATCTCGAATTGCACTTTCATGTTTTCAGCAGCTGCTCACATGCGTCTACCTGCAATGTATGATTTGGCCTCGACTTGACAACCTGCCACAGTCCATTGCCGTGTTTCTTCTCCTGGGCTCAGCTTACAATAGTGACCGTCGTAGCACCGAACGTCTACAAGAGGCACACGCCAATTCCGAGAACACTTGTATGACCTTGACGTGTGTGGATGGTGGGACAAGTCGGACAAGTCGGACAGACGCTGTGCATAGCTGACCTAAAGCGGAACGACATGGGGAAGTCTTAGTTAAGATGGAGATCCGGCTAGGGGAGTGAAAGTCACCATGGAAAACCCCAGGCAGGGAGATAGGAGGAATCGAGAATGGGGACGCAAGACGAGAAAGCTTGGAAGTGATGTTCGTGCCTGGAAAGATGACAGTGGTTATATCGGTGTTGTCGGGGCAGTTGATGCTCTAGACAAATGCAGGACGTCGATACGACGAAACTACGGCTTGTTTGACGTCGGGGTCTTCTCATTCTCATGAGACGAAAGCCGATGAATGGGAACAGCAGTGGCAAGCGGGTGGCTCGACGAGTAATATCGATCGAGATGATGATAATTTCGACCACTGTTTTGAGTTCTGAACCTTGGACGAATCGACTTGACTCAACAAGGCCTCCTCGTTTGAATATCAGACCTCCACATATTCACCTCGCATGGAATGTCGGTCCTAGAATGTCCCGATGAAGCTTGACGATGAAGCAACAAGGTAAAGAGGCTGGACCGGGCCATCCATTGTGTCGGGTTCAGGTACCTTGGGAATCTGGGATTGGCAGGCGTGTGGCTGTTGGGTCACAAACGCAAGGTACTGCCGGTGATGTTGCGTGGGTGTTGCCCGGTCTTGGAGGAGGACTACCGAGTTTCACTTTCGACATCCATGTGACGCTTCTCAATGTGTTTATTCGTTTGAATATCGGAAAAAAAAAGTTGAGTACGAATAGAAAAGAAGGAATGGAAAGGAAGAAGAAAATGGAATGGAATGGGACGAGATTCTTTCAAAAGTTGTCGGGCAGATGACGAGGGGATTGCATGTTCGCAGATGTCTTCCCGCCCGACGACCCTGTGCTAGGGCGGGGGGTTTAGTTCCCGCACATAGCGGGCAGGGCAATGCTCGTGGTGCGAAAGGGGTGAGTGACTCTGCCACCGAAAGTAGCAGAACATTAAATGGCTCGATCGCCCACCTTTTTGGCCGTTCCTTCTCCTCTTTCCATTCTTTTTCGTTTCATTAGACTTTCTTTTCCATCGTTTCACTTTCTTGAACCCATATCGGCCATCGTTGTTGATTGATTGACAACAGCTTCCATCACCGTTAACACAATCGAGGTACCTTTTTTTCAGTGGATATTGTTAGTGCAGATGGTCACTTTCTTCAATTCAACGACGTCGAGGACGAAGGAGATCCGCGAAGGAGACAACAGCAACGACGACTGTTCAACAACTGAACTGATCTTGGCCGAGAGATATAACGCACGGGAAAATGCTTGGAAAATTGACAAATTCATCAGACACATGGCGTCGCTTGGGCTGCCCAACTCCCCTCGACCGTGTATCCGGCACTGAGATGCGGGTGACCAGTCCAGGTACCTTGTCACCCAACACCAACGCCTGGAGGGATGAGGACACACAAACCCCAACACAACTTGAAACCACCATAAGCAATCTTGAATATCAATCGACAACTCTCACCAGTTCGAAGACCAGGATGGTTCACAAGGTCAACCGATGGATTTCTATTCGGCATTGGAATGGAATACCGACGTGCTTGGTTCTGTTGATCGGTCGACGGCAAATTCAGTCAAATCCAGTTCTGCCGGACTTCGATTTGGTGGCTGGTGGGGTACGCAGCATGTACCGAAGCGCACGGCAAGCGGGAGAGACGGCGTGACGAGATGACGGAGCCAGCTGCAGCGGTCAAGCAACTTGAAGAAATTGAGCGAAAGAAGGACTATAAAGAGGAGGAATAAACCCTTTCCTTGGGAAATGAAGTCCATCTGTCAATCTACTGACATTATAGTCCGACTCGAAGAACTCGAACAGCGATAAGACAACCCGGATATCAACGGAACTGCCTCCGCCCTACGACGGTACACTCACATCGTGTCTTTTCGAACGCAATATCTGGACCACCATGAATGAACGACATGATCATCTCAATCCAAAAACCCGACCATGGACCCTCTTGGAATTTCAAAGGTTGACCACGGAACTTTGTCTCAAACCTTTATCGTCAGAGGTGAAGGATGCCACTGCCTAGGGTTAAGACGAGTCGACACCAGAACCAAAGAAAAGACAAGGTTCAGATGATGGATAAACATCCATAACCCAAGGAGAACACCGGGTTTCAGCATCGATATCCGCGATGGCCACGGGATTGTCACTATGACACAGATACAATATGCTCAAGGCGTCCACGAGGCGATTTTTTTCGACTTTGTTGGACGTCGATGGCAACATGTCACAGCTTGCTGGGAGTTTGGGGAAACGTACGTGGGGTGTGCATTCCGCTGCCATCGTGTTCATGGGAAGGAGCAGTTGCTACGGTTTGCTAGTTAAGTACGGACTATCACACCAAACCTGCGGCTTCTGTTGGTATCTCGTTAGCTGCCACTATCTTCGCCCATGATTGGCCATGCTGACATGGCTGCGCTAGCCTGTTGTGAAACCTGGAAATGACTTGGTCGGGGGCTGACTGGAACTCACCACTGAAGCAGCATCTTCTTGCTGCTCGCTCACTTTCGTTGACTGCAGCTTTTCCTCCACCGGTCAGACAGCTGCTGGCTGGACACCACCATCAAGAACGCAGCCGACCAGAAGAGAAAACCGCGACCGCGCTTGAGCAACCACCCTTACCCACGCCCTCTGCTGCTAACTTACAGACCGCAGGTAAGACTCTGGTCTCGTTATTGTCACTTCTATCCTGCTGTTTGCGTATTACCTCGGATCCAATTACACCAGCTTCAGAGCTACAGCCTTGTGATGCTCTGGCATTGAATATTTCCCCATTGACACCAGCATACCGGAGCTCAACAATCACATAGACTTTGTGTTTGTTAGCCCCTATATGTACCCTTCAATTGCTCTTCTGAAAATAGCACAACCTCAACGGTCTCTGTCAGGGACACTGAACATCATATTGTCATGTAAACTTCCCAGCCCTTCCTCATCGGTTTCCGACATGGCGGTTTCGGTCGTCAAGTTCAGGCATCCCCCTTTTTTTAACAATCCGAGTCTCTGGAAACACAGAGGAACTTTAACCCATCCAAGTGGACGCTTATACACTCAATATCCTGTGCCTTTCCTTGATGCCCTCCGAAGCATGGAAACTTCTCCGTCAAAGTTGAGCCAAGAACGCGGCTCCAAGACCGGGAGTAGTTGACGAACTCACTGTTGCCTCGGACACAGCATTGAAGAGAAGACAGCAAGAGGTTCCAAGAAGTGGAACATTGCCCAGAGTTGTCAAGTGGCTCTTGGGAAGTGGAAACCAGTCATTGTTTCTTGCAGCGGAAAGATCGAGCTGTTAATCAAGTGAACCAACTTCATCCCATCCAATGTTCACGATATTCCAATGGCAGCAGTCTAGAGTTCCTCAGTGATCAGTGACACTTTTCCCTTCGTTGGTTGCACTCGGCTCATAGCCTCTTAGAGCAGCTCCTTGCCAGCTGCCGGATTGGAGGAACAACTGGCGGATATTCCTGAAATAACGCTAGTCAGCTGTCTGCCAGTCTCCCGCCAGCAGTCAGCACTCCGAGTCAGCACTGCCCCCCTGTCGTCTCAGCATGTAGAAGGTCAAGAACGGTAGCAAAGCCGACAAGACCCAAAAAGTGACGGGATCGCTTGTGTTGCGCACGGGCGTGATTCTGAGTGTCCAGCCAGAAACCGACTTGACACTCTCTTGCTTTCTCGTACAATCCCGTCTCCATCAACCAGTTGTTGCTGCCACTCGCTCTCACTGCGCTCACCCACGCACCGCACCGCACCCACCCAAGCCAGCAGACCAAGCACCCATTCCCGGAGCAAGTGCCAGTGTCAGTCCCAGTCCCAGTCCCAGTCCCAGTCCCAGTTCCCCGTCCCCCCGTCCGTTCCCGACCAACGCAAAAGAAGCCCCAACCCGCGACGCGACTGCGACTGCGACTGAAGTGCCCTGCTCCATCGCGACCAGCCTCTGCCGTGTCACTACACGCCGCCCTATTCTCATCAATCCGTTCCTTCATAGGCCATGCTGGTGCCCTGGCATATGCCTTGTTGCTGACCCCTTGACCTGAAGGAAAACACACCTCACGCGGTAACAGCTGATGGGTTCGACGGTGACCATTCCGATTCCCACACTTGCCACTACTAACCGCCGCCGCCGCCCACACCCACATCTCGACTACCCTGAGTACCTCGACCTCGACCTCGATCTCGACCACACGATCCATCACCACACCCACACTTACACACTCCTCGTCCAGCTCCTGCTCCCACCATACCCGACATGAGCTCCTGGATGAACGATGCCGCAGTCCAGAACCACAATGGCAACGGCTACCCCCACCTCAATGTCAACGTCAATGACCCGTCCGCCATGACCAACAACATGGCCGCTGCCGGCGTTATCGACCCGGCCGCCTTTATGGCCGCTGCCAATCCCCAAGTCGCAGCTCAATTCAACGTCAACCCGGGAAACACCATCAATCCCGCCCAGTTCGCGAACCCCCAGATGCTCGCCATGCAGAACGGCCCCATGCGCAATGCCTCACCTGCTTTCAACCAAGCCATGTACCAGACGAACCCCATCATCCCCTCCAAGCGGCCCCGGCCAAGGGAGGATAGTATAGGCCAATCGCCGCGCCAGGCCCCCGGCATGGTTCCGACTTCACGCGCCGACACGCCCCAGCAGTCGCAGTTTCAAGGGTTTCAACAGCAGCAGCCTGGTATGGGTCAAACACCGACAGGGCAGCCGAATCCATACCCCCATCTCCAACCGAACGGCTCCGCGAATGCGACACCCTCGCCCATAATGAGCAACCAGATGCGCCCTGGCAGCGTACCCCAGCGAGTGGCCACAGCCTCACCACATCCCTTCTCGCCCGCCGCGCAACAGTTCCCGCAGAACCCCCCCATACCGTCCGATCATGGCGGCACGCCTCAGCCCAACTATATGCAGCAGAACTTCGCGCAGAACTTTAACCCCCAGTTCGCCCAAGCGCAAGCCTCAGCACGACCGAGCCCGTCACCGAACCCCATGGCCAACCAGATGATGCAGCAGCAGATGGCTGGGATGCCGCAACAGCTACAGATGCAAGGACAGCTACACGGTCAGATGCCCGGGCAAATACCAGGACAAATGGGCGGACAGATGGGTGGACAAATGCCAGGGCAGATGACAGGACAGATGACAGGGCAGATGGGGGGTCAAATGGGGAGTCAAATGGGGGGTCAAATGGGGGGTCAAATGGGAGGCCAAATGGGCCAGATTCCTGGACAGATGGCCGGTCAGATGCAGGGCCAAATGCCCGGGCAGATGCCAAGTCAGATGGTCGGCCAGATGCCAGGACAAATGCCCAGCCATATGGCCAGCCAGATGCAGGGTCAGATGGTTCCCCTACAGATGATGTCCCAACCAAGAAACGCCATGGAGCAGCAGCGATACATGCAGTACCAGATGCAACTTCAACGACAAGCAAACATGCAAATGCAACAACAAATGGCTGGCCAGAACATGATGCAACCACAGAATGCGGCTCAAGCCCAGGCGCAACATGCTCATATCCAACAAGCGCAAGCTGAAGCGCGAGCTCAGGCGGCGCATCGCAACTTGATGGCAGCCAGAGGAGGACAAATGGCTCCCACGGGAATGCGCCCTCAGCAGGGCATGCCTCAACAGCAGCAGCAGCATCCACAGCAGCAGCCCATTGGAAGAGGAGACCCCAATTCTTTCCTCAAGAACTTGACGGCTTTTATGAACAGCAAGAACATGCCATTGGAGATTAGCCCGGTTGTTGAAGGTCGCCCAGTCAACTTGGCTTCCCTGTTTCAGCTCGTTTACCACAAGTTTGGAGGTTATCGCAACGTAACGCAGTCAAACGGTTGGCCGCAAATCACACAAATGCTTGGCTATCCCGTCCATCAGGTGCCCCAAGCGCCGCAACAGATCAAGAGTGTTTACGAACGGAATATTGTCAAGTTCGAAGAGGCATGGACGGCGCAACAGCGGGCTAGACAGGCCGGCGTTATGACCAACCCGCAAAACATGCAACAAGCTCAGCCTATGAAGCCGATGCCACCAGGGCAGATGCCACCAAACCAGATGATGCCAGCTGGGCCACAGCCACCTATACAACCTGGTCAGATGCAATCACCCATGAAGCCCCCAGTTGCGCAACAAGCGAATGTGAATGGCTTTCCTGGGCCGCACCCCGGGCAACAACAAGCGAACGCCGGCCCGATGGGCCACCCGCGAAACAGCCTCTCAAGGAGCTCACAACCTACACCAACAGCAGAAGAGTTCCCCATGCCTTCGCCGGCTCACAGCAAGGCTGGAAGCATGTCAATTCCAGGATCTGCCCACCCAGAGAACCAGCCGATGCCAGGACAGGTAGTCGAGGCCGCACCTGGGTTTCCCAAGCCGACGCGGGATCCAGAGATCTACATACCTTGTTCGAGAGAGGTTACCACATATGGCGGCGTGGATCTTGGCTCGGTAGAACACTTTGCAGAACAGTTGCGGAAGTTCAAGCCAGACGTTCCCCATCTTACGGAACTGGGGAACATCGACGTACATGCTCTAACCAAGAGCCTCCAAAGTGGCATCCACGGTGAAGTGCGCCTTGCTTTGGATGTGCTCGGGACAGTTTCAGCCACATCACCAGAAAGCGGCAAGCAAGATCCTCCTCAGCCGTATCTCCCACTAGATCTTCGACACTGCGATGACTTGGTAGAAACATTGATTGAATGCGCCGAGGAGCAAGTTGACCTGCTAGCCGAAAACTCGGAAGAAGCCTCCGACGAGATCACCATCACCTCCTACGAGGATGTCGTCCGCGCCAGCCGCGTCGAGAAATTCGCCCTTCGTAGCGTGCCCCTCTTCGGCTCGCAAGAGTACGAGCTTGACCACGCAGCCGACAGGCTAATAGCCATTAGCACTATCCTGCGCAACCTCTCCTTCCTCGAGGAGAACCAGGCCTGTCTCGCCGACGAGTCCGTCATCCGCTTCCTGTGCAACACGATTAGGTACCTCGGCACGCGCGAGATGTTGCTCCGCACGCAGGTCAACACTCTGGACTTTATGAAAGACCTGGTCATCCTGCTCTCCAACATTACGCGCTGCGTGGAGATCCCAGGGAGGGAACAAGCCTTCTCCTTGCTCCAGTTCCTCCTTGCCTTTGCTCCCTCGCCAGCGCCAAGCATGTCTCCCTCACCCGACGGCAACGATACCGACCCGGGAATCCTCTTCTTCACACCTTACGACCCCTCAGTTCACCCATACCTCCCACACGCAATCGACTCGCTCGCCAAACTCTTAGCCCGCGACGAGCCGAACAGGACGTACTACAAGAACATTTTCGCCAGCGAATCTCCCTCACCTGGTCAAAGCTCACCAGCAGACCTGCTAATAACCCGCACCTTCGCCCTCGCCATCTCACCCGTCCCAGACCTTTCTGCGCCAAACACGCGCCCCGCGAATATTCCTTCTCTGATCGAAGTCAGGAAGCCTTTCCTCATGCAAGGCTTGCTAGCCGCCGACATCCTCGCCTCCATCACCCCCGACGGTCCCATTGGAGCCTCCGTGGCAGGTATCGACGCAGCCGAAAACGGACCAGCTGGCGCCAGCGGTGGCGTGAATGTTGCCAAGGCCTGGCTCTCCTGCGGCAACGGCCTCGTGCAAAACCTCTTCCACCTCGTTCGTCAGCTCAGCATGCAATATGAGTCTCAACCGGTCGGTCCCGTAAGACCCACAGGGCGCGGCGCCGCAAACCAGCAACATAACAAGCGAGATGCGGATCTGGTTTACATCGTCGGTTTGGCCGTTAGCATGCTTAAGAAGCTGGGCGAGAAGGCTGCGAAGGATTCTCCTTTGGGAAGTGGTAGTAGGTCTCGTTATGGTGCGACAGTGGATAGGATGGAAGGGGTAGAAGGGGATGAAAGTGATTGGGAAAAGCAGAGGCTGGGGCAAGATGGACTACCGGCGTGTGCGGTGTTGCCGGGCAAGGATACGGTGCTGGGAGCGCTGCAGATGAATGCGGCGGAGTGGGGGAAGGAGGGCATGTTGAAGGATTTGGTTGCTTTTTATGTGTTGGGAGAGTGAATGAGGTTCTTTTCTTCGGGTAGTCTTTGGGGTTTTTAATCTTTGGGAAAGTTGAATTGAATTGGGGTTTGATGAAATCGGTTTTAAGCAGCCGTTACTGCATGAAGTTGGGGAAAAGAGGGAGAGAGGGATGAAGTGCATGGTGCAGATGAGATGAAGAGGATGACGACTGGTGATGTTAAGCGGGAGCTCGAAAGATGGGTACGTCATAAAGACATGGAAAAGCGAGTGAGAAGTGAGAAGTGAGAAAGAGACAGACAGAGAGAGAGAGAGCAAGAAACTCGTACATAATAGAGGAGTTTTTGCGCCTTGCTTTGCTTTTGTCTGTACCTATGTACCTATGTTTGTCTATTTGTCTGAAGAAAAGTAGGCGGTTTTTGTCAGTTTTTATTGTTAATTAATACCTTCACAACATCAAATATCTTTGGATTTGGACAGGAATTGGCTGATTCAGTTTGCAGTTTTGCAAAGTGCAAATGCATGTCTTGGTTGGTGAACGTTAAGCAAGCCAAGTTAAGAAGGTGAAGAGCTAAAAGTTGAAGAGTGGAAAAGAGAGTCAAAGTGTTGAAGAGAGTCAAGAAAACAGGAGCTGCTGTCATTGATCATGCATGAAGAATATCATACACTACTTGAAGTGGGTATTATACGGACTTGAAGTATCATACTTACGGACTTTATGGACTTGAGTGAACCCGCATCGAGTGAGACGTAACATTGGAGTTTATTTGTACAGAAGTTCTGCTTGAAGTCTTTTTGGACCCTCCGCTCCAACTTCACAAAACCATATTCTTTCCAAGCTCACAACTCGGTGAACCAGCGGCGTCATTTTCTGCTGTGCCCTTTTGTATGTCCTTTGCCCGTTCCCGACACCTCTCTCTCTGTTGGTGGTACAAGATGTTGCAAATTCCGAAGTCTTGGTTTGAGACGGAGCCAAGCGAGGAGAATGAAGGAGAGACCGACTGTTTGCTTGTGCGTATAACGCAATTGAACCTGATGTATCACTGGGAATATGATGTTCAAAAGTGAGCCCCAATCGAGCAAGTATAACATACAAGTATATTGTACAGCGGTTCTACTCGAAATATGAGCCCTCGAACCCCTCCTCTACCTATCTCCACCGATCCGTGTGCTCCCAAGCTCATAACTTGGTGAGCCCGCCTTGTCGTCCATTGAACACATCAGGACCACCTCTAAATGCAAGTGAATGGTGCCGACTTTTGTATATCCTTTTTTCCTGTTCCCGTCACCTCTCTCTCTTGGTGATACAGCAAGCATGTGGTATATTCTCCCATCGTACATTTTGCCCTGCCTCTCGCACGAGTATGCTCAAACTTCCCATGTGGCCACCTCTGGAGTTGTTAATGTATCAGCTTCGAGTGCCCTCCATATGGCCTCGCATCATGTTCCCAACATTCCCTCAACGCAGTTGGGCAGTCGTAGCAAAGGCTCTCACGGTTTCAAGCGTGGGCTGGTGTTGGCTCGACTCCGCTTGTCATTGGTTTCCGTCACGGCAGAAGTCTTCGCCTAGAAGCCCAAGCCCTGGAGGAACTTGGTGATCTCCGCGCTGCGGTGTCCCTGTTTTTGGATTCCGTTAGCATCAGTTCTTTCCACACCTGTGATGTCTTCTCTCTTCATCCTTTCCCCTTCTTTGTTCCCGTCTCCTCCACGACCCTCTTTCCTTCCCCTGGTCTTTAGCCACTGGGCAAGTTGATGTTCCCTGTTGTCTTCCCTTCTTCTTTTCACTTCTCTGTCTTCCCCATCCCGTCCCGTCTCTTTCATGTTTCCCCACCCTTATTCACCCTCTCTCTTCTCCCATAACAGCAACGAAGAGATCGGTACTCACATCAACCTCCAAATGTCCCGTCGGCACCTTGACCCGCACCTCCTTCACGTCCAACCCAAGGAGCTGCGCAAGATCCCTGCGCAAAGCCTGGCCATCGCCCTGCACCTTCTTGATCTGCGTGAGCTTCTTGTTACCACCGCGCTTGGCGAGGTGGTAGACGGGCAGGCGCTGGGTCCAGGCGCGGCCTACTAGGTAGGGCTTGGGCACGGGTTTCGATTCTGTTGGCGCAGCGGCGGCGGCGGTCTGAGTGGTCTGGATAGGTGTGGTGGTGGGTTGTGTGGGCTGGATTGGTGTCGTCGTCGTCGTTGTTGTTGGTTGCGACTCGGCGACGGCAGAGTAGAATCGGGGCTGGAAGAAGGGAAGGACGGCAGCGCGGGTTGCGGGCTGGGCGACGGCGGTGGCCCGGACGAGGCCGAGGAAGGTTGGGCGGAACATGGCTGTTGTGTTGTGTTGTGTTGTGTTGTGTTGTGTTGTGTTGTGTGGTGTGGTTGTGGTAAAGAAAGGCTGTCGCGAAAGTGAAAGCTGGAGGTTCGAATCGGTCGCAACGGGATCTGATAGGCTTGGCTGGGATCTGTAGTTGAATGGAGCTGCTGCGGCCGAGAGGTTCCCCGTTTCGGTTCGCGTTCAATGGATCGGTGGTCCCGCGTCCCCGTGGGCCGTGTCCTCCGTGCGGCGGGTCGGTCGCTTCGTCTGGAAATTTGGTCGGTAATCGGCAGAATTATTGACCGCCCGGGGGTCCCCGCCTGCTCTGCCCCCGTCCGGATGTGCGCCGAGCGGAGGGATGAAAGTGCTGAAAGTTCGCTGAAAGTTCGCTGAAGCTCCAGGCCTTTGGGGTGCTCTACACTCACCCCTCCGTGGGGCATCGAAGTGACACCGCATTCAGCGCTGAACGTTGAGCAAAAACACAGAGGCACAATTTGATGGTCCGTGCTCCTTGTCAACTGAACTGAGTGAACCGCATTTTCCCAATTTTCGACCCCACCAAAAGATTGACGGGCCACCACTGGACGGCCACTCCGCAGTAAAGAGTTCACAAAGAGAAATTTGGCGGATCGCATATCGAAAGCGCCTGGAGACACGCCCTCCCATTCCATATTCCATCTTTCTTTTTTGATAGTCGACCGACCCTCCCCTCCCCGGCCCTATCTTATCCCACTACCTACCGTAATACCCCCCCTCCTTCCAGGCCTCGACTCGACCCGACCCCGACTTTGACCTTGTCGTCCACTCCGTCTGTCTGTCTGTCTGTCATCAACACCATCAACCACCACCACCACCACAGATATCCATACACATCCACGATGGCTTCCACATCCCCCGCCGCCACCAACGGCGACGCCGCCCCCGCCAGCTATGATCTCGTCCTCAAGCTCGCTCCCCATCTCGACCGCCACATGATCTTCCCCCTCCTCGAGTTCAACGCCGGCCGCCTCAAGGAAGATGAGCAAGACAAGGCTCGCGAGATCCTCGCCGCCAAGTACGCCCTCCTCAAGAAGACCAACATGACCGACTACGTCGCCAACCTCTACTGCGAGCTCGAGGGCCTCAAGGAGCCCCCCGCCGAGTACGCCGAGCGCCGCCAAAAGGTCTTCCACCAGCTCGAGAAGTACGAGCAGGAGACGGCCAAGATCACCGAGCTCCTCCAGCGCGACGATGTCGTCAACAACCTGCGCTCCGACAAGGTTGCCAACTTGGAGTTCTTGAAGAAGGAGCACGAGGTCAGATTCCCAACTATTATGTCACCACTGATGATGAACGCAAGCTGATGTAGTGACGACGACAGGTCACCCTCGACATGGTCAACGCCCTCTACGACTTCGGTCAGCTCCAGTACTCCTGCGGTAACTACGCCGATGCCTCCGAGCTCCTCTACCGCTTCCGCGTCCTGTCCACCGATAACGACAAGGTCTCGTATGCCACATGGGGTCGTCTTGCCTGCGAGATCCTCAGCATGAGCTGGGAGTCCGCCATGGAGGAGCTCCAGAAGGTGCGCGAGGGCATCGACACCAGGCTCGCCAACAACCCGCTTGCCCAGCTCCAGCACCGCACCCAGCTCGTCCACTGGGCCCTCTTCCCTCTCTTCAACTACGACAAGGCCCGTGAGCCCCTCCTCGACCTCTTCTTCAACGCCGGCTTCATCAACACCATCCAGGCCAACTCCCCCTGGATCCTCCGCTACCTCACCGTTGCCGTCATCACCAACCGCGGCCGGGCGAAGAACGCCGGTGTCCAGCAGAAGCAGATGAAGGACATTGTTCGCATCGTCAAGCAGGAGGCCTACGAGTACCAGGACCCCGTCACCCGCTTCGTCCACGCCCTCTGCATCGACTTTGATTTCGAGGAGGCCCAGCACCAGCTCGTGCTCGCCGAGGAGGTCCTTAGGAGCGACTTCTTCCTGCTCGCCCACGCCGACGACTTTGTCGACTCGGCCCGCCACCTCATCTTCGAGAGCTACTGCAAGATCCACGCCCGTATCTCGCTCAAGGACCTTAGCGCCCGCCTCGGACTCAACAACGACGATGCCGAGAAGTGGATTGTCAACCTCATTCGCGACACCCGCCTCGATGCCAAGATTGATTACAAGGAGGGCACCGTCGTTATGAACCACCCCCCTAGCTCGGTCTACCAGCAGGTTATCGAGCGCACCAAGGGCGGTTTCTTCAGGACGCAGGTCCTGACTGCTGCTGTTGCCAGATAGGAGGTTGACGATAGCAGCGGTAGTAGGTGGAAGTTATCTGATGTGAATGGTGGCGGCGAAAGGATACCCGGGTCGACACAGAAGGGAAAAAGGGACGATGAGGAGAGGACTGGGGAGGATTTATTGCGGTTTACGGAGCAGCCCAATCGCAAGAGACGGGAGCGATTGTCAAAGCGTTCGTCGCAGGTGTGACAAAAACTATCATCGAAGGTGTGAACGCTGCGGACATCAAGTGGCTAGGATGACTCCGCTGCTTTAGGGCAGCCGAAATGCTTCATTCAACGTCTGGGCTTTCAACCTGGCCTGGACGAGTCTCGAATATCCTCACAGTCTCTTTTCCCAGCGCAATGAGAAGAATTAGAAAGTGGGGATCCAAAAAAGGATTAGCGATGCATTTCGAAGAATAGACCTTTTTTTCACCGTTTCTTCTACTTGATAGGATAGTCTATCTCTCAGCGTTTGGGAATTGGGATCTGTCGCTATTTTCTCGTGTGGGCAATCGACTCGGGTGGTCAAGGTAGCAACAAACGGATCAGGACAATGGAAGGGAGGTTTTCAACGTCCTGACGAACAACCGGTGTAATTATACCTCTTTAGTGTGTGTGTGTGTGTGTGTGTTTTCTTTTTACAGGCTTTTCATCAGATTCAGGCGTATTAAAATGGTTACAATGGCTCATTGAACTTGCTTTCTGTTCGCTTATCACTCCAGTCGGCTGGTTCCGTCCGGTCGTCTTCTCCTTCCGTGATAATCATCACGCGGTAGTAGTTACAGTTTGTCGTGGCAACGGCGATCTTTCAACAAAGGCTATGACGATGAACTGATGAGGTATGCTCCTTCCCTCTTCCTTCCTTTCACAACATCTCCCCTCAGACCCAATTGACGGCAACAGCTGGCCTGACCTCACTCACTGGAAAGTACTTACCTCTACGCAGCTAGGTCGATCAGGCCGGGATCGGAACTCGTCCCCCTCCAGCGATGCGGGTTGATCGCCGCAGCGCTCTGGCACGGAGGAATCGACAGGAGACGGTCGGTGCTTGCTGCTCAGCTCGTCCAAATGTTCACCCATTCCCCTTCCATGCTTTCTGCTCCATTCACCTCTCTCTCTTCGGACCTCCAACCGAATCTTTGTACCCAGAGCCATCATGTCTGCCGTCGCCGATCACCGATTCCACTCCATACATACGGTCGACGTTCAAATACATGACAGTCACAAGCTGGTGTGGAAGAGAATAAGCCATGGCTGACAGGCTTCTAGAACAGGCACAAATCCTCAATCACTGTGGGAGCCATCCATATATTTACCAATCATGTCAGTTAGCGAGCAATACAACAGCGACCAACCCCCGCTTTCCGACGCCACATGGTCAGTCGGGCAAAATGTCAGGCAGGCGTGGCAGGGTCGAAGCTGGCCACGGAGCCTCACCTCACCAGAGAACTCAGCTCTCCTTACGAAACCCATGACACCGGTCATTCATAGCTCCAACCTGTTCGTGAATCGCCGACAGCGCCATCAGTACGAGTATCAACAGCGCCAATTCCCAAAAAGACGTGGCCGCGTTCGACCTTGGCTTGCTGGTAGTATCTATCAGCGAAGCCAAGATGGTCTCCGATCGGGGCATAACGATCCTTTATGAGCCTTCCCCCCCCTCAGAAGCCCAAGGTCGAGTAAGTTCATTCATTTCCTATGTCGTTTCTTCCAGGCTCACCCAGGACAAGTGAACGTACACTGCGGCCAGGCCAGACCACCTACATGACATCGCCGTAAACACTAAGGCGATTTCTATTCATCTCATAGCTTTTGCTCCTTTCATTCGTCCTTATGGTCATTCATAGCCCCCAGTAGTCGTTTATAGTCGTTTATAGCCGTACGATCACGTTGGTGCCTTGTCATTTTGCCCTTTACGCTGTGCTTTGGAGTCTGCATTTATTTCTTCCGGGCGATTCAGTGCCCTTAGTCATATGCTAACTTGTTAATTTTGATCAGCATCATCTTTGTACACGGCTTCACGGGTCATCCCAAGGACACTTGGAGTCTCGCGGCGGAAAAGGTCAAAAAACACAGACCGGACGTCAAACACGATGTGTATTGGCCGAAAGACGAACTCCCAAAAGTGATCCCGACCGCCCGAATACTTACGTTCGGTTACGACACACAGATTCGCCATGTCCTGCAGGGTCAGATTAGCAAAAATACCCTAAAAGACCATGCCCGCGAACTTTTGGCACAATTGAAAAATAACAGAGGCTCAGATGAGACGATACTACGTCCACTAGTTTTTGTTTCACATAGCTTAGGCGGGTTGGTTGTTCGAGAGGCCCTTACCGTGGCTAGTCTTCGCCAGGAAGTCTGGGCTCGCAGTGGGCGCTATGAGGAACTTGTCCAATCGACCATTGCTATTCTTTTCTTCGGAACCCCCCATCGGGGTGCCGATCCTCGAAATCCCGCATATCGTCTGCTTACCTTCGCCGCTAGGAAGATTGGTTATAAAGATCCTGCGCAAATAGTGAACGCCTTACTACCCAAACTGGACGACTATCGAAGGCATGTAAGCCTTACAGACTTCTTAACTCTGATATCAGCAAACAACTGGACGGTTTACAGTTTGCAGGAGGAATATGGACTTGCGAGTCTGGGCGGTAAACAGGTTAGTATCCGTGTTTCATCTTTCCCGTGTCCTTTTGGGTGTTAGCTACGGCTGCTAGCTACTCAAATAGAAGCTAACTTGGCGCTGGGGATACTAGGTAGTCGAGGATGGCTCATCAACGCTGGCCGTCGAAAGCGAAATCTGCCGGCGCATTAGCGACAATCACATGAATATGTGTCGCTTCCATTGCGGTTCAGATGATCATGAATACCAAAAGGTGGTCAAGGCTCTAGTGGATGACATCCTCCTCAAGATCCGTCGCCAAAACCACGCGCAAACACGCCAAGTTGGTTCAGACCCTGGTGGTAGTCTTGGGCAATCACCGCCCTCAGCCCCTTTGGCCTTGAATGTTCGTCATGGTCCATACTCTTCACTGTCTCTTGGGCAGTCAGTGTCATCAGATCCTCAATACCAACACAATATCATCACAGGTTATCACCTACCTCTAGGCTACCTCCCAACAATCGTCTCTTCATCTGAACAACAATCAGGCCCTTCAGCGCAGCAATATGTACAGGTCAGGACTGAGGAGGCATTACCTGACATGAAGTCCGCTGCGCTCCCCTCAGCTTTGGATGCAGAGCGTAAGATGGATATCCGCTCTCAGGTAGAATCAAAGATTGAGCAGGAAATCAAGGAAAAGATGGTTGGTTTGCTCAAATTCGATGAACTGGGTGCTAGGATGGCAGACATCAGACCCGCTCAGATGCAGACATGTCAATGGTTCTTGACCAACTCCGCTTACACCACATGGAAGAACGGAAATGAGGGATTGTACGACTCGGGTTTTCTTTGGATCAAAGGAAAGCCAGGTACGGGAAAGTCGACCTTGATGAAGTATCTTCACTCCGTCCATTCCCGTCAAGCAAACTGTAGAGTGGTTTCTTTCTTCTTCAATGCCAGAGGTGCGGAGCTAGAAAAATTGACCCTTGGTTGCTATCGAGCACTGCTGTTTCTCTTGCTTGGCGGTAGAGAGGATCTCTGGAAAGCAATGAATCGTGTTGACAAAGCAGGCCGCTCCTACATTGTGGCAAACGGATGGAATACCGGACTTCTTACCGAGACATTCAAGAACGCCGTGGAACTCGTGGCACAACAACAGCCCGTGGAATGTTGGATAGATGCCCTAGACGAGTGCCAAGACTCAGAGGTTGAACAGATGGTTTCTTTTTTTGAAGACCTGAATGAGTTCATGCTATCCAAGGGACTCCCCTTCAGGGCTTGTTTTGCATCACGACACTATCCGAACATCGTTGCGAAGAAAGCCGTCGAAATTGTGCTGGAAGAAGAACCACATCACGAAGATGATATTGCCAAGTACTTTGCTGCCAAACTTCGACTGGACAATTATGTTCACAAGTCCGACATTGAGAGCAAGATCTTGAATATGCCGTCAAACATCTTTCTTTGGGTTGTATTGGTTATACCAATTCTCAACCAGGCGTACGCCAGGGGGAAGATCCCAGCCCTGAGCAAGTGTCTTAGCGAAGTCCCTCGTGATTTGGACGCTCTTTTCCATTCCATCTTGACTAGGGACGAGGAGGATACGCAAGAGCTGCTTCGATGCCTGCAATGGATTCTCTGCTCAATAATTCCACTTCAGCCCTTGGAGTTGTACACGGCCATGCAGCTGAGTACCAGCTCATACTCCAATGAACATTTCGAAGCAGTTGATCCACTCCATTCTTCAGGAGGTACTTCCTGCGACGATAAAATGTCGACCAAAGAATTGCAATACTACGTCAACAGTGTCTCCAAAGGACTTGCCGAAGTTACCACCTCCTCAACTGTGCAGTTCATACACGAGTCTGTCGGAGACTTCTTACTGGGCAGAAGTGGTAGATCTGATCTGCTGTCGACCATCAAAGGTTTCCAGTTTGGTAATCCCGGAGAAATTCACGAAAGTCTGAAACACGTCTGTTTGGATCATATCATAACAGCGTACTCGGCGATCTTTTCAGACGATTCTTCGGATTCTCTTGTCTCATCAGCAGACCACGCTGTGAAACACGGCATCGGACACTACTCCTTTCTTTCGTATGCTGTCACGAACGTTTTACTTCACGCTGATCAAGCTTATCATCAAGGCATTTCGCAAAGTGTCTTTTTGCAGAACTTCCCGATTCATAAGTTGACTTGCCTCTACAACGCTTTGGAGGGAGACGAAGGAAGCGAGGACGTCGAAGGCGAGCAAGACGAGGACGACGAAGGTGATCAAGACGAGGACGACGGAGGTGAGCAAGACGAGGACGACGAAGGCGACAAAGACGACAACGTGGAAGAAGTCGAGGAGGGAGAGGAGGACGAGGAAAACGAAGAAAGCCTATCACCCTCCATGCTCTATCTTCTTGCCCAGTTCGATGCCCATCACCTGCTCCGAGATCATCCCGAACTTCACCAACAGTTCAAGCTTCGTTGTGGAGACTGGGGATATCCCTGGATGGTCGCGGCTTGGAATGGCAACACTGAGTCACTTCGACACCTCGTTAACGCTACAGGTACAAGCTCTTCCTCTTCTCTTAGTTTGCAAGAAGTGGACTCTTTGCTTAAAGGCATGTACCGTACTACCCCCGATAGGGATCCACATCCTTCGGTTAGATTCAAAGAAGGGGATTCTGCCACAGCGGCACGCCTTGTAGCATTTGGCCATGGGCCCCTTCTCGAGACCTTCCTCCTACAAATCAGTTCACGACACTGTGAGTGTCAAGGAAGCCCGAAAGAAGTTCAGACGCAGACTCAGTCAGATCCTTGTCCTACAATGGTCCAGCGCATTGTAAACTGTCGTTTTGCTGACGATGGCTCCACGGCCATTTTTTGGGCCCGTACTGCAGAAGCTCTGGAGGTTCTTTTAGCCTACGGTACCAATCCGAAGGCTCAACGGCACGGTGGTCAAACCGTGTTACATAACACAGTGGGAAAGAACGAGGATGAAACTGGCATGGAGCAATTAAAAGCCATCTGCTCAGTACAACAAGTGAAGCTCAAGCTCCCATCATTAAGATGCTCCATTGAACCAACAATGGAAAATGGCACAGAAGATGACTTAGATGGGATCTTTCATTCACTCACGCCTGGTTTTGATATTAATTCCCAAGACGATTGGGGATGGACGGCTTTGAATGTGGTATCAGGTGCTGAACCTGGATACAGCTCGGATGATGGTGTGGTCCCGCTATTGTTGGACACATTTCCTGACATTGACATCCATCTGAGAGATCGTAGGGGCATGTTTCCACTTCTATGGGCAGTCGTAGAGGGGTACGGGACGACCGTTGACCTCTTATTACGTCGCTACACAGAGTCTGATCTCCATCACCTGAACAGGCCAGATAATGATGGACGGAATATTGTGTCTTACGCGGCTGAGCATAACAGATATGAGACGGACGGTTTGCGTCTCCTTCTCGCCAAGTTTCCTGAGATTGACCTGGATACACCGGATAACCAGGGTTGGACTCCCTTGAGATGGGCGCTAGATTTTGGTTACGAGTTCAACGAGGAACCCATATGGCTCCTTCTTCAAACGAACAAAGTCAACCCCTTCCATGGACTCGGGAATGAAAGTTCCCCCTTCCAGAAGATGGTGCGTGACGCGAAGCGGCATACTAAGGATGGGGAATACCTAGCACTTGATGCAGACAAAATCTTGCTCAAGATGATCGAAATACGACAGAATGAGGAGATAATGGGCGGGTTTCAGCTCAAAGACGAGGAAATCTGTCGGATTCAAGAAGAGGTAGCGGAAGTCCAGAAGCTTCTTGATAAGACGGATGTTGAGGTAGCGGAGGAAGAGGAGGAGGCCTGTACAGAAGCCAAAAAACATGGCCTGATGAGCTGGCTGAGACGTATGAAACGTAGCCAGATGAAGATTCAAGAACAATGATTTGGAGGACATCATTCATGAAACTGATGGAAATGGTGGCATCATTACTCACACGGAATCGAGGGGGGGCAAGTGCTATGTTCAGCAGAAGATTGCGATATTTGGCATAGGTTATCCGACGCACCGACTGGTTAATATACTGGTTTGTTTGGTAAGGTGGTTCGAGACCTTGCGACAACTTCCCTTGACGTTTTCACTCCTTTTTCATGCGGTTTCAGTATTCTACTCTGAGTCTGCTCATTTACGAGGTTAAATACGTCATGTTAAATCATGTTAATATACTTCTAACCCGTATTTGAACATTATGCTCTGCCCTTGTAAGGTTCAGGACGACCCAGGTGAAACCTCTTATAACAGACTTGAAGTACTGAAAGAACACGGAGCAGATAGCATTGGATGGCATGGCGCCAGTATTGACGGAGACCATCATTAGATATACGTTAGAAATGAACCAGTGTGGCACGTGAATGGCGGGCAGCGCCTGGTATCTAGGTAAGCAAGAACCAGATCATAGGACCACGTGCTACAGTAGGTAGAACCTTACCTGCCGTAGCTAGACCTTGAGATTAATGCCTTTTCTCAAAGCTACCAGACAGTTGAGATGAAACCGCTGTTGGTAATCACGGGAAAGTCAAGAATATTCAGTGCTTAGAGCAGGGTGGAAAGAGGAAAGCTGAGTGGGATTCTTAGCTGGAAAGTGAACTTACATCCAGGAAACGTTTGGAGACAATCGGCATGCTTGCTTCGATTGGCAAGGACTTCCACTCATTTAGAGAACCACCACACGTCGCAATGTTTTGACGCTGTCATCTGTTGGAGGCTTCCTTATTGTGTCGGAATATTAGGTGGGGTTCGTCGCAGACTTCAAGTCAATTCCGATGCTTCGTCTCTGCTGATTGTGCCCGTCGTGCCTTCCATAACAACCTTGAGATCACCCTTTCCTTCCTCAAATCATTCTTCAAAGAACACTCAGTCGTCACCCACCAAAGCACAAGCTGGGTCGTGTTTCCATGTTTCCCATCATCCTGGATGCCCGTCGTCTTCCTTCTCTTCTCTCCCCTTCTCTTCATGGGTATTTAAATTCTCTTTCGTCGCCCAGGTTTCTTTTTGTTCTTCTTCGCAATCAAACATCATTCCCAATAATTGTTATCACCAGCATCATTTATCACCACCATCAAGATGATCACCACCCAGGCACTTTTGGTCATCCTTGGCTGGTTGGGTACTCGTGATCTCCTCGGCGTTTCCGCTCTTCCTGGTCCCTCAACAGGCAACGTGTCTGGCGTCCCCAGATTCCATCGCACTTTGCGAAGTGTCACCAGCAACACCAACGCCACCAGTCCAATTGACACTGGCTCTTATGATGTCTCGATCCCTGTTGGCCTCCGCATCCTCGAGCTCTTCCAATATGAGGTCCCCAAGAACCGTGATGACCACGAAGAGGGCTCATACCTTGGTACTGTCGTCTAGTGAGTTACCTCCACTGTTCACACTCCTTTCCCATCACAAAATTTCCTTCCTGTCCACCTTTCGCTCTCTTGCCACACCCCCTCAGGCATCTGAAGATCCATACTGACGATGACTTCAAAAGGTACGCCGATGACCCCGCCCATTTCGCCTCCAACCACTCCGCCGCTCCGAAAGAAGCCTGTTCACCCGAACCCGGCCCAGCTCGATGCTCCACCCGCTACGACTACCCAGCCTCCGCCGACCTTTGCGGAGTGCTGATTGATGATATCATTGGAGATATGTACAGGGGCTCTCCATACTTCGCGAACAAAATCAACTGCAGCGACCATAACAAGGCCCCTGCCTCTTCTGTCCCCTCCGTCACACCCGCCAGCACCTTGAACAAGACCGGCGCCGTAACCAAGATGTCCACCATCGCTACCTCAACGCCCACCTCTCATCCCCATCCCCCCTTTCATGGAAATCGCAAAGTCTCATTCCTCCCCTACTCTCCCCGCTCCGTGTGCCTGTTTGTCGCATCGACACAGAAGCAGTGCTGCGTCAGCTGGGCGGACAATCTGCGCCAGGGAAGGAAAAACGGGGCCAGCATCGTAGAAGCGCTGCCTGGATACTTCTTTCGGAATGGCAAGCAGGTGTTGGACAAGTGCGTGGTGGGAGAGCATGTGTACGGCAAGGTGCAAGATACCAGGGTGGGCTTGGATTGTACTACTCAGTGCATCAGTGGGAGTGTCAAGAGTGGGTGTTGGAGGGATGAGTGATCCGGCTTTGGGATCGCTGGAGGACACTAAATTTGGGAGATGATCGATATGGGAAGTTGTAATGTTGGCGTGGTGAGCAATGGACGAGAGAAGAGACATGGACACGAGAGAGTTCAGTGATGGTCCGTACCGGACTGGTAATCCTAATGACCTTGGACGCTAGAAAGTTCCTGTAGTATTGGTAATAAGCATTACATTATGACTATGTCTCGTATGCAGTGGTGATACTTCCCAATGTGGCAACCAGTGCTTGATCATCCCCCCCGTCATCTCCCATCTGGCCTAGACATCACACTGCCAAGGAATGAATATCCAGTCAGCTTCCACTCTGGCATCTAATCGGACCCGGTCATTGCCAAGTACTCTGCCGCTGCTCCCCTCGCAGCAACCATCCAATCCTCTGGCTCCTCCTCAGCCGCTGGTCCTCTCTGACTCTCGTACGCCTGCTCCTGCTGCCTCTTGTTGAAACCGTACACATCGGTGTCCCTGTCATCAAATGTCAGTCACCATTCGCAGCGTTCCAAACCAGGAGGTAACACTTACAACTCAAACGCATCAACACCCTCCCTCCCTTCCGCCTCCTTACTAACCCAAACAGCCACACTCCTGGCCGCAACAGGGAACACTCCCCATCCTTCCTCATCAATCACCACCTCACCCGGGCAAAACTTGAGCAAATCCGTCCAAACTTCGCCCGCATGTTCCACACCCACGTACATCCTCTTACTAGCATGCTCCCACCAGTTCGCCATAACACACGCAACTCCCGCGCCTCCAGACTGGCTATAATGCCCAGTTCTCGTGAACCCGACACAATGCGGGTGATCAAAGTAATCATGTTGCGTGCCGTACGCCCAAAGTCTTCTAGCTAGCATCAACTTCGGCAGAACCTGTCCGCCGCACATGGGTGGTTTCCAGTGCTGCGGGTCGGGCAGTGGCGTGTCGTTCAAAGAACAGTCGTCTTCCGAGTCAGGAGTGCTGGTGGAAGTAACCCCGAAGGAACCATACAGATCCGACCAGAAAACACACGGCACTCCCGCATTTGCTCGCAGCATGATTAAGCTGTAAGCCAAAGGCATAAAAAACGGCGCTATGGGCGTTTCCAGCGATTGACCAGATTGGGTATCGTGGTTCACCACGAACGACACAGTGTTGTGCGGTTTCCAGATACATAGCGTATCATCGAACAATAACCGGAGGTCCGTGTCGGGGCTACCGTATGTTATTCCGGGCGCGGTGGCAGAAGATTGCAGATGTTCCGAAGCCTGCGAGATACGGCTGAAGTTCGAAACCAACTGCACGTCGAACAGCGAAAGCCGATGGTGCATATACTCGATGTATCTCGCCAGAAATTCCGAGTCTTCGCGCCAGTATTCGCCTACTATGTACCACTGGTCTGGGGACCCCGGTAAGCCGGGGGAGACGTGGCGGTCGATATGCGCCAATAGTTCGCGGACGAAGGCGTAGGAGTAGTGCTTGATTGCGTCGAGCCGTAGTCCGCCGAGCTGGGGTAACTGGGTTTTTAACCACCACGTCCAGTGAAAAATATCGCGCTTTACCTCCGGATGTGCGTGGTCGATGTCGGCGAACATGAGGTAATCGTAGTTTCCGTTCTCTTCGTCCACGTCCTCAGACCATTCCTTGCCTTCGAATTTCCAGATGGCGTTCTCCTTGCGACAGTCGTCGTAGTCGATACCCTTGAAATGGCGCGCTGACCAGCGTAAGGGCGAATAGAGGCCCTGCCGGCCGGGGAAGTCGTAACCAGTCCATGCTTCGATTTCTGAGGGTTCCTCGTCTAACACCACCCGACGATCCTTGGGGTCGACTCGTCGAGCAAGAACGGGTTCCTTGAAATCTGCTGCGGCTTTGTGGTTCAGGACTGCATCGAAGAGCACCGAGACACCGTATTGTGCGCCGATGGCGACTAGTTGTTGGAGTTCTGACTTGCTGCCCCATTTTGTCTTGCGAGAGCCCTTTTGTTCGAATTCACCGAGGTCGAAGAGGTCGTAGATGTCGTACCCGTTACCGGTTTTCCAGGAGGCTTTGCAAGCGGGCGGGATCCAGATTTGGGTTATGCCTAGCTGAGCTAGGGAGGGGATTATTTTGGAAAGACGCCGCCAGTGTTGGAAATCTGGGGGACAGTACCATTCGAAACCTTGGAGGAGGATGCGGTTGGGCGGACATGGTGCGTCTGGGGGGAAGGGGGTGTATGTTGAAGGAAGAGAAGAGGCAGGACGGCGGTGTCGGAGGGGACGGAGTTGGGAGGAGGTGCCGCCGTAGGGAGGTGGTGGTTCGAGGGTTGGACTTGGGTATTGGGGGGATTAGACCGAGGAAGGCGCTCATTTTGGCTTTGGCTGGCTGTCGTCGGTGTTGTTGATGAGAGGGTGAGATGGTTACACTAGGTCAGGGAGGCCGTAGCTGTGGAAGACAACAAAGATGGGATGATGAGATGTTTATAGTAGACATTTTGATGATAGGGTGGATACGACGGAAGGAGGAAGAACAGTCACATGCGAACGGGACGGGGGTTCCATGGTGATGGTGGTGGATGAGAAAGTGGAAAAGGCGGTGCCGGGATGAGATGAGACGATCGGAAATCTGGGGTTTGTCTGACAGAAATATGGGTTTCTGTTTCAGGCTATCTGGAACGTCAGGTGATGGTTGTTCCTGGTGAGGTGTTGATCCATGTTGTTGACCTGTGACTCTTTATGGTATCTAGTCAACCATGGATCCATAATGCTATTCCCAACACCTATTTTGTCCTCAGTTACCCCTTTTCTCCTCATATAATTCCCATCTTGTCTTCATCCATCACCATCAAGCTACCTAATATTCTGTCCATCGGATCTCTGCCGAGCCTCCCACGCCAGTCTTTCTCCCAGTGTTCGTATTGGCGGTCTCCACGCCCCTGCTCCAACCCCATCGTCCACTGGAGATGTCGGTCATTGGCCCCCATTGAGCCGCTAAACCCTTCGCCGGGATGTTCGCTGCAACGGCTGGGCTGCCCCCACCGGTCCCTGAAGATCGACCGCCTTCTGCGCCTTCCATCGACGTCTTCCAAGACTTTTCCAAGCTTCCACACCGAAAGTCGTGATCCACGAGAAGATGATCGCTTGGTTCATTCGTTGTTTATCTCTCAATGGGGATACGAGGTTCGGAGGACGGAAAGATCGGTCGGGGTTTCGCAAAAGGCGAGAGGTCGCTGTCGGTCCGTCGATAGTGTCGTGGGATTTCGCGGGGTACTAACGGTCGCGCATTGCGGGGGTCACAATGGTTGGGGACACGGGAGTCGTCGATATCAACCATCAAGATCGAGGGACGGGAGATTGGGTTCAATTGCCTCGCTGGCCAAGGCTGGGAGAATCTGACGCGCTGGTCACAGAAGCCGTTCGGGCCGGCACAGCACAGAGGCCCGGGCGCTCCGACTTGGCATTTCGGGCGGTCGGTTGCCAAGTGCAGGGGCAGTGGGTAGCGCACGCGCGCTCAGTGGTCGGTGTTAGCGCCTCTAACAATCGGAGTCGGGATATGGGAGAGACGGCCGGCAGCCTTGCAGTCAATTTCATCATTATTTTCCATTTGATAATAATATCTCGGACTCTTTTGGTAGGTAGCCGATATCAAAAATAAGTTTTCCCTAAGATTCACCAAGTATTACCCAAAAGAATGTGTGATTTCACCTTGTTCACTCACCAGGGTGTCTTGACCTTCCCGGGCGAGCCACTAACACTAACACTTACAACCACACGTTGAACACTAGCTCGACTTACATCATACAAACCGCGACACATCTGATGGAACGAGACAAGATCGATTCATTGACACAGGTGGTATCACAAGTGTTCACCAACTCCCTCAAATTCAACTGTCTTTCATTGGAATCATGACCTTGCCCATATCATTGACGGAACTTTTCCTTTCAAACGCCTTGAACGCCGCCGCTGTCAAATGACATGACCCGATGACCTGAAGCCGAAAACCAACCCCCAATGCGAACCCAAACATGAATATCATCAAGAACATCAGTCATAAACCACCACCCCCATTTCATCGACGGATATCCCACCGCGGTCCCCTAATGTTCCGAATCCAACAACCTAACAATGGCATAACTCGTCCCCGCCGCCAGCGCTCCAATAACCAACGTCTGCACCGCTCCCCACACGCCCGCCTCCTTCGTCCGTATCGTCACCCAATTCTTCACAAACCCAAACACCAGCAAAATAATCGCCGTGATAACCACCGACACCCACAGCGCCTCTCCCGTCTTCTCCATAAAGAAGTACGGGACCATGGGAATAAGTCCTCCAACAAAATAACTGAGGCCCATGACGCCCGCACTGACCCACGCCCGGTTGAGATCAGGCTCCATCATCCGCAGCTGCAAATCCATCAAAAACCGAACCAAGTTCGTCTCGTTCCCCTTTCGCGATAAGTCCTGCACCAGTGCAGCGGCAGTAGGGCGAGAAACGCCGTAGTCGTCTTCTAGAATAGAAAGAATTTCCGATTGTTCCAGCTGCGGCAAGTTGGAAACTTCCCACGCTTTACGCGCGTGCTCAGCCTCCCAGTGTTGACGCTCCGTTACGCCTGCTAGGTAAGCGCCCAGACCCATGGAGATCATACCACTAAACAACTCGGCTAGGCCGCCCATGATGACGAGTTTGGTTGACCCCAAAGTGGATAAACCGGCTGTTAGGGCGAAAGGGACTGTGAGGCCATCGGAGAAGCCGAGGATTATATCGCGGAAGAGACCATCGAGGGGGTTGGACTTTTTGGAGGAGGAGGATGCACTGTCGGAGGATGGAAGTTGGCGCGGGCAAGGGCCGGCTGCGGTGACGGAGGAGCTGGTCAGGCAGGAGCGCATGCTGCGGATTGAACCGGGGCGGGATCTGTGTGGTTCATATTCTGAGGCAGGCAGCTGGTCGGTTGTTGTGGGTCTTGCGCCGAGGAGTGGCGATGTTTCTGGTGACGAGACCATGGTGTTGTTGGTATAAGTTGGTCGGGTCGGTTGATGGTATGGTTGATGACAGTGGTGTGTGAATTGCGATGTTGGAAATGGATGTTTGGTTATTTCCAACTGGTGTTTGAAGCGGGAAGGAAAGTTCGATGGATGATGGATGGATGAAATAAATGGAAAATGCAACAGCAGGCAAATAGAAGAAACAGCAAAGGGCCGGCGTTTTGATATCAGAAGCTGAGGAAGGTGATGTGAAAGGTGATCCATGTCACTTTACCCCGGGGTGCGCTTGGGAATGCTGACCATTCCTCGCTTCGCTATTGGACAGAAAGGTCCGGCACTTGAATCCCAGGGTATGAACGCAGCCAAAATCGATCTTGGTCCAGGCAAGAGCAGATGCAAGTCCAGACGGCAGGGATGACCACAGACCGAATCATGTCTCTTGCATTTCTGTTTCCTACCTTTCTTTTACCTTTGGACGTTCAAGTTGGTCATCATCATATCTGCTGCGACTGGGAGCCAAGCAAGGGAGGAGCTAGATGATGATCCGGGTTAGGGTTACACATGGGTTCTTGTCTGAAGCGGTGGTTAGCAGCGTTGTTGGCTTGGCACGGGTCTTCACCACGCTGGGCACTCTGCACAACTCAACCACCATTCCACCAACTCACAAGAAAAGAATCAATGTAAACCAAGTGTGTTTTTCTCGATTGGAATCTTCTCTCCAACATTCCTTCTTGGATGTGGTTGTCTAGTTGTTCTTCTGTACACTCCTGCCCTGGAATGTTCGTTAGCGCGGACTGGACTTCACTGCACACTCTGCCCAACTCAACCTTTACGCCACCAGATTCGTTGTAACAAACTGTTATCAAGCAGATGCATTTCGAGAGCTTCAGATACACCCTCCAATTTACTGCTTGGAATTTGGATCTCCTGTTATTTTTCCGTGTTATTTTGTACACGTTCTGTCCCAAGAATCGCGCTAACAATCAAACTCGGACTCTCGTTTCCGTTTGTTGGATTCCACTGCATGATGATGACGGAAAGGGACCCAAGATTTGCCTCCCACTGCACTACCAAACGCCATCGAATAATCAGAAAAGAACAAAGCAGAGTAGATGCCTTTTGTTGCTGCATTTCCATTTCCCGTCTTCAAGATGTCGCAACGGATTGCAACACGCGTGATTTATGTACATTGACCCCGGCCCATATTTTACTCTTGCGGACCCCAGCAGCCGTGCTCACCGCGATATCAGACTTCAACCCCGTTCTTCCCTTTGCTTCACTCATCTGACCAAAAAAAGGCGGAAAAAAAAAGTTTCCTCTTGAGGTGTGGTCTTGTCTTTTGAATGGTGCTCCAAGGCACACGACACCATCCATATGACGACAAATGCAAAATCAAGATATCAGAAGTACTCTCCGAGGACCAAAATCAACGCCGTACAATGAGTGACGGTCTCATTGCCAGCTTTTGGCTCGTTCGTGACCTTGCGATACCGCCATCCATGATCCCGAATGTGTTATAACCTGCTGTCCCGATGCGTAGTCGTTGACTGCTGTTCAATTTCTTCGCTGTCGTCCTCCATCTTGTCGAGCTCTTCTTCTAGTAGTGCCAGAAGCTGATCAGACACGTTGTTCATGGCTATTTCCAGTATCTGAAGGGTTGACAACGTCGATGTCAGTCGGGGCTCCCAAATCTAGCAATGATGTAAACGGGGACGTACAGACCTGCTTGAACGATAGCTTCTTGGCATCAGTTGGGGATGCTCCTCGATCGTTGAGGGAGTGCGTCCCGTTGGGATCCCTACTGGACGGCGGGATCCAGTCAGGTTGATACTCGTCCGGCCGAGGGTTGGGTTGGTGACTGGCATCCAACATATTAGACATGGCGAATGCTGCCGTGTAATCTGATTTCGTTTGGTATCGAGAAACCTCTTGGACGTCGAGGGCAAACGACGAAAGAAAGGGGAAGATTTAATCCTGACGGATATGAGTAGGATGTAGGATATTCAGGAGAAAATTAGGAAAGCATGTCGGGCATCTAGGGTCAATATATATGGTGGAAGTTTGAAAACTTGTGGATGTTCACATCAGGGAGCCTCCAAGGCAAACCGACATGATTGGAGCATCGGCGAATAGTAGGTAAAGTATGGAATGTGAACGCTTGAAGAGGCAACATCATCAGCCTTGTTCAAGCAGTGCGTATGGCAGGAACCCGGCAGCCTGATGGTCTGACCTAGTTTGATGCATTGATTGCTCTCTTGATAAGTCTATTGGTTTAAAATGGGGATTTTTAGAGGGTGGGACCTATAACCGAGTGGTATATCAGGGCTTAATGATGCCCCATGTGCATACTGTGCCCTGGCGACAATATGCAACCATGGACAAAAGGATCTCGGAGTATGACTGAGCCGTTAAAGAGAACCCTTCCGTGCCGTCGAGCCATATGCACGAATAGACCTATGCAAGCCGCTCAACTTGACGCCGCCATATTAACATGCCGCCGGCCCGTCAACAACTTCCCTACGTGCAGTTTTGATTTTTGGCTGATCCGCGGCTGAATGTCCTGGTGGTGCAGTGAACTCCAAGTCAAACTGTCTCTTTCTGATGGCCCGGCCGTTAACGCCACGGTAGATCGTCTTGTCCAATCACGCACGACGGAAGTGATGAACGCACCTTCCCTGGACCAGAAAGGTGGGAATCTCCACTGGCAGCAAGCCTGGCACCGCGCCTGGCATGGTTCCTGGCTTGACGCCTAGCATCGTGCCTGGTTTCAAGCCTGGTATTGCGCCCGGTTTCATGCTTTGCAGAAAAAGGCGGACCGGGACCAACGAGAACTGCAAACGAGAACGCCACAGCATAAGCGGAGCTTGTGACAAGCCGAAGTCTGCATCGCTCATGTCCAATCAAACAATGCATGGACATTCGATGACATGTCATGAAGGAACCCCCGCATACCCACTGGCCTCTTCCTTCTATAATAGCCCCAGGCCTCACCGAAAACCGACACTCCAAACTGTGCTCCCTTCTTATTTTATCGCGTTTGCCAAGGCACGATTCCGTACCCCCCCCCGACGATATCTTTTCTGTCTTCTTGAAGCCAGCTTGAAGCCGGCTTTAAGCCAGTCGTTATTAGTCTCATGCAAGGCTCAACTTCAAGCTCCAAGCCATATACCATGGAGCTTCCGGTCGATTTGCGACGGTGGTTGGACGTCGACGATGGGGCTTCATGCCGCCGACGAGTTCACTCGTTGTTCAAGTTCCTGGCTATCCCCTCCAACCATGACCCCTTCTTCTCTTCCTCCACTCGACATTCTTTTCCCGCAAGGCGCTCCATCCTTCGCCTTTAATTTGACCCATTTCTGCCCTCGTATTGGATCTCGACGCCTCTCTCGCTCGAATAATTTGACGACCCTCCTGATACCACGCGCCCACAAGGACAACATTCCATCACATCGAAATGGCCCAACCCCTGGATGAGATGAGCGACGCTCGACAACCATCTGACATTGCATCGTTCAACACGTCGCCAGTCTCTCATCCAAACATGGCAGACGATGGCAACAATCTGGAGTATTCGAGTCCGAACCACGCCCATGCCAGCCAAAACCTTGATGTTGCTTCAGGAGTTGCAGTCCCGCTTGACCCGATGTTGTTTCAGCAATACGGCAACCGCATTGAGGACGGAGATCATTCGAACCAGGCGATTCTCACAAGCTACAACCAGTACTCTGGATTGATGGAGCCAGCATGGGCCAACATGTCCCAATGCATGCCCAGGTTGGAGTCCCCATGGGATACGATGTTTACAACATGGATCCTATGGCGCACGGTAGACTTGGACAACACCAAATCTTGACGCCCCCCGTCGTGGCAAACACTGGTCCTCAGGAACAGCAAGGACAGACAGACAACTCAGGTGTCAACCGCTGGACCCCAAAGATGGACAAAAGGCTGTTGCTCCTCAAAAATGACGGGAAACCCCACAAATTCATTGCCAAAACGCTCGCTACCGAGTTCCCCTCCGCCAAAGGGTTGAATGACAACATGGTTGCAAAAAGACTCAGATCTTTGCGGGAAAACGCTGCCAATGCCACGGTGAGTAATTTTAGTCATCTCCCATCCATAGCTTGAGACTTTCCGTACAGGTACGGGTTCCAACAGCTTGCAGGAGGAGCGTAGGCTGTTTGTTCAAGTCACTAACAGCCTGTACCCGAGCAGAAAGTGGATAAATGCGTCAATCGTTGTCTCCCGAAAATGCTTCCAGTGCTGGCAGACGCGGTTGCACAAGTGGCCCAGGAGCACGGTTACGAGCACGTGGAGAATGAGAAAGAAGACATCGAGCTGGAGTTGAGAGCGGAACTGAAAAAGATCATCCAGAAGAGGATGTTGGACCGCCAGCGACCACGAGCCACTGGTCCAGCTACAGCAGCATCACAAACACAGAACAGGGTTACGAAACCCACCGGACGCCGAACCAGAGCACACCATGTCAACTCCGGTAACTTAAATTCCCAGTCCGGTAATGCTAGTGGCTCGACGGACCCAAGCGCGCCAAAAGACTTCGGCCCTGTGGCAAACCGAGACTAGACTCTTTGGGCAGAGTCCACGACGTGTCATCGAGATTCGCAGCCCGGTCAACTCATCGGTACCTTGCCCTCGTCAAAGTGGCTTCTTGCTCTGCCGAGCGCCTTTGGCTTTGCACTGACGCTCCCCGGTCCGCCACCTCGAATGATCGGATGGATGCACGTCAGATGGTCTTTGGATTTGTCGCGCAACACGTTTTGGATATAACCACAGGGTCTCAGGATTGGCTCGGTTCAATAGACGTTTTTCTCTTTCGGCACCACACAGAGACGTTCTTCTTACAGATTTGTACTCTCCGTCTCTCCTTGGTCCTTGGTTTCCTCTTTTCTTTGCTCTCTACGACGTCAAGGCCTTTTGGATTGGTCCCAGGTTTTATTCAATGGCTCAATCAAAGCACATATCAACTGCCCCAGCATGTTCTTTCCCTGCTACACCTCAACAAACACGCGCCAGAAGCGTTCCAGATTGTTTCGTTTGTTGAAGGTAGCTAGTCAGATCACTCGCACAAATTCATGAGTACCTTTGTAAATGTTGATCACTTGCCTGTTTTCCATCATTGTTTGTAGTGTCCATAGCCCTCCATAGTATATTCCATAAAAAGTCCCCAACCTATAACTGTCACCTACTACCGCTGTAAGTGCCTGTGGTTCCTACACCACGTACCGGATCGAGCTGTTTACTACCATAGGCTGTGTGTTTTTGATCTTCGGGGAGTATATCTACATCCTCCCTAGCTTCTTCAAGTCATCTCCAAATTCGAGAGCCTAGAAACCCCGAGGGCCTCAGGTCTGTTAGTAGCAACCCGCCTCTACCAAGTAGATAGTCAGAAAAAACGCCCATTAACTTTTCTCCCCCGCGCAAACAGCCAAAAGCTCATGTAAACCACTGCTCAAAGTTTCAACCAAGATGCCTTCAGAGAACCGTGAGATTTGATATAGGCTTAGGTAAATGGTCACCGCATGAGCAGCTAAAACGGCGATTTGTTTTATCGCACGGTGGGAGAGAAAAAAGCATGTAAAGCACAAGTTAAGGTTGAAGGTACTAGATTGGTTATAGTAGACTTGTAGTGGACTTACAGCGCATTGTCGGGGGTTTGAAAACTTTGGTAATTTAGGTTTTGGGTAGCCGACGAGGAGGTATTTTTTGGTACCAGAGGTTTTGCACCACTTCGATGTAAGTGCACTTTACCGGACAACTGGAAGTGGGACCAATTTCTCCTTGCTAAGATCTCTCGATTGTAATTTGGTTCATTTTTGGGGATTAGATGGTGCAGTTGACGGAAGGTCAAATAGTGTAAGTTTTGGTGTCAAAACAACAACTACCCCTAGTCCCGTCATTTTTAGTGGTGACCCGCCTTCCGCCTTCCAATCTTCTACTTTCCGTGTTCTCTCGTATACCACAACGCCTGCTTGCGTGCCTAGGTATTCACATGTGTGTCGGTTTGTTTCAATATGGGAAGGAACGATTTTCTGACATTCTCGATCTATGTCCTTGACAACAGTGCCCCTGTGTCAAGTGTGCACACGCCAACCGGGATATCGCAAGAGCGTGAAGGTAAAAACTCTACCCAACATGTATGCATTGGAACACAAGGTACGAGACTACTAGCTAAGGTAGGGAGGTGAGACAGCAAAAGAAAACCAAAAGAAATATCAATCTCAGTAGGCGGAAAGACGTTTAGTTCCAATTAAAGACAAGAGAGGAAAGAAAAGAAGCGCGTGAACCAACATATCCCCATCCCACCACAGAAACCAAAAATAACAAATAAGGCGAGAACAAAACGCTAGAGGGAAAAAATCGAGAAAAAGGACAACGACGACCTTCTGGTCGAAAATGCATTTGAGAATGCATTGAATTGCAACGACCCTGCCCTACACAGCACGAAGTGCCGGCCACAACCGCGTGTGAGTTATTTCCACCTGAGCGCAATCAGAGCCGACACATGGCGTCCCTTAAAACTGAAGCGTGTGCTTTGGGTTTCCTGATGAGAAATTGATGTTCCCCTCTTCACCAAGAATTTGATGGCCGATTGCTCTTTGCTGGGTGTTTAGGTGATATATTATGTCCGTTTGCCGTCAGCAATTGCGGTGAGCTTGCTGTCTTTAGTAGAAGTATCCATTTCCTCAAGATCACTGAACTCGTCGTCATCCTTGTCGTCCTCGTCGTCCATTCTATCTAGTTCCTGCTCCAGCAAGGCCATTAGCTTGCTGGATGTGTTGAACATGGCCTTGTTGAGGATCTGGTAGGAACACAATTGGTTAGCAACTCGTTACTAGTGTTCATATTAGGTTTTCGGAGGGAATCCTGTGCTCACGTCTGAGAAATTAGGCCGGGGTTGGGATGTTGGTTGATTGTTATTGATGTTCTCGTCACTGGGTTGCTCCGGCACCAGTCTGGTATTTTCCTTTCTCGATGTGTGGGTGAGCTCTCTTTGAGCCTCATCTTGAGACTTGGAAGTCTGAGCAAGGTCAGCCAATGGATGAAGAGACCCGAGCTGGCTTCGGTGCTGGCAGCATGACGCTTGGCTGGGATGGCACAGACCCGATTGCTGAGGTGCCATGGCTGATTGAGTAATCCATGTTGCTTCCGGTTGCATGACCCAACGGCATTGCCATTGAGTACCGACAACTGGGAGGAGGACATGGGATATGGCTTGCTGTTGGGAAGGAATGAGTGCCGGGACCGGAAACACGTTCTGGGTGGCTCCGCACGTGAGACCATCCACGGAAGGTGCAACCATGACAGGTTCAAGCCTCATGGTCGTTCCTGCTCCAAGATGAGCAGGCTGGGGGAAGACAGCAAGACGATGGGTGGGTACTGCTGTGGGATTTGCTGGCTGATTCCCGCAAGGACGGCTGGCATTCAGCGAAGTGGCATCGGCCGGACATTGCTCACAGTCATGCTGGCACCACGTTGACATTGTGTAAATGGACGAAGTCTGGCAAGGTCAATGTCAACAACCGAAATAAGTGGGTATATCACGCAGGCCTGAAGGGTTTAATTGACAATTCGAGACTCACATGTCTCTAAAACTGATTTCCAGATGACTGGGTAGTGAGAACAAAAGCAAATTGCAGTAAGAGATGTATTCGCAGTCGAAGGATCAAACGATGAGCTCAGTTGGAAACTCTAGGTCCAAAAGCACAACATTCGGACACAAAAGACGGACAAGTCCACCATATTTATTTCGGTGAAAGTTCACCAGCACCTGTCCTCGACAGGAGACCCATTGGACAACCATTCTCTCAAGGCTTGCCACTTGTGAAGCCATACCGGAATGGAAGTCTCACACCCATGTGAAATGACCAGTTTTCGGTGTGTATCCTTAGTGCTTTCATTTAAACACGACAATCAATTCTTAACGGGCTTTTTGTCTGTGACCCAAACAACGGACAATTCCAGACACCCAGCAGAGCCGGATGGGGCTTGTATTTCTCCAAGACAGTGCATCGTCATCAGGCAGAAGGGTTGTTATCGTATCAGATCAGGGCCATTGCCATCATAATGCCACCGCTGAACTCCAGGCATTATTCCAGGCGTCATTCTGGCTTCAAGCCAGGCTCGAGGCCCGGATATCAGTGGCGCAAGCTCGCTGCGATGCCCGGCCAATGATCGGCCAAAGCAACTACCGAGCCACACAAACCGGGCGTTGTGGTCTGGTGCTTGGCTTTCCGCCAGACAGGCTGTGAAGACTCAATAATATCCCAAGTCCCAGGCCTTGAGATGTCTTCCGGAAGCAGTCAGGTCGGGACCCCCGGCAGGGGCTCTCAACTGGTGCCCAACGCGGACTGACGAGCTGCACGAGTTGGCGGGTGTATGTGCATGCCGTCGCTCCGTCTCGTCATCGGTAACAATTTCGACCAAGTTCCCCTTGACGTGCTCGGGTCTGCCTTGCCCTGATTTTCTAGATGTCAGTATAGCAATTAGCAAATGCACCACTTATATCGATCGTGGTGTTACTCTTGGCACGCTTAGTATCAATTGCCATCCGGGTCTCTTGGTGTCCGCTGACTTTCATCCGGGTCATACGCTTTCCCATGGGATGGCTCAAAGCGTAGCAAGAAGCTCAAGGCGGGAAGTGTAGGCAAGGCAATCGGTATAGACTCTAGGGACTCAGCCTGGCAACCCACGATATACGTACCGCTAGATCTCCAACCAAACACTTGTGGGGTGTATAGGTACGCAGATATATAAAGTCGCCCGGCAGCCTCGCCTTTGCACCTTTTTTTTCTTGTCATCCACCCCCCGGGCGACTTCTCATTCCGCTGGTACTCATACCAGTATCGTGAGGATCTCTTATTACACCCGCTACTGCCAGTTATACCCTCCGCCTAGGTATGCGACTTGATTCACTCCATCCAGGTGCGCTATGAGATGCAACACCGTCCGTTCTTGGCCAAGCACTAATGAACCGCAATCTCACATTTTGAAGAGAAAAACGAATCCGCATACCTAGAAAACTCGTCGCTTATTGCACACAGCGAGCCGAAGAAAACGTGATGGACGCACCCAGAGCAAAACGACAACCACAGTGTGGGTCGGGAATTACTGGACCGACCCAAGCTTCCACGATCATGATCATGGAACACCAAAAGCCGAAGGCCCCCCATTGGCCCTTCCGAAGAGGTAAGTACGACACAGTCTCCTATGGCAATTGCATGTTGAAAGACACTGACATGTCTTGTTGGCACAAAGGACTTGCAGAAGATGGTCAACAACATCATGCCAACTGAATTCGCGACCCTTGTGCAGGAACCTGAAGGAGGCACTCATGCCCCAGAGGGGGCGCCACAACGCCAGCCCCAGGTGATGGAAACCACTATTCGCCCACCGGTACAGGTATGTTCCCACTGAACAAACAAAGCCTTGGTCCCCTGAACACACCTGCATCCATGTCACTCGATCAGGGACATTTGATACCCGACCGCGTTTGTCTTTTTAGATCGTCACTAACAAAGGCAATTCGTTCAATATCTACCTAGAGACTGGCAAGGGCCATCAATCGAATTTTCCCCCAAGCCCAGGACATCGTCGTTCAGGGAATTTCGGAACAGCTTGGCTACCAGTTCATCCCGACTGAGGAGGAGACTCAAATGCTGAGGCAGTTCCTTACGGAGTGGCTCCAAGAAAACATCTTGGCCCGGCAGAGCCACAAATCTGCGGGCGCCGTGGCGGATGCTTCCGGCGGCGGCGATGTAATCCCACCCCACCCATAGGATGGGCGGAAAGCTCGTGAGCTTCAATCCCTAACAATGCTCGATGCAGTGAGGATGGGCCTTACCTACGAATGAGAGACAGGATTTCTGAGGAGTTTTTACTGTCTCCAGTCCCCAGCCTTTTCATGTATCCCATTCACACGCATTTCATTTCATTCGAACGGGTAGATACCAGCCACAGCACCTTTTTACCTCTAGCCTTTCAGTCACCTAACCTACTTGGTACCCTCTCCCGACCTTTTGTACTTAACAGAGGCCTCATACTTCCTTCACGCTCACAATTCACATTCAAACTTGGAGACGCTGTTGGATACTCTTCATATCAGACCCTTACGTTGATGAGTTCAAAACGGACCAATACAAATGGCAAACAGATTTTATCTTCAAGATTGTACTTCATCGTCTTCCTAGGTTACCTCTAGATATGTAAATGTGCGGGATGCACGACCATATGAAGTTGATTTTAGCTACGTTGCAGCGGCTACCCCGCTAAATTTTGGTGGATATTACTTCTACGCGTGGGTTATTTTCCTGGGCCTGTGAATGGGTCGGGCCGTAGGCGGCTCGTGGCGAGCCGGCCGGTGGAGGTCAGACGAACCGACTTTCACCTTCCATTGTCTGCTTGCCCGTCTTATGATAACAAGGGATGATGGGCTCACGTGAATTGCTCGGTGCACTTTTACGGCCACTATGAAATTCAACCGAACATGTTCCTATCCTCGGTTTCCATTTCATCTGTCAAAAACCTTCATTGACTGGGCTTGTCCATGCCTTGCGACGACAGCAGGATCAGTCTGATGTGAGCTCCTGATTAGGTACCCCTGACCGCATCGCCCTGTTCATCCCATCCATTTCGTCCGATCGTAATACCTAGAGTACGTTCATTGCGCCCGGACCAGTTTTCGACAGTGGAGGTTAAAAACTTATTTTTCAGAGATCATACTAAGAGACTTACTCCGAACCAAGTCTTATAATTGTTATCCTGAATCCCGTATGACTTGATCAAGTTGCAAGCGCGTGAAAGCGGTGATGAAGGCTCTGCCATTAGCACTTGCTGTGGGAGGGATATGGAGTCACTGTCCCCCAAATCTTAGCAGGTAGGTGCTGAGTTCTGGCTAAATGCACCACAGTTATGGATTCTCCGATGTACTTGAGCTGTCCCAAAAGCGAAGCTACATGCATGTATAATCGACCCTGTTGATTGGATATCTGAGAGTGTTGGCATTGTGTCAACATAGTCCGACGTCCGTTGCTGACACCTACCGCCCAAAAACGAATGAATCCAGGTGATGTAATGTTGCTCGAAAAACCATAATGAACGTGATCCAAGAAGAATTTGCAATGCCATCTAGTGTATAAGTCAAGGCGGTCGTTTGAATGAATGTGGCCGGAGCCTTGGTTGCTTTCAGAAATTAACCTGGATTTTGTTAATTTGGGCCGTGGACGCATGATCCAGCCGGGGCCGTTTGACTCCGTGGTAACACTAGTAATTGTTCCTGGGTAATTTGATTGCCCTTTACACCCGCTCTTTCTTGCCTTGTCCCTTCCACTTCGTCCTTTTTCCTTTCTCGGCTCCTACTACTCCCTCTTTTCTCCACCCCGTCCTGGACCTCATCCTTCTTTCCTCATCGTCACCTTTTCTTCTAAGCCTTCTTTTTGCATCATACCTTGCACTGGGACGATTAGGATATTTATCTTCACAGTAATCCCCACACAAGTCACAAACATCCATCTCCAGGCCTCAATCATTATCCACACTGGTTATGACGGCACACGTCGACACGTCTGGTCAAAAGCTTGCTACATCCATGCACTAGATAGGTAAGTTCACTCAGGTGATCTCTCTAATTCAGTTACTCGTGACGAACGTACACGTGTGTGCACGGAATGCTTTCTCATGGCACCTAGGTCTAGATTGATTTCTTGATGTTTTAGGTATGTCAAAAAGAAAGCAAAAGAAAACAAATATCACAACAAATATCACAACAACAACAACAACATAATAGGTATGGGAGACAACTTGAGAAAAAGATTGAGGAGATACAGGATGTGTCTGAGAGGAAGTAAACAGGAAGAGAGAAAAAACAGAAAGGAAAGAGAACGAGAGAAGAACAGGAAGGAAAGAGGATGAGAAGAGCACATTGCTGACCAGAGTGTGCAAAAACTTCCACTTTGCACCTCAAACCGAGGAGCCCTTACCAAGTGGAGGTGCATTTGTGTTGAGTCCGGGAGCTTGGTGGCAGCGGGAGTCATTGCGCTCCTTCCCAGCGGTCCTATTCGGACTACCACAGTCGGTCCTGATTTTCCCGACTTGATTCGAGCTGGCATCAGGCTTGCATGTCACCGCGTCCATGGCCTCGAGCTTGCCACTCAGGGATACCTGACCAAAGGCTTTGAACTCGTCGCTCGCCTGAGGCTGGCTTCCCGCCTCGTCAAGCGCTGGAAGCGCTTCATCCGGCCCGTCACATTTAACGACTTGTAAGTCAAACTGGCTAGTCTCACCAGCCTTGGCCTCAGGCTTGATGCCAGGCGTTGAGTTCCAACCCTGGACATTGGAGATAGCTGTGTTTTCGGCGTCCAGCTTGTCTAGTCTGTCCAGCTCCTCGTGCAGCAATGCCATCAGGCAATCAGATGTTTTCACCATGACCTTGCTGAGAGTCTGTACGAATTTATTGTGGTTAGCGATCTGTGGCTTAACTTAGAGGCAAGCTGGTCTTGCGGAACACTGGATACTGACCTGAGCAAAGTCACGGTCACAATCAAGGGCTGACTCTATGTTGATGATGGCATCTTGATCATCAGGCTGATGGCCTTGAATCGTATCCTTAGACATTAGATGTCCTGGATCCTCGGATTGAACATTGCTTCGAACGGGCTTCGAGCCAGATCCAATCTGGCACGGATCAACCGGGCAAAACGGGTCCAGCTGATCCAAGTAGGGATGGATCAAAGTCTTTCCTGGATGATGAATTGGTTGCTGAAGCATTCCGGCTGGCTGTTGCCCTGTCCAGCGGGAATAGGGATTGGCCCAGGTGTAGTTCAACCCAGCTTGAGGCTGAAGCTTCGCTGGAATCATGGCCGAAAAAGCGTAGATGCCGTGCATATGAACTCCAGGAGGGTAAGCCAGGGGACATACAACCATTAGAGGTCCAGATAGCGCAGCGGTTGATTGCTCATGTCGCGCAGAACCGGGGAAGAAAGCCATTCCTGGGCCCATTGGTGCTTGAGGCGAACAAGAACCGCCGGGGTTCGAGCCGATGCTGCCGTGGTTTTCGTGAAGGACTGCGTTCATATTGTTGGGGAAAAAGGATTGGGTAAAGAGAATGTGTGGAGGTGACAGGTTGACGTGGTTGAGGTGCTCGGCCTAGAAAGGATTGAGATGAGATGACACTTCGAGTGCTGGAGATGGAGTTTGACGGCTCGGGACAAAGGTCAACTTTAAACTCACCTCTCCGCCAAATCGAACCCTCAGGCTCTCGCGGAACTTGGAGTTACCGCCTATCAATTGGCACATGATTCAGGAGTTGTTTTTGGTGTCAATACCAACTAAAATGAAATCATTGTCAGGTGCTCGGTAATGAATTTTTCGTGATTCAGCCTCCCGTACATGTCAAGCTCAAACTCGGTAGCGTTCACGCCGAAATTCGCTTTTGCCTTGGGTGCCACGCGTTCACGATCTCGGAGGCAGCAGAGGCATGAGCCGGTGCTTGAAGCCAGACAGCAAGCCAGGCTTGAATTCTGGGCTCAATGCCATGCTGACGATTGGAGCTCGCCATCGAGATTGTGTGGTCTTAGTGGTTCGCGACCCCTGTTGCTGTTGCGGACCAATCTGTGGCGTAAGGCTACTATCCCTCCGCAGCAACACATCGTGCTCGCTGCGGATCTGGCAGGGCAGCGAGCAACCAAAGGTCCTGTCATCAGCCAGCGCAGCTGCGGGAAGTGGAAGTTGCGACCCAGGTTCAACATTCAAAAAGGGAAAGAAGATTGGAAAAGCCGATAGGTTGTCGGGTCGTTGTTAGGCGGTGAAAGCAAATCAACAAAAATGGAAGCTGGCGAGTAGGCGTACCTACCTGCCTGCTCACACAACACTGCACCTTTATTTCCTTTCCCAACCTTCGTCAATTACACATTTGCACATTCGGCTCGTTGCTGCATTAGCGCCATTTTGGCTTGATGCGAGGCATACTTTCACATATCGGTGAAAAATGGCCGAAGCGAGGTATCGCGTTGTTGAGTGCAGTGTCGAAATGGGGACTTATCGTTCATCTGTCCGCCCCGAGCTCCAGTCTCCGGCCCCTCCCCGAGATAGTGAGCCAAGCGAGGAACCAAGCTCTATAGCTAATACACGAACCGGTTGGGTGTACGTTTGCTGGAGACGAGGGGATGTTGTAAGCACACCAAAGCAGTTTCTTATGTCACTCCGTGTGGAGGAATGCAATATTGGCTGTCCCACGTCCACTCACCTCTGACAGGGCATGCAAGGTGGTGTTGTACCTCCTAAGAGCTAAAAGGATTCGACTCCACTAGTGGCCTGGTTCTAATTGATGGGACATGGTGATTGCAGTGCATCCAGCAATGCGTTCCAGTCAGGTACGTAAGTACTTGCCTTGTATGCGATCAAGGTATACATACATAAGCTCTGGGTCCCCCACTCGGTTTTATAAGCTCTGGGTCCCCCACTCGGTTTTTCCTACCAAGGCCATCCGGTCTTAAACACTTAACCAACCTCCCCTCCAAGCCTAAATCGGGTCACCAAACCATCCGCAATCATGGACGAAAGCCACCCCATTTCCACCACCAACAATGGTGGTTCATCGATGGATACCGCAACGATCCAACCTTCCGTGAGTACAAAAGGTCCACCGCCAGACTAACACCTGCGTAGGGTGCTCCATTGGCTTTAACTTCATCTAACAAGGTGCCGAATTCCAGGATATTCCCACGCTTGTGGAGGCCATGATGGAGACGGTCTTTAAGATGATCCATCATGGCGTATCTCATCGTGGTGGTGGTGGGCATAAGCCGCCAAAATCCAGGCATGAGGTAAGCTACGCTACGCTACTGCCCCCCTCTGGCTCAGGTTCTCCAATGGAAGACTTAACACCCGACACTAACAGCACCCGTGCCTTCCGTTGCAACAGAACTTGAACAAGGCGATAGAAAACATCACCCCCGTCGCGCTTGACATCGTCCTTGAGAGCATTTCCGAGGAACAGGGTTCTCCGTATAACCCGACTGTGAAAATGAAGGAGGCTCTCAAGGCCTACATTGCGTTGTGGCTCAGAAACAAGATGACGCTGCAATAGAAGAGTGCTGTCGGATACTCAGATACAGGCCCGAGAGGATGAGAACAACACTGTCAGTCGCGGCAGTCATTGCATGTACCGGAAGAGGTGGAAACATAGAGGTATGCGGTACTGAAGCCCCTTTCCTCTGGTTTTAATCGGTTATCTGTCTTGTTTTGTTTTGTTTTCTTTTGTGTTCTTTTGCTTGGCTGGGCTTTGGTTTTGGGTATTTTGATTTTTCATTGTTTGGATTAACACACAGGTCAGCACGTTGTTCAATCGCCTGTCGCTGCACTTTTTTGTACGGTACTACTGGTTATGCACATCCCGTTGCCTCCAAGTACATCACGTATTGGCAGGCTTCATGTCCATGCATACGCAATGACGCCCATTTTTTCTCCTGTAGCTAGGGTAGCTGTAGATAGATGGGGCCTTCCCTCCTGGAAAGAGTCCTAAAATGAGACAAATCTCACCAAAATTAGAAGTCGCGGCGTTCGCGCTTTCCCGTCAAGTCTTTGCATGTGTAGGCGGGAGCAGGCAGGAAGGAACCTGAACATGCTGATTGGGGGACCCTCCGCGCAGGACATGATGTCGTGTAAGTAACACCTGCAGTTCTGACAGCACTGCGCGCCTACATCCCGGGTTATCTCTACTGGAATAGCGATCAATGTTCGTTCAAAACATCACATTCTCTAATGCTTTAAGCTACCGCTTATGAATGCGTGGTTCTCATGTTCTTATTACACATTGTCGTTGAAGTCGGGTTTGCTTGTCGGATCTATTGTCTTTTGTTTGTTTGTTTGTTTGTTTCATTCTTACGACCGCTGTACTGTAGGTATTTCATTACCCCGCCCCCGCATTGTGCTTGTTCACGTCCCAGCGTTAACATTGCGATGTACTGTACACGTAATATGTACAGCGGCTGTTGGCGGTGTTTCCAGGCCTGCCTCTCTGGCTTGCCTTTGGACCTGCCTGGCCGCGCAGATACCACCTTCATTCCCAAAAGGGAAAATCTTTCTAGGTTCGCGGGTTGTGATTGGATTGGGGCCGTCTTTCTTGGCGTCAAACAATTCAAGGGCCCCTGGACATATTCAACAGCACAGCACCGGTCTTCGTCACTACCACACCTCACAGGTGGACGCACTAACAGTGCAGCGTGTGTCAAGGCGAATATTTCTGTATTGAATACCTAATGCACAGGTGTTTATCCAACGCAGACTACCATGTGAAATGAAAAATCGAGCTGTGCAAGTGAAGGAGGTTACCGATGGCTGAGGCAATCGGATTCAGGACGGAGATTTTGGAAACAACTTGAGAACGAAAATATGAGAGATACACTTAAAGACGGCATCGGGACTTTTTGTTCTCGAGGTTGAGCTCCGAGAGTGCTTCATCCGTCTTGTCGACGTCCTCGGTCAGTTCGTTCTCGCTGCTCAGCCTATCCAGCTCCTCCTGGAGAAGTGCGATGAGACGTCCGGATGCCCTCTTCATTGCCCTGCTGAGAATCTGTAAAGAGTAAGTTGTTAGATTAAGGACAGGTGGTGACAGATGGGGATTTGATTGTTCGCACTGGGTCGCTCTATCCTACCTCGCCAAAGTCTCGTTCATCTCCAGATGTCAACTGAGCCACTTCTTGGTGTCTAGAGTGCTCGCAATCTGTTATGTGGCCGTTTCCCGGCAGCGCCATGCCAAATTGCTCGGAGTGGTGTGTGCTCATGCTCGGATTGCTTCCAATTCTCTCAGCGGACTCATTCGAGTTCTTCAAATGGCCCTCTGAGGAATGAAATTGGCATGGGTCCAGAACATGCGTTGAACGAGCATCGGCCTCGTGGGGGTATTCTATCGATCGTGATCTTGGCAGCCGAGGGTGGTTCATCTGCCACTCTGCATCAATCGGGGACGATAGGAGTTCGTGTTGTGCGCAGGTCCATGAGTTCCATGAATCCATGGGTTGTCGTTGGGAAGATGTCGTGGGAAAGTTGTACATGCAGTCAAGAGGGAAAGCGCTCGGAGGATCATTGGTGATGTGATTAGACGTAATCAACTCCGGCGCGCTGATATCAAACCCAGGGTAGAATCCCTCGTAAGGGTGTTCGATGTGGTTGAAAGGTTTGGGAGACGGTTCTTCTGATGACTCCATTCGTGAGTGAAGCAGGTCAGGATTCCTCGAGCTTGGTAATGTGGATAGGCGGTCCTCGTCCATTGCTGAAGGATGAGTCTTTACGGCGCCGTTCTGGCTCGCCGTTGACAATAGATGTTATTAAGAACTGATATTGTAATTTGGAAGGAAGACGACGATGTTCGTTAGCAAAAGGTGTCCGAGAAGGAGGAGCTTGTATCTGGTTGCCTTTTCTACGAGTATTTAAACCCTTCGTGTATTCCGTGGTGATCCTTAGGAAAAGAAAGTCCGGGCCGATGTAGCGACCAAGGCTGACCGATCAATTCGACAACATTTCCGGCCTTAAGTTTAGCCCGAATTGATTGGCTTGGACATACCCTTCGAGCCTTCATACCCGCACATGCTTGTGGAATGACGCCCATGCTCGTTTGCGTCAGAGGTACTTCCTGATGGCTGACTCTAAATGCATATTCACAACCCACAGCGCCTCATTCTGTTGCTGCCCTTACGTGGCGTTGCCTCTCACGGAGGTTTCCCATCACAAAGGCATCTTTGGGGGAATCTGGAGCTGTTCACCCACTGTCACCACTGCCAAGCATCGTCTTCATGCATGCTTCATGCTGGATTCGAGCGGGATTCGTGCCATGCAGCTTCGTGCTAGGCTCAACGCCATGCTCAGCGCGCGGGTCAGCCACTAAAAGGCAGGAGGACCGGCCAGTTGTTTTCCTAAACTGCCCTAAGAGGGTTTGTTGAGCTGTCCATGTCAGCAGAACTATTCGGATTGTAGTGACTCTCTCATCCACCGACGGAGCGAAATAAATCTTCTGGGTTTCGCGAGTCTCGTTGTCGTATGTCCAGCAAACATCCATTGAAGTGAAGCCCTTAGCCATGCATATGACCCCTGGCAGCTTCAAGCCTGCCTCAATCCCGTCCAGGCGAAGTCCATGAAACCGCCTGAGGTTCACCATTCCTTTCGGAGTGATGGTTAAGGTAGATGAGGCAGATTGGAAGGCGAACAACGACACCGGCGTACTTGCTTTGACGATATCCTTCTCCATCCCACCGTGTTCAAGTAGAAGTTTGATGGATATGAGTGCTTGATCCTTTTACTCCTATCGGTCTTCTGGGCTAATCATCACCCTTCTCGTGTTGCCCTACTCACTTCCTCTTTTCATACCTAAAACTTTCAGGCATTGAGTCCTGAATCTGTGACGTTGGCAATCGTCCCTTCTCTCCTCGAGGGTGAACAAAACTTTCGCATCCAACCACACAGAGCCCATACACACCTGTTTGGCTAAAGCCTCCATTATCCCAGTATTCTTCAAAAAGACTCCGCCTGCCTGTCTCGATCTCGTCCAGCTTCCACTAAACCACTCCTCGACTCAATTGGAATTCTGATAGATAAGTCATTGCTCAATCAGCTGCAGGTAACATTGCAATGATCCCTCAACCTTTTCATCACCCTGCAAGAGCCGGTGGTCCATCGACCAACCATCGCCAAGCCTCTCCGCCGGCTGCACCAAATCCAGCGTTTGGTTCGCCATTGCTTAGAACGATGCGCGACCCGGCTTTTCACCAACCACAACACTACGCAAACGTCGCTGCCATCAACACCCCGTGGCAACCACCACAAGATCGTCTTTCCCGGCCGGAACCTCATGCGCCAAACTATTTGATGAATTCAGCTTGGACGGCCGGTCCGGCACAAGCAGCTGCCCTTTTGGGGCAGTATGCGGGGGTTGCTCCAGGCACAGCAGGAGTGCCCTGGCAAGGTTCTGTCCCTACAGTGGCTCCTATGATGCCTGCGATGCAGGGGCAGGTGTGGCCCACAGCTTCCGGCATCCTCAACCAACGCCGTGGCCCACATGCACCACAGCAAAGGGGTCGCGGTCATGAATGGTCTCAGATCGAGCAAGACTATCTTCTGATGTATAAAAGACAAGGGATGACCCATCCAATGATTGCGGAAACTCTTTCGAACATGTTCAACGTCGAAAGGACACACCACATGGTGACGAAGAAGCTGGCAGCGCTGAGAAGGGAAGCCATCAAGCCCGATGTAAGTTGCGAACCAACCACGAAGAACTCCCGTGCCCGTCAAGGGCCTGCCCCTGGTCTTAAGGGCACTGATTTACAGCGCTTGTCTGCATTCCCGTTGGTTCCAGTTAGCGCAGCCGCACTAATCGTGTCTTGGCATCCATCCTAGATGTACGAACAGTCGATCAAGAACGTCTTGCCTCGATCCATCGACCTCCTCTTCGAGGAACTTTCCACTGAGATGGGCATGAAATTCGCCCCCAGCGAGGAACGTAAGAAGCATCTCGAGCGTTTCTTGCTGACCTGGTTTTCTGGCGTCATTCTAGACAGCCAGAGACCAGTGGCTGGGGCGGGCGTAAACGCGATGGGATCTCAACGGCCGTGAGATCGTGGCTGAAACCGACGAGGGGCAAATGGATAGGCGGGTTGTCTCGTGGAGAAAGATTCAACCGCGCAGAAAATTAACAGGCTCAATCGTGAAGAGCCTTGGTGCCGATATTATTGTGCAGGGAATGCGTATATTTGATCGATACCTACAGGCGGCGAAATCCTACCGTAGGTGCCCTGTATTTACCCAACAGCGGCGGAGTTATAGGGATGAAGGGTTATGGGCTATGGTTCTCCTTATTACACTGTACTCGACCCGGCCTGGCGGTAGGTGTACGTCCTCGGTGGTCTCTGTGGTGTGGCCTTGTGCGCCCGGGTCTCGAAACATATGGTTACGCGGGCTACTCCTCGGCCAGAGCAAATCAATATACCAAAGGCGATTTTCTTTCTCATGTCCGGTAGTTCATGCTTTGATGTGATTGTTGAGGTGACGCCGCTTCCTTACCTGGTGTTGTAGTTATTTTGAAGCGTCCGGGTGTTGTAGAAGATAGTTCCAGTTGTTTGTTTCGGTGTTTTGGGTACCTGCTTTCCAGCACTTTGCCCCTGTGCCGGGTCCGTCCGCTGTGTTGCTTCAGGTGGTTCCTGCCGCTGGTCTTTCGTTCCAGTCTTGCACATCACCCCTGGTAAAAGTCCGTTAGCGTACGACTTCACAACGTGCTCTTCGCAACACAACAAAAACGCCACCGCTTTCCATGTACAAGTTGTTGCCAACCAAATCCGTTTTGCTTGATTTATATACTCTTCATCCTGTGGTTTCTTCTGTAGTTATCCCGTTGTTTTGCCGTCAAGTTTTGCAGACCCTTGTCACGAGAACCTTCCAGGTTTGGTTTTGCGGGGCACCGGGCATGCATAGGTCGCCCAGAGCACCCAACCCGCCATGAGCGCACAACGTCACGAAGGTCAATGATCGAATCCGAAACTACGGCAAAACGAAAATGTTTGTGTGTCAAAGAGACCGTTTATTGGTCCTTGTCGGGCTACCCATCGGAAAGTTGTCAGCTGCCGGGCTACGGCCACTTTGAATTGGAATTCTCCATGTCATGTCCAGACTAGTCGGCTCCCGGCGACCGATTGCATGATTCCAGCCAATGGCGGCACCGTGTGTGTACCTTGGTGATGTGGGGCTTGTGTTTCTAGCCTGGCGCAACAGGCGTTCATGTAGTGGCAGATCACCGTCCTCGATCTAGCTCGGAATCTCAAAGACATTCTGTTTGCTCCAAGCACGAATCTCGCAGCACCACGGGGAACTGTAACAAAGGCATTATCTTGATGGCCTTGTCTCCGCTTCTCCAGGGCAGTTGTTCCAGCCGGTCCTGGTGTTGGGTATGTTTCGTGTGACCCCAACCTGGCCATCGGGGAACTGACCTGTAAAACAAAACTTTGACAACCGCTGGGAAGGCAATGCCGATCAAAAACAAGCAGGGTCAGCGGGTCAGCCCACTGCAAAAGGAACGAAACAGTGCATGGCATGGCGCGGAGGGCAAAGCCACACCCAGGCAGCAGAAAGACGCATCACGCCCGTCCATGGACATTTCGGAGCATAGAAGGACAATCCTGGGCCGTTGGGTAGTTGAAGAACAGAGGGCTAAGCGACCGGGTCGGCATTGGATGACAGGGACTACTGTTTCCAGTGCCGTGGTCAACCAGTAAACCACTCACCGTCGATGACTGTTCGTGGGAACGGGCGGGGACAAAACACCAACCGGGGCAAAGTTATGGCGGCCGGGAGGGAAGAGTGCTATTCATGGCATTAGGTGCCGACACGATCACGCCCAGAGGTTTCTTGCGCAGAAACAGAAGACGTGGCCCAAGGGCAAATTGGGAAGAAGAAAAAATCGTCGCCGCACACGAGTGGAAAGTGCCGCTCATGCCACCTGGTACTTTGACTCGGCCCCGAGAGACGTATTGTAGACTGAAGTCCCGTAACTGCCGGGCTAACAACATTGGAGACATGGCCAGGAAGCCTTTGTTGGCTACTCAGGTATCATGCAAGGGCAGCGACAACCCCAGAACACTTACAAGTGTGTCAATGTTTCTTGGTGGGGCCGGCTGTAAGGAGCTTCCGCTCAATTCATGTTGTCCAGGGGGCACTGCATGCAGCGCCTCGCTTCCTAGGGACCAGGACGCTCGGGTCGGTGACTCGTGTCAGGTTGTGTCCAAACGATGAATAACTCTCCGGCTGCAGATCTTCACATTGGAAATTTGAACTGCAGTTCTTGAATCGGTAAATCTGCTTCTTGAAAGGGTAAAGCGACAAGTTTCAACAGAAACTGAACAGTCAAGGCGGCTTAATACGGGAATCTAGGGATTTACACTCAATGCAGGGGGTCACGAGAGTGAGGCCATATTGTGTGTAAATAAAGGGTAAAAGAGCGATGATCTCAGAAGAAGAAAGGCCTGGCTTCCAGCCAGCCGTCTGCTCGCAGTAGATATGCAGCGCAGCGAGCTAGGTGGCCCGAGCGCAGGGCAACGGCTGGGCAGGCACCAGAGCCTCCATGGCAGCCCAGCTAATCGGGCTGTCATGACTAGTCTAAGCTACAATACAGGGTATGGCCAACGATACCAGGATTCCAGGGATTCCGGTATCACGGCTATTGCCGGTGTCTGGAGCAGATTTGTACTCTGTATGTTTGGTGAAACAGAAGAGTGCGGGCTTGCAATACCGCGTTCGTTAACGGCTACGTTGGAATAAAGTTAAGCTCAGGATTTGCGTACCCATTAAAGTTCCACAGCTTTCATTAATGATCCACTGAATGGTACAGTCAAATCTCCAATTAACGATCAAGTCGGTCATGCCAGTTCTGATCGTTAATCCCAGAATATCGTCAATCTGAGATGTGGGTCATTTTTACACGAAACAAGGCGGAGATTATTGGGAAAACCTAAAACATAGTCGCATTGTACCGAATAACAGTTTTCTATATTATTTGGTTCTAAAAGTGTTATCAAAGTACAAATATAGAGTGGCCTGCTTGGTTCCTGT